AGCGCTATATTTTCCTAAAATAAGCTGCTTAAACCATAATAATTACTAATATTATTAATAGCCAATATTATAAAAACTAATATAAAGCTTATTAGGTTTTGCTTAAACTTGGAGCCTTAATATAATAGCTTAATATTTAATTAAAGCCTATAAAATCATAATATATTAGCTTTGCAAAGGAAATAAGCTTTATTATAAATTATATAGCTTTAATAAAATTAGCAAGAATAAAAAGCTATCTTATAACATTTAATATATTAAATTATTATATTTTTCATTACGCCTATCTTTTTATCCAGGTATTATATTAATTAGCTACTTATAATATAATTAGCTAATAGCTTTACTTAAATGCTTTTAAGGATAAACTTAGCTAATTTACTATTCTTACTACCTTTATTAAGCTTATTAAGCTTATTATTAACATTAGCATTAATATTAAACTCTTTGTAATTTATAGCTTTAGCCTTAGCTATAACGCTAAAAATATAATTTAAGTTATTCTTCTTATTATTATAAGTAGCATTATTAAAACCTTTTATATTCTTTAAAATTAAATACTTCTTTATTATAGCCTTCCTTATAACTTAATCCCTAAGATAAGTATTAGCAACCGCCAAGTAAAAAATATTAATTTACTTCTTATTTACCGCAAGCATATCATTATATATATTATACTTTCATAAACCCCATTAATATAATTAATTACTTACATTTGTAATAAATATAATAATAAAAGTCTTTTCCATTAAGCAAAAGATAGTTATGAAATATAAAAATATCCAAATCTTTATTATATTTTATATAGTTAATTAATTATATATATATAAGTTAGCATTAATTAATGCAAAAATAAGCTATGGGTTGGCATTAATTAATGCCAATCCATAAAAAAACACATACTTAAGATAAGTTGCTATACTTTATAGCTATTTCTATTTAAATAAAAAGCTCCTTAATTATTATTATAACTACTTATAAGGCAGGCTTATAGCTAATATTACTCCTTAATCTATAAAAAACTTTTACATTAAAAGTATTAGCTAGAAAGTACTTATAAATCTCATTAAAGTACTGCTTAATAACATTAATAAGCGCCTACATTATAATAAGCCACATTTCATCAAAGCCCTCTTTAATAGCATTATTAAACATAAATAAGCTAGCCGCCTTAAGCTTAGCCTTGCACTTTAAAAAGTAAAAATACCGCTTTAAGAGCATAATTAATATCTTATCTATGCCCACCTTATTAACAAGGAGAACACCTCTTAATAGGCTATTTACCATTTAACATATAACAACAATATTTACAAAACCCTTATTAGCTAATATATAAATAAAGGGCTTATAAACTAAGTTAGCATTAATTAATATAAAGCAAGGGCACAGCTTTATACTAATTAATGCCAACTTAGCCCATTTAACTTATTAATAACTTAGGCCGCTATAAAATTAATACTATATAAGTTAATTAAGCTGCTATTAATATTATTACGCCAATTAATATATAAATTAATATATTTTGCATTACCTTTAGCATTTAACTTATATTATCTTAAAAATTTTAAGGCCTTAATAAAGTTAATAGCTATAAAAAATTAACTTAATATAAATATAAATAAAGCATAGCATTACTTAAAATCCTTATAATATTATTTATTTACTTAACCATTTATAAGTAAAGTGCTCTTATTAATTATTTATTATAATACCTTACCCTTTTACTCTTTTATAGCTATATATTGCTAAATACTATTATAACTTAAAAGCATTACCTTAAACTTTTTAAAGATATTCTTACCTTAAATAAAAATAATCCTTAGCTATATAAGCAAACCTTTTATATAAATCTCTTTAATAAAAGCTATAATAATTTAATAATTAATAAAAGGGAAGTAATTTATAATATTTATAATATTTTTATAATAAGCTATCTTATAATTAGCATTAAATTCTTAACTAAAAGTATTATATATATTAATATAAGTAAGGAAGCCTATATGCTTATATAAATTCGTAAAAACCTAATTTATATTAACTTACTTATCCTTAATTTTATTCCTAATAAAACCCTTTTTTAAGTATAACTTTACTTTAGCTTTTATATATTACTTTTGCAAGGTATATATCTATATTACTATAATTATAATTACCTTTTAAGCCTTATTAATAAGAATAACTTTCATTATATTATTTATATTATTAATAAGATATTTATTATAATGCTAAGCTTTAATATAAGTAAATTTATAAATAATTATCTTTTTATTAAGCAAGATCTTTAATAAAAGCAAATTATTTACCTTTTTCTTCCTTATCTTAATAAATATAAATTACTATATAGCATAATTATTATAATAAGCAATTTTATAAAATAAATCATTATATAAGAACTTATATAAGTACTTCTTACTAAGTTTATATTGCTTATATTGCTTAATTTTAATAGCGCTTAATTTAATATTAATAAGGCAATACATAAGGTATTGCAAAACTATAAAGTTAGTAATTATATTAATATTAATGCTCTTTAGCTAAGATATTATGCTTAAGTTATTATTTTAAATAACTAAGGCAAGCTGCAAGAAGTTATTAATAATAAGCTAAAAAATAGCGCGTTATTATAATTAACTAAAACTCCTTACAAGCTTATTAAATTACTTATTAACGTTAAGCTAAATAAATAAGTAACCCTAAAAGCTTAATCTCTTAATTTAGGTAATAATATTAAAGAAGATAAATACTATAATACTATTAGCTTATGCAATAAATATTAAGGGAGGCCGGCAAGTTAGCATTAATTAATATAAATATATAAGCATAACAACCCATATAAATCTTTAAAGAAAGGGGGAAGGGTTAAAATAAGAATTAGCATTAATTAATATAAATTATTGCAATAAAAGTTGCATTAATTAATGCTAACTATTTAATATAAGGTTGAATGGATAATAATAGGTGCTAATAAGGGAAACTTAAAGTTATCTTATTTAATGGTTTTAAATTTGCATTAATTAGTGCTAACTTAAGAACTAAATTAGCTAAGCACCATTTTTACTTTACCTTACTTATTATTATTTAGTGCTTATAAATATACTTTATAATTTTAAGGCTAAGAATCTTACTAAGTTTTATAATGTTTACTTTAATAGCCATTAAAAAGTAAAAGAGCATAACTTAACAGTATTACTTTCTAATCTATTCTTAGTTCTACATAGTATTTGCATTTAAGGGTACCTAAGGCTTAAGTTTAGTAAATTTTATAATATTATCTTTAAAATCCCATTAAGTTAAATAAACTACCTTATTATCTTTATTTTTAATCTTATAAATAGGCAAGAAGCCATAATTTAAGGGTAAATTATACTTTATTAACTAAATCTTCTTCTTAATAAAATTAACCTTTATCTTTTTAATAAGGACCTTAAGGTATTTAAATAAACTTAATAAAGCTATAATAACAAAAAGGTTATTACCATTATAAAATGCTTTAAATTATAAAATGCTATTACTCTTAACTAATTCACTATTTAAAACGCCGGCTAATTAAGTTGGTTTCTTAAATTTTAATACCTTAGCTAATTTCTTAGGAGCTTTTAAAGAAGGCATAGGCTCAAACTTATTAGCCTTAAAAGGTAATTAAGCAGCCAACCTGCTCTTTCCTTAAAGCTATTTATTAAGCAAACTAAAAGCTGCAGTACTACTTTAGCCACAGCTTATACTGCTACTATAGCTACTAATTCTAATATTCACACAGCCTTAGCTTAAAGGCATTAATAGTTCTATATTAAAATCCTTAGCTAGCTTATTAAGTATAATATTCTTTAAGCAATGGCTTAAGTGCAATATTACCTTTTAGCCTTTAAGCTTTATAACTATGGCCTTTGCTTTCTTAAGGCCTATATTATCATTTTATATTTTCTTAATCTTTAAATAATTAACATTAATTAATGCAATTTAGTTCGTATACTTATAAAATTAAAATAAAGAGCGAAAGGTATAAGGAAAAGGAAAGAAATAAAAGAAAGGTAGGAAGTTAAGGGTTTAAATATCCCTAAGGAAAGAATTCTACCGCCTTGCAAATAAATCTTCACTACCCTCTCCTAATTAAAAAGGATATTACGTAATTTAACCTATCAGCATTTATTTACTAATACTAAGTAAGGTTTCCGCTTACTTAGTAATTATTAACAGTATTAGCAATAAAGCCTATTTACCTTTATACCTTATATAAATTAAATAGTTTATTATCTTAATAATACTTCTATTAATAATTTTAAGTAATTTAATTTAATAATTAGCTTTAATAAATACAAAGAAATAATTTAAAAGAGTATTAATTAATATATAATAAGTATATATTTAAAGTAGAATACTTAAAACATTTGCTTTATATAAATAGTAGGGTAGCTATAGTTTTAAAAAGCTAGCTCCTAAGGTATACCTATATTTTAAAGTGCATGCAGCCAATTTCCTTATACTAAGTGGGTCAACGCTGGAAGCTAGGTAAGCGTACTATAAAAGCTGGGTGGGCATACGCTGACTTGGATACCCGCCGCTCCATCGCGGTAGTCAAGTACCCACCCCCGACATGATATGATCCCTCGCGGGATGTTTCGAGCAAATTAGAGGCAAGAAACAAACGCCCGAAGGTCTAGAATTCCGGGAGCGGCACGAGGCTGGACGGGGACTGCTGCTTGATTATCCACCGGGTCATACAGGATATAAGAGCATCACTCTCGAACCTCGACGTTTGTGTTTACTCTCATTCCTCATTCCGCTCTTCAGCCCAAACTTCAAGTCCTTCCAGTCATTTTCGAAGCTAGTCTTCAGGTTCTTTCTCTTTCTCGGTCCAGGCCAGACATTAATTCGCAAGTCGAAACTTCCAACGCCTTTCTTCCAACGTCTAAACCAGCAAATCACGCGAGTACTCGAATTCCAGCGCACACATACAACAGACAACAAAAGAAATCTCGATATCAAATCGAAAATCAATCAAAATGGTCAAGATCACCCCCCTCGTCGCCTCCATCCTCCTGTCCATGGTCGCCGCCCAGGGCCAGGCCCAGTTCCCCACCGGCACCGACTTCCCTGTCCCCACCGGAACTGATGCCATCCCCTTCCCTTCCGGAACGGATGGCTTCGGCGGTGGCTTCGGCGGCGGCTTCGGCGGCCCCGGTGGACACCACCACTCTGGTGTCCCCAGCGGCTTCCCCAGCGGCTTCCCCACTGGTGGATTCGGCGGAGAGGGCTTCGGACACCACTCCGCGGTGGTCCCCGCCCCACTGGTGGTTTTGGCGGCTTCGGCGGTGAGAGGCCCACTGGTGGTAAGTCTTTGACTAGTGTTTCGGCACCAATGTTTCAATGCTAATAATGAATTCAGGCTTCGGTGGTGGTGAGGGTCCTCAGCCCACTGGCGGATTCGGTGGCTTCGGAGGTGGTGAGTCCGGCGGCGCCCAGCCTACTGGCGGCTTCGGTGGTGGCTTCGGAGGCGGTGAGTCCGGCTCCCAGCCCACCGGCCCCTTCGGCGGCTCTGGCGCGTCTCCCTCCGGCAGCTTCGGCGAGTTCGGTTCAAGCAACTACGCCAAGCGCCAGGAGTTCCAGGACGGCGCCCCATCCGGCTTCCAGACCTTCACCCGCGGCCCTAAGCCCACCGGCTCTTTCGGTGGTGAGGGCGCCCAGCCTTCTGGCTTCCCTCAGGGTGGCGAGTTCCAGAACTAAGTCTTTGGTTCTTGGTTGACAAGCGTCCATTTCTTCGACCACTCCACGGATCAGGCACTTAATATTGAGACGGCGACTCGCTAAATCATCAACAAGGCGCGAAAGGGCTCGAAATTGGGAATACGGTGTTCTCGGACTTTTCATGTAACTATTTTTCACCTCAAGGTGACAGGGCAAGCTCACTTGAGATGCTCACACTTTGAAGATGCGACTGGCATATTTGGGTAACATATACAACACATTGGTTTGAACCAACCATATGCAAGCTGAACAAACGGGTGTAATGCATGTATCCAATATGGTCTGCTCTAAAATCCCGAAAGTGTCACGATGTAAGGTAGTAGCGGGTGCCACAGAGTGTGGCGTCGCATCTTTTGACAGAAAGGTATTCCACAGTGGATGAATGACGCATTCTTCTGTGACGTAAAGACTTTCTGCAAGCGCCGCTCCGCCTAGACATGATATTATCCATGAGACTCGCGGCAGCCGTATAGGCATGTGCTGAATGGTCATTGCATTGTTTACTAGGGAACGTGCTTTTCTAGGGGGAGCCATCCATGATGATCTCAGGGAGGTTTCCTTCTAATCAGGTTAGCAAGACAACTTGGAAGCCCACGGTCCTGGAAACAGACCAAACTCTCTATGCGTTTATTCCCGCAATGATCGGTAGACTCACCTGTAAGGAAGGCAATTTAATGCGATCTTTCTTAGATCGGTATCCAGACCCATAGAAAGGTGTATGTGTATTGGACATGTCACGTATCGAGGGCTGACATCATTGCGAAATCAAGCCATGAGTATCGTCATCGAGTTTGCCTAGGACCAACGCACAGAAATAGGTTGAAGTTCAAAGTAGAGAATGGATTACTCCATGCAGGTCTATCAAATGAAGTAATTAGACACCTCGATGTTGTGCATGGACTGGCTTGGTCCAAAGCAATGCCTCGGCTCAGTCCCATTTCGCCGTCTTGGTATGACGGTCAATACGATAGTGAAAGTTTCTAGGGGTCCAAAAGAATCAAAATTACCCTCTATGGCAAGGCGCACTAGGCGGCTACCCGAGTGGGAGAGGATGGACCCTGAGACGGGCACGCAACACTTGGGATGAAACGTCACAAGGCTGATCTGCACCGCCCAAAGATTGCCAAGATGGGAATCTGCTTTCGAGAAAGTTCACGTCATGCCTAAATCGTCAACAAAGCCATTCAAAATGATCAAAGCCAAACTGCCTACCGGCCTGGTCCGACATCAGCCAACGATGCTGGAAGATTCTGCGCCAGGCAATACCGAACGTTCACGAGCTGAATTCCAAGCCAACGGCTCAAGTATGGCGGAGGTCCGATGAACCCTGAATCAGAAAACCTGGCCTGGATCACTGCAAGTGCAGGAAACGACGAAGGAGATACGCCTAGTTCACATGCTTTGGGGAACATCTGAGGGTTACGATGCTCCTCCAGACTCTACCATGACGATGGCGCATTTGGGATATAAAATCCAGCCCTGCTCAGGTCTGAGGAAAGGTTATTGAAGACAATTGCAAAGCAAACTGCACAGATTGAAACTCTTCATCCATCAACCAAACTCAAATAATCCCTCAAACAATTTGAAATCTCTTCAAGTCAAAATGAGATTCACAACAAGCACCACAGCCCTCCTCATCTCCCTCGCCCTGACAGTCTCAGCGGCACCAACGTGAGTACCTCAGCACATTTCGCAGGCACAAGACAGCCCGTAGCTGACACAGTACCTCCTAGGACACTCTCAACTTCTCTCAAGAACCCACCAGAACAAGAAGTCCCAAGCATAGTCGGCGGCCCTCGAGCTAGCAGGCGGCATCACCTCGGACGCCGGCGCAGACAAGGTCGGCGACGCGCTCTCGGGCGCCGGGGACGCGGTAGACGGCAGCGACGCGGAGAAGAAGAAACCCCACCGCGTGCGGACCCTCAAGCGCGGCGACAAGGCAGACAAGGACGGCAAGAAGGAGGCGGCGGCGGGCGCGACGGGCGGCGCCCTTGAGCTTGCCGGGGCCATCACGTCTGCCGCTGGGGCGGACAAGGTCGGGGATGCGCTGTCGGCTGCTGGGGGCGCTGTTGATGGGAAGAAGGGTGGTGATGGCAAGGCCGGTGATGGTAAAGGGTGTGATGGAGCGGCGCATTAAACACGTGCGGCTGAGGAAACAGCGTTAACTGAGCATTCCAGCCGCTTGGAGAAGCGAATTTGGTTCTCATCTTGTATTATTAGTATGTTTCTCAAGTACTGCATACTGGTGTTGTCCATATCAGAACCAAGTGTACTATATCCCATCACAAACATCCTCCCACGTCAGACAAAAGCCGCCCCGTTGACATGAACAATCTGCCCCGCAACCCACGCGCTGTCCTTGCCGCTGAGGAACGCCACCACACTCGCAATGTCCTCAGGCTCCCCCAGGCGACCAAACGGGCTGGCCTTCTTGATGCCCTCCAGCATGGCCTCGCTCTTGCCCTCGAAGAACAACTCTGTCCCCGTCGGCCCGGGCGCGACGGCGTTGACGTTGATGCCCTTGGCGGCCAGGTCCTTGGCCATGATCCGGGTCATCTGCTCGACCGCGCCCTTGGTCGCGCCGTACAGCAGGTACGGCGGCGCCACCGTGCTGGCCTTTGCGATGCCGGTGCTGACGAAGATCACACGGCCGCCGGGCGCCATGTGCGCGGCTGCTTTCTATGGACGGGTCAGCATGTGGGATGTTCGGTCAAGCAGGGACGGGTAAGACAAACCTGTGCAAGGAAATACGGCCCCTTGACGTTCAGCGCAAAAGCCCTGTCGAAGTCCTCCTCTGTCGTGTTCCCAGTCGTCCTCATCGGCATGATCCCCGCGTTGGGGATGACCACGTCGACCCGGCCGAACCTCTCCACCGTCGCGGCGATCAGCTTCTCCACCCCCGCGACGGAGCCGACGTCCGCCTGCACCGCGAGCGCCCTGTCCTGGCCAATGGCCTGGACGACCTCGTCCGCGGCCGAGGCGTCCCCGGAGAAGTTGACGACAACCGAGGCGCCGTCTTGGGCCAGCCGTTGGGAGATGGCCCTTCCAATACCCTTGGAGCCGCCGGTGACGATGATGACCTTCCCAGAGAGAGACATGCCGCTTGCTGTTGGTGGTAATTGACTCTTTGCGGATTGCTGGATATGTCGAAATGTGTATGGTGCGTGTAGCGAATTCGCTGGAATGTAGTGATGGCAAGTCTCCGGCGAGATAACTACAGCTCGAGGAGAGCAAAAGAGGCACGTTCATATCATCCTCGTGCCACCGGCGCTAACACGCACCGGCCTCATCCAGCGCGCATTAGCCACCCTTTATCTCCAGTAAACGCGGTTCAGCAGGATGGCCGAAGGGCGCATCGCCACGTCCTGATTGCTGATCAATGGGCTGCATTTCAGCTCTTGCACGAACACAAGTGAGCGAGACGTGGTCGTAAGGCCGACGAAGGAACAATGTGCGGATCAGATGAATCCACGCGGGTGGGTGGAGGTAAGAGCGGCTCGGAGCGCGACCCCGGCGTTGTCGTTGGGGCGTCGGATTTGGAACAATCCTGATGCCAAGATCCGATGGCTGTACATCTTCGGATTAAGACTCAGGGTCTAACCCGGAAATAGCCTTGTACTGCCAACCCTCATTTCACATGTGCGCAGTCGCAGTCGAGTGTCTACTCTTGCGCCCACAAACGCAGACCTCTGTCATTTCCACATGGTCACTGAACACGATTTTTACGAAGCACGTTTCTTCTTGGTGACATGTGGTCGTCTATCACACAGCAGAGGCAGCACATGAACGTGGGTTTCTCAGCATCAAATCGGCTGCGAGTCTCATTATGGTGCTAAGCACCTATCATACACGCATGGCCGCAACTCATTAAACCTCAATCTCCTTAGCATCAGCCTGCACATTCATCGTGTTCAGCACCGTCTGCGCGCTCCTCTTCTCCAGAGACTTCTTGACCGGGTTCGGCGCTGAGAAGACCTCCTCCAACTCCTCAAGGGTGCGGCCCTTGGTCTCGGGGAAGAAGAAGTACATGAAGGCGCCCTCGAACAGGTCCCAGAAGACGAAGACGATGTAGAAGTAGTAGCCAATCTTCTCAAATGCCGGGCCGGAGCTGTACTGGATGATGACGCTCGAGACGGCAGAGGCAAAGTTGCCAACGGCCGTACCTTTGGCGCGGGTGGATGTGGGTAGCGTCTCGGCGATGTACATGCTCTGCAACGGTGTCCAACCAAACGAGAAGACAATGCCGAAGATGAAGATGAAGGCGACGGTGGCGTTTCCTGCAGAGTGGTTGTCTGGCTGATCGATAGACAGCTTCGAGGTGCCGGTGATGATGGCAAAGCATAGCGATGAGAAGACGATGGAGTACAGCAGCAGAGGCCGTCGTCCCACGACGTCGGTCATACGGGCGCCGAGACAAGCGCCGAAGAAGCAGAGCACGGGGTTGATACCGTTCAGGGCCAGGACTGTGTGCTCCTGGGTAATGCCGGCGTTGACGAGCATAGTAGGCAGGTAGTAGCTCGATAGGGAGTTACCACTGAGTTGACCGAAGCAAGCCATGCCGAGGACACAAATCAAACGCCTGCGGGCTGAGTGCGTGTCCCAAAGCTCGTGGTAGTCCCACCACTTCTTGTCCGACGCTTCACTGGAGATCTGATTCGCCATTTCCTTCAACTGAAGCTGAACGTAAGGATGGTTCGGGTCACCCTCGCCATGGTATTTGGTCAGGACTCTGGCGGCCTCCTCATGCCTGTCTCGGGCAATAAGCCAACGAGGCGACTCTGGCAAGGTGAAAGCGAAGATCACGACAAGCCCAGAAGTAATCATTTGGCACCAGATGGGGATCCGCCATGCCCGAGTGTGGTCGTCGATATAGGCACACCCATACACGACCCACGAAGCAATTATACTACCGATGTACCAAGTGCAGTTGTAGAGTCCAGTCAAGGTACCGCGAAAGGCTGGGTGGGCCATCTCGCTGACATATGTTGGCGCGGAGACACAGCAGAAGCTGACGCCGAAGCCGAGAATAAATCGACCGCCGAGGAATTGGCGCTGGGTCGTGGAAGGGGCCTGCACGCACGTTCCGATGATGACAATGGCCGAGCCGATGAACATTCCGGCGCGTCGTCCGAGGTAGTCGTTTATAGGGCCGGTGAGGAAGACGGCTGCGACCGAACCAATATTGTACATGGCAAAGACGAGACCGGTTCCGGATCCTGCCTCGCTCCTTTATTTTCAGGCATGATTAGCATCTTTGCCAGAGAGTCTGGCACAGAAGGGGGTACAGACATGTTGAAGTAGCGCTGATACGCTTTCATTCCGTTCAGACCACCCATAAGCGACCCATCGTAGCCATTCAGGCAGCTAGGACCATGTCAGCAATGTCACCTTTTGGCAAGACATGAGAATCTTTGTGGTTTTCTCTGTTTTCTCTGTTGCAGAAGAAGAGTGGCAACGTACCCGCAGAGGTAAGCAACAGAGAGAACAAGGTAGAGCCGGAACATTGGCCATGTCCAGGGAGAGGTCTTGCCCTCTGTTTCGTGGGCTATGTGAACGACATGGTCGACATTGGTCGGGTCGTCATGGTGGTCGACACTATGGACGCCGGTAGGCTTTTCGTCGATGGTCGCCATGGTCGCCAGAGTATCTCAGCGGCTGTTGAGGAGATGGTGAAGAATTGCAGTCCACCCAAAACCGGCGTGATCCGAAAGGCTGAGAGGTGAGAAGGTGGGTGGAGGCAGGAGGCATAACTTTATATGTGCATCACTTCGAGGGCAGGATAGGCGAGACGCAGTGCAACCTTGGGGGCAGACAGAGCGCGTCCAGACAGGCCTAGCGGGCATGGACCGACAGTCGACCAAGGCAACCAACCAACCGGCCAACCCATGCTGGCGCGAGCTTGAACGGTGGTGAACCGAAGAACTGGTCCGACGCGTCGGGCCCATGGGCATGTGGACGGAGATGCAGAGTGGGCAGAGGACACCAGGGGACTATGGTTGGTTCCTGGGTCCCCCGCATTACTGCCATTGGTGGGTAGACAGCACCCCATGGGCAGCGACATGCGATGGCCCTAGTGGACAATGGCCGGAGATGGCCAGCCTGGTGCGCTACGGACCCTTGTTGTGAAAGGAGGCGTGCATGTTGGATGTCGGCTCCGGACGGCCCATTGGCTTCGTTTTGTCTCGAAGCAGCCGGGCAAGGGAGAAAGAAGTCAGGCAATCGGGGCAGTGTGGCTCGAGAGAGGTGCGGGTAAATGCACGCCATGCAAAAGAAGGAAAGACAGCTCGGTATGTCGGGCAAGAACTGCTGGGTGTGCCGTGCCCCACTCTTTCCATCTCGTGGCTTCCTCAGACCGGGGCAGGGCCTGGGCTGATCTGGGGTGAGGATGGGGTTGTCTGACAGACCCACCCTCTTCCCCCAAGCTCGGCTCCGTCTTCCCCGGCTGGTCCTGCAAAGACACATGCACATGTACCTATGCTCAGAAACAAGCCGCGTGGATACTTCTCCCCTAGTTCTACCGACTAAGGTTTCAATCAACTCACCCAATGTTTTCCAGCACCCTAGAGGACTTTTTTTTGGTCTTGCAGGATGCTTTTACGAGATCAGCTGCCCAAAATCTGGATTGCACTGTCTTCTTCCCGGGACCAAACTCGTGGCGAGGTAACTCTTGTATTGTACCGGATAGTCTAGATCCGCACGTTGTCAGGAACCTGTCTCGTGTAAGACAAACGAAGACCGCAGTCTACAACGGCAACACGATACTGCAGTGCTCGCCATTGAGGAACAGTCAACATGTGAGTGCGGGTTCCTTTGCGGAGAATGCGGGGTAAGAAGGGAGCGTCAGTTGGGGTGAGCATGACCCCGCCATGGACAGGCACGACATGTGCGAAAGGGCTTCATTGCTCGTCAGGTCTGGGCAGAGAAAAAAAAGTCCCAATTTTGTTCCCTTGGCTTGGCCTATTCAACCGAGAATTGCCCGCTCCCGACCAGAGGAAAACATTCTCATCACTACCGACTCGTTCTTCGGAAACAGGCAATCCATGCATGTGCGGGTTCCAATCGCAGACGCGCCCCATGCAGAATTGTGGACTGGTAGCATCATCGTCCCTGCAGAGTAGCATACTTCGGCCTCCTCATCCAAGCAGGAGCGAGATCGTCTCGGGAGCTGTCCGCCCCGCCCACTGTTGACAGTCACATTATTATCGTGGTCACTGCATGCATCATCGTCTCGAAGGTCTCATTGTTGTGGTCACTGCAGCTCTAGCCAAAGCTCGTGTCACTATCGGTAGAGCTCTAGATAAAGCTCGCACTGCTCGCACTTCGCCCCCCTCCCCACCCACACTCCCACCTCTTCCCCAGCTCTCCCACCTCGTGACGAGACCTCAATGGGACAAAACTTCAGGATGGCTCCTCGCGGCATTCCTCTCCAGGAGCACAAGGATAGGCCCGACTACATCAACGAGGCCGTCTTCAGGCGCAACTGTCTCCCCGCCCGCTCCTACTTCATACCGGAGACCTCGCTGCTGCTCAATGGCAGCTGGGACTTCCACTACGCCTCCACCCCGCTCGAGGCCCCCGAGCCAGAGGCCGGCGAGACCACAGCCTGGGGTAAACTGAATGTGCCAGGTCACTGGCAGCTCCAGGGACACGGAAAGCCCTGGTACACCAATGTCCAGTTCCCGATCCCCGTCTGCCCTCCTTACGTGCCCAGTGACAACCCTACCGGCACTTACAGAAGGGCATTCCACGTCCCAAACACCTGGGACTCCGGATCCCAGCTGAGACTGCGCTTCGACGGAGTAGACAGCGCGTATCATGTCTTTGTCAACGGTGTGCTGGTAGGCTATGCGCAGGGATCGAGGAACCCGCACGAGTTCGATGTGTCCGACTATGTCGCCAGGGACGGGCCAAACGAGTTGTTTGTACGCGTCTACCAGTGGTCAGATGGCACTTATATAGAGGACCAGGACCAATGGTGGCTTTCTGGTAACTATACCTATCCCTGGCGTGCTCCGGGTATCTCATGCTGACTTCCGCCCCAGGTATCTTCCGAGACGTCCATCTGCTTGCTTTCCCCGCCGAAACCAGAATCGACGACTGGTTCTTGCGAACTGACCTGGACTCCAACTATGAGAATGCCACACTAGAGGCCTCAGTGGATGTGCTGAGCAAAGAGAAGGCAACTCTGAAGCTCACACTCTCGGAGCTGGATAAGGAGGGCGGCAAGGTCATTGACACGAAAGAAGTCTCTGTGCAGTCAGGTACATCCAAAGTCGATCTCTCCATACCTGTGAACAAGCCGGAGAAGTGGACTGCCGAGTCGCCATATCTGTACAACGTCGAGCTTGCCCTGAGCAGCTCTTCTTCGAAACCGTACACCGTCACACAGAGGATTGGCTTCCGGAAGGTCGAGCTCATCAACGGGCTCATGACCGTCAATGGCACCCCTATACGCCTGCGGGGTGTCAACCGGCACGAGCACCACCCCCACTTTGGCCGGGCTGTTCCGCTTGACTTTATCAAGCGTGATTTGCTTCTCATGAAGACGCACAACGTCAACGCTCTTCGCTGCTCCCACTACCCCTCCCATCCTAAGATCCTGGATATGTGCGACGAGCTTGGTCTCTGGGTCATGGACGAGGCTGACCTCGAATGCCATGGTTTCTATGACGCAGTCGCAAGGCCTCAGGACATCCCTGAGCACCAGGACTACGAGGAGCGTAAGAAGTTCACCTTCCCCCAAGCTGCCAAGTTCACCACCGACAACGCGGCCTGGAAGGAGGCATACGTAGACCGTATGCGGGATCTTGTCCAGCGCGACAAGAACCACACATCTGTCATTGTGTGGAGCTTGGGCAACGAGGCCTTCTACGGTCAAAACCACAAGGCCATGTACGAGTACGGCAAGAAGGTTGACCCAGGGCGGCTGATCCACTACGAAGGTGATGTGCACGCGGAGACGGCCGACATGTACAGTTACATGTATCCGCCCATCGAGCGGCTGCTCAAGCTTTCCCAGACCGAAGGCGTCAAGGATGGCAAGTTTGAGAAGCCCGTGGTCCTGTGCGAGTACGGGCACGCTATGGGTAACGGTCCCGGCTGGCTCGAAGATTATGAGGAGCTTTTCCGGACGCACCCCCGCCTCCAGGGCGGCTTCATCTGGGAGTGGGCAAACCACGGCCTCTGGAAGGAAGAGGGCGACGGTACTGGCAAGGGTGGATACTATGCGTACGGAGGCGACTTTGGCGATGTTCCCAATGATGGCACATTCGTCATGGATGGATTGTGTTTCAGCACCCATGAGCCCACCCCAGGTCTGACCGAGTTCAAGAAGGTCATCCAGCCAGTGGGGCTTTCCGTCAACGGTCAGAAGCTTACTCTGGAGAACTACTACGACTTCATCGACCTCAAGCACCTCGCGGCCTCCTACAAGTTGGAGGAGTTTGGGGAGGAGTAAGTGATCTTGCCCACCGCCCAGCCAAAATTTGTTCACTAATAAACTCTTTTTAGATCTAAGCTCCTTGCATCCGGCAAGCTTGACATTCCTGACATCAAGGCTGGCAAGAAGGGCGAGATTGATCTGAGCGGGCCCTTGTCCAAGTACAAGAGCAGCAAGGAGGTGTATGTGACTGTGTCGCTGACCCTCCGTGACGAGACATCTTGGGCAGCCGCCGGCCACGAGATTGCCTGGAAGCAGTGGCAGGTATCCAAGGCGGCTTCCCCAACGACGTCGCTGGCCCTGAACAAGATGTCGTCTCCGGTCCAAGTCACCTCGGCTGGTGCAAAGGTCAACGTCTCCGGCCCCAATTATAGCTTCACATTCGACCGCGCTCGCGGAGCTCCGACCTCTTGGGCCGTCAACGGCGTGTCTATCCTTGAGGCCAACCCCACCACCGGTGTCGCTATTGAGCCATCCTTCTGGCGCCCTGCCACAGACAACGACGTCCCTGGCGAGCTCCCCTACTGGCAGCGCTTCGGTGTGGATGTGCTGGGAAGTCAGGGCCGTTCCTTCACTGTCGACACTTCTGATTCGAACAAGGCCGTCCTGAAGTCTCACATATTCATCACACCACCAATTCTGGCATGGGGATATGAGTGCCACATTGAGTACACAATCACAAACACCGGCACCCTGCACATCGACGTCAAGAGCGCCAAGCCCACAGGCGCGAAGCCCACGCACGTGCCGCGCGCGGGTCTGAACCTGAGGCTGAGCAAGAAGCTCGACAAGGTCAAATGGCTCGGCCTGGGCCCGGGCGAGAGCTACCCGGACAAGAAGGACTCGCAGCGCACCGGGGTCTGGACGGCCGACTCGGTCAAGGACCTGCAGACGCCGTACGAGGTCCCGCAGGAGAACGCGAACCGCATGGAGGCGCGGTACGTGACGCTTACGGACAACCACGACGCCGGCGTCAGGGCCGTCGCGCAGGGCTTCGAGGGCGGCTTCAGCTGGGTGGCGAGCAACCACTCTGCCGAGACGATCCAGAACGCGCGGCACCCGCCTGACCTGGTTGAGGAGGACGCCACGCTGCTGAGGCTGGATTACCAGGTTGCTGGCGTGGGCACGGCGGCTTGTGGGCCTGGTGTGAGGGAGGATCTGCTGGTGAAGGCTGAGGAGATCAGCTTTGGGTTTGTGCTGGAGAGTGTTGGACTGTAGGTACCCTCTTCGACACAATTGGGCACCTAGGTAATGACCGTGCACGACTTTGATCTCATTGGTCGAAGATGGACACATCGTAGATCACGAATGATAGAACATGATGCATGATAGGTGTGCCTCCTCTTTTCGCCGATGAAATGTGACTCTGTCAGCACTAGAGGACCTTCGCATGCTGCCGAAGGTGCCTCGCGTCTGGTATGCATGGCCTCCGCAGCATGGCCTGCATGGTCGACCACTATATAATCAACCTGCTGGCATATTCTGATTGATTGTTTCTTAATCATCAGATCCTAACCTGGCCACTCGACAGTCACTCTCACAGACATCATGGCAGCCTTCATGTCTCTATACAGTACCTTGCTATGGACAAGCATTCTTGCCGTGCTTTACATTGGATACCGTGCAGCTCTACCGAAGCCCCTGCCCGGCATCCCATACGACCACGATGCGGCAAGGAAGCTCTTTGGCGATGTGCCCGAGATGATGAGCTACGTCAGGCGCACGAAGCGGATATTTGTGCGTGTCCTGATGAGCCTGGTTTCAAATAATATTGATCCTATGTTTTCGTGCTAACTCCCTCCAGTGCTGGCTCACCTCCCTAACAGACCGGCACAACAGCCCCATCGTGCAGGCGTTCATCAAGCCCTTCTCGCTCCCCTGGGTGGTGGTCACAGACCCCTTTGAGAGCCAGGACATCCTGCTCCGGCGCAGCCGCGAGTTCGACCGGGCGCCCTTCTTCCGCGAGGTCCTCGGCGGGCTCATCCCCAAGCAGCACTCCCACTTCCTCAGCACCGACGACCAGTTCCGGAGGAACCGCGCCCTCGTGAACCACCTCATGGCGCCGACGTTCATCCGCGAGGTCAGCGCCCCCGAGATGTACAGGGAGACCGAGGAGATGATCCGCGTGTGGGGGGTCAAGTGCGACAAGGCGGCCGGCAGGCCCTTCTCCGCCCACCACGACCTGACGTACCTCGCGCTGGACGCCATCCTCGCGGCCATGTTCGGCCTGGGCGGGGAGGAGGATATCACTATGCAGCGCCTCCGCGAGGTCCAGAAGTGGACGTCGGGGCTGGAGTCTACCAAGAACGCCGACGAGCCGGTGCCTTTCCCCGAGAATGAGGACATCGTGCCGCCCATCTCCGCCGCCATCATCACCCTCTCCGTGTCCCTGACGGACAACCAGCTCTCGCCCATGCCGGCCCTCACGGCGTGGGTGATGCGGAAGTTTCCCTACATGAGGAAGGCGATCGCCATCAAGGAGGAGTACCTCCACCGAAAGGTCAACGAGTGTATCGCGCTCATCGCCGCAGGTGACAACGCCACGACTGCCTCCCAGCCCCGCAGCGCGCTTCACTCCGTCCTGCTCCGCGAGCGAGAGACGGCGTCCAAGGAGGGCCGCAGGCCAGAGTACCACAGCCGTGCGATCGCGGACGAGTTCATCGGCTTCATGATGGCCGGTCACGACACGACGGCAACGACCATGGCGTGGTCCGTCAAGCTGCTGGCCGACAACCCGGGAGGCACAGGGCCGCCTGCGGGGCGAGCTGCGGGCCGCCCTCCCCGCCGCCGCCAGTGGAGAGCGGGCTCCTACCTACACGGAGCTGGCGGGTGCGCACGTGCCGTACCTGGACGCCGTGGTCGAAGAGACTCTGCGACACGCCAACTCGATCGCGTTCGTGGTGCGGCGGGCCATGTGCGATACAGAAGTGCTGGGCCGGAACATCCCGCGCGACACCAACGTGTTCCTAATGGCCAACGGGGCCGGGTACCTCACCCCGAACATGCCCATCGAGGACGGGCTGCGCAACCCCAGGGCGCGGAGGGAGGTCGCCTCCAATGCCAAGGCACTCACGGGGGCCTGGGAGGACGGCGACATCGGCGCCTTCCGGCCGGAGCGGTGGCTCAAGACGACGGCGGAGGGCCTGGCTTTCGACTCCATGGCCGGGCCATCGTTATCCTTTGGATTAGGTCCCAGAGGGTGCTATGGCAAGAGGCTGGCGCTGCAGGCGTTGCGGATCCAGATCGCGCTTGTGGTGTGGCACTTTGAGCTGAGGCGGTGTCCCCCGGGGCTGAGTTCGTATAATGCTGTGCAGAAGTTCGCGCGGGAGCCTACGCAGTGCTATGTCAGGCTGTCAAGGGTTGAGTGGTAACCGCGGGGCTTTAATACTTCTGCCTATCACCGGTTCCTACGTTTCTAGTCAACAAGACATAGCGCTCCGAGGTTTGAGAGTATGGTCGAGCGGACTCAGGGGGGCATATCGATAGGATAGCGAAATCATCTGTCACTCTACGTATATGAATTTTGATATAAGGTGATCAGGTTCAAACTACGATGAGCTCGATGGAGAGCGCAGTTATGGGTGATGTGACTACATGCTTTCCAGCCGAGCTTGTCCACTCTTACTTGTTAGTTACAGGATATTTGAGATCCTGTTCAGAGTCCGATGAGTTGGCATAGAGAAGGAACACTGTCAAGTCAGATACAACTGTCAAACTTATAGTTAAGCGTCCGCATCCCCTCGAGTCTATCCTGCAGTACATGCCGCTGCCACCGATTCCGCAAGATCCACAGTCTCTGAGTTATATCCACTATGCCCTCTCTTGTCCAGACTTTCTGAGGATCTCACTAGAGAATGGAGCGGACCCCAACTCTGGTGACGACTGCACCCGGCCTCCATTGTTGCACTTTCTCACCATGGTCGACAGGCTGAGACCCGCCAAGCCGGAAGCCCTCAGGATCCTACCGGACAGACGGCGAGGGACAGTCATTCCTGACAATAATGAGGAGATGCACCTTGGCCATGGCCAACAATGCGCTCTTCGACGCAGAACTTGAGAATAAGAACCTAGGGTTTGCAGCGGGTCTACTAGTGAGAAATTTCTTCATCACCTTGGATGCGAAATCCGGCGAGGACTCCGTGAAGCCGCGGCCAGAGGCTGTAGCGGACGCTAATTACTACGATTATCTTGATCGGGTGGCTGCAGATTCTGACAGGAAAAGACGACTGGAACAGTCGGGATGGAAACAGAAGATGGAGGTAGTTGAAGGGGTCCAACCGCTTCTGGCTTCTTCATTCCTTTGGAGCCCTTTCTAGTCTCCACTGTAGTATTAATAAGTCAGTTTGCATGAGAATTTTAGTAACTGATATTCCAAAGTTGCCATCGAAAAGTGAAAGATTGTAACCGATTATCAGTGTACATGTTAGGAATCGCGACCGAACGCTCCCGCTCATGAAGTGCTCAGGTGCACTGGACTCCCGCACCAAAGCCGCCATCCGAGAATTGGACCCAGGTATCATTCGCAGCAAACACAGCCAGAGAGGCTGTGTCCTCACTGTACTTGGGCCACGTTACCGCGACCCCGTCTGTGGGATCAGCCGAGGAATTGGAGGCGAATGAGAGCCAGAGCGCCTCCATTCCGTAGCTTGTCTCCCATTCAAACTCGGTCGAGTTTCCACGGTACTCGAAGTGCGTCCCGAAGAGAAGTGGGAGCTCAGCTGGGACATTATCGTTCAGATTAGACGGTGTCTTGTACTGTGGGCTAGAGGACCGATGATGTACACAAATCACTTACAGCTGTGTGCAGCACCGACCCATGGCAGTGGTGAGATGTTGGTAAAGTTGCCCTCGTAAAAGTAACGATATGTCGGATATCCAGCCCTCGCTCGATTGCTTAAGAACAGAGACGTTGCTGTCAGTAAAGGGAAAGCTAGTGTTTGTATAGAAATCCCGCAGTGACTTACCTCGCTTCCTTGACAACTGGGCAGCCGATCGCCGCTTGAAAGCCGTCCTTTGTCGCCTGTGAAGGCCCCGAGGTTTCGTTGAAGACTCCAGATGACGCACCCTCGTTGGCGTTGTGCCCGAGAATCGCCGGCTATAAAATCAACAGGTCAATGTGTGGCATATGAATCTGATCTCTGGCAACACTTACGATCTTGGCCAACAAGCCCTGCGCTATGCGATCCGTCGTGTTGGAGAAAGATGTGACATTGTCCAGGACCGGTCCGAAGCTGAGGCTCGACGTGTTGGACACAAAGTCCTGCAGCGTATTCGCATCCACGCCTTGCACGCACTCAAGCTCCGCAGAGGCATTCCCGGTCAGACCACCACAGCCCACCAGGCTGGCAAGGGTGCTGAAAGTCGTATAGTTACCAGGCTGACGGCCGAGGTTCGACGGCGAGGCGGCCCCTGAGTCCGAGATCGTAGCGGCCACAATGGGGTCGTCAGGATACCCGTAGCCGTAGACGGACGAGGACATACCGCCGGCAGACTGGCCCCAGAGGACCATGCGCTCTGTGTCGCCTCCGAAGGCCGCGATGTTGTCCCGTGTCCACTCGACGGCCAGGCGCTGGTCCAGGAGCCCGACGTTCTCGTGGGCTGCCCCGCCGTTGGGGAAGCCGAATGCGTTCACGCGGTACTGCATTATCACGACGATGTGTGACTGAGTCCGCTGGATCCACTGGTCCGGGATTTTGTAGAGCGAGTTGGAGCCGCCTGATGTGAAGCCGCCGCCGGGGATATAGATGAAGACCGGGAGGCTTTCGCCCACCGGGTTAAGAGGCGCATACACATTGACGTAGAGGCAGTCCTCAGAGTCAGGCCCGTTGATCAAAAACTGGGTGAGGACTTCAGTGTACAGGCTCGTGCTGCTGCTGCGTTGTTGTTTGCAGGCAGGGGCGTAAGTAGTCGCGTTGAAAGGGGCGGGCTCTTTGGTCGGGGGGATAGGAGGCAAGAAACGCAGAGATCCCACAGGGGGCTCAGCAAATGGAAGACCGAGGAATTGGCGGACAAGCGGTGCGGTTGCGTTGATGAAGCCGGTCACTTCGCCGCCCGTCGTCTGAACGGTGAGAGGGGCATCACTCTGGGCCGTGACACTTTGAGCGAAAGTGGCCAGGTGAACCACCAGCATGGCAGCCACATGTTTCCAGCTAAGCGCCATGTAAGTGGTGTGAGGGCAAGCTTGTGTCAAAATAAAACCTAGGCACTTAAGAGTTCAGAGGAGCAGCACGACATGGCCTCCGCACAAAGTACGCTCTCCGGCTTAGTATTTATAGGCACGCAGAAGCAGACATCTTGTTTTCGCAAGGAAAAACGCCTCGGTAACACACAATATGAGAGTCGGTCCGACATTGGCACGAATTGGGGCTTTCGTGATGAACGTGATGGCAACTGGGGAAAACATTTACCAGACTTCCCTGCAGTTCCTCGCATGTGTTCATCTGCGAGGCTCCCCCCGGGGTTTGTGGGGCAACTTCCCCAGGGGCAGTCAGTTCCCCGGACGAACAAACATCCAACTCCAATAGCGCGACAGCTCCCGAGGCCAAGGTAACTCTTTAGTAGGCAGGAACTGCAATCGATTTCTAACACTTGAGTCAGATCTAGACTCCGCACGGGCTGAACGAGCTGCGCGGAGGCAATCTAGCTGCGTCAGCATCAAGATTAGGGGCGTATCGTGCCCACCTTTCCGAACTGAGTGATACTAAGCGTAAATACTTTGCCTGGAGTTGAACTAATAAACAGGGCCTGGTGAGAAGTTCTACCCGAATGCGTATTGAGATTGCTTGCGTCCCTCCTGTTTCCCTTCAAATCTGATAGTTTGTGCGTAGAATTTACCGCAGTGCACTAACACCTTCTAACATCAGCCCTCGGTCTGCAGCTCCCTCGTACCGCTCTGTTCAGATGTTCTGCTGTGTCGAGATGTAGCACAAAGGCTAAGCGAGGTGTGTGCAGAAACCTTTTCTTCTAACAGAACAGAAAGATTGGCGTCGGCTGAACAACTACAACTCTAAGGACTTGCTTTTAGTGGGTCGCGGTTACTCAGCGATGGGCCAGTATTACAAATGAGTTTTTGGGATCTAAAAGTCTGGATAGCGCCAGCATCCCGAGTGATATTTCAAAGACTGCAGACATGCAGTGTACCGGTACGCCGTGAAACAAAATGAATCTTTCGTCAGATACCATCTCGCTGAGACTGGAGCCCATGTGCGAAACTGCACATTGGGCCTCCATGGACATAGAGGAGTAGAGGCTGGGTGGATGTTTTAGTCTACCAACCTGGCAGGCGACCATTTTGTTGAACAAAAGCGACGCCGCTAATGCGGCACAATTACACACACCTATATTTCCACACATTTGATAGTCTCAAGTCAAGGAATCGACACCGAAATCAGCGTGGAGCTTTCTGCTTGGAGAATCGATTGTGGACATGCACAGCGACCAAGAGTCTTGCTGACCACGGCGACACCGGGATGGGTTGGTGTTTGTTCCGGAGAGTGAATCTATCGTCGGTTTTCTCGTGAAGGCTGCTTCTCAGCCTCAGTTTCCACACTGGACACACATATTCTTTCTCCCTTAGAAAAAACAGAGCTCTAGATGCGACGGGCTGGATTCTGGATGATAGATTCCTGGTGCACAATAATGGTAATAGGTACGTACTTAGTTTCCCCCTAGACATACGTGACCCTTCAGTAACAGAATTGTTTTGGCAGGTGTTCCAGCTAGCCAATGGCATGTTAACCAAAACTCATCGCAAGATTTCAAGCTGGAGATCTTCAAGTCTAGAATCAATACTTTCCGGTAACAATGGAGTGCACTCCACAGATGAGCACGGGATTAGTCACTAAATCCGATGTGGGTCCCAGGGCAAAATTGGGTCTCGTCCTCCTGCTCCTCTTGGGCTTGACTTGGGCACATCGGCGAACGAATCTGCGAAGTTTTCTTGAGATCCGAGCTTACTCTACACGCGTATTTATTAACAGTCAAAGATGGCGTCGTGGGTCAGCAATTGGATGAGCAAGAAGCAGGTCAGCAAATCCGGACCCGGGCACAACTTCCCCAGCTTCTCCAACGGCGGCCAGCAAGAGTACGTACGGTTTGGTGATGCAGGGATGGGCCCGCACGGGCTCGGGGTCCCTCCTCAATGCCAGAATGCCCACTGTTCCCCGCACTAGGATCGTCCTCGGCATCATTACTGACCACCGCTGGTGAGAGTGGGTTGGACGGACGGGCGCCGAAAGAAATCTGCCAGGTCGGCCCCCAGACGTCGAGAGTTGCAGAGCTGACGTCTTGAACCAACTTTATCCTCACGAGTAAATTAAGTCCCAACCCACCTCTGCCTTGTGAAACATTGCTCCTCACTCTGTCCCGTCACCCCGCAAAGCTCACCTTAAGTCACCTCAGCTCACCTTAAGTCACCTCAACTCACCTCACCACCACCACCCAACATGGCTCCCCCCTTCCGCGCCGAGCACATGGGCTCCCTCCTCCGGCCCCAGCCCCTCCTGGACGCCCGCGAGGCCATCCGCCAGGGCAAGACGCCCGAGGAGGCCGGCCTGCCGGGGCTGGAGAAGCAGTCGGTTGCGGAGGTGGCCAAGATCCAGACGGACCTGGGCTTCCGCGCGGTGACGTCGGGCGAGCACAACCGCACGCGGTTCTGGGGCCTGATGTGGGACGAGTTCGAGGGCACCGTGGCCCTGCAGGAGGCCGACGCCAGCATGTTCCGCCTCTACCACCCGGACGTCGTCTCGCTCATCGAGAAGGAGCGCAAGGTCATGCCCGGCGACAGCGTCATCGCCGGCTCCAAGCTGGGCCACAGCGCGGCCAAGAGCAAGAGCAACCTGCACGAGCTGCAGCTGGTCCAGGCCGCGCTGCCCAAGGAGCGGTGGGGCGACATCAAGCTGACCATGATCACGCCCGCCTGGTTCCACATGCGCTACAAGCAGAACAAGGCCTGGAAGGAGGGCGTGTATGCGAACGACGCCGAGTACTTCAAGGACGTCGCGAAGGTGTACCAGGCCGAGCTGGACCTGCTGTACAAGGCCGGGTTGAGAAACGTGCAGATCGACGACCCTGGTCTGGCATGTGAGTCTGCTGATCTCTCCGAGTTGTGTCTCGGAGTGGAATCAATCCCGGCCTCTCTGCATGGCTAGCACTGGCTGCAAGATGGAACGAGACTGACGACTGTGGCAGACTTCTGCTCCGAAAAGTTCCGCCAGGGCTGGGCCGAGGACAAGGACAACATCGGCGAGGTGGACGACCTGCTCGACGCGTACATCGCGCTCTACAACGACAGCATCTCCAAGGTGCCGGCCGACATGCACACGGGCGTGCACCTGTGCCGCGGCAACTTCATCGGCGGGCGGCACTTCGCCGAGGGCGCGTACGACATCATCGCGTCCAAGCTGTTCCGGGACCTCAAGGTCAACACCTTCTACCTCGAGTACGACACGGAGCGGGCGGGCGGCTTCGAGCCGCTCAAGTACCTGCCCAAGGACCGCAACGTCGTGGTGGGCGTCATCAGCACCAAGCTGCGCGACCTCGAGGACAAGGAGGAGATGAAGAAGCGCATATACAAGGCAGCCGAGTACGTCGCCGAGGGCACGGGGCAGACCAAGGAGGAGGCCCTCAAGCAGATCGCCGTGAGCCCGCAGTGCGGCTTCAGCACCCACGAGTCGGGCTACCCGCTGAGCCTGGAGGACGAGAAGAAGAAGCTGGCGCTGGTGAGGCAGATTGCGGACGAGATCTGGGGCGAGCCTTAAGCACTCAAACCCTAGTTGAATGGGGCGCAGGAATGGTTAGAACGGGGATGTGTGGCGTCTTAACTGGGGGCCTGGGGATGAAAATCGGAGTTGTGGCATTTCAACAGCATCAGAGGTCGTGCATGGGGCGATAGGATGAATCGCCGGGGTGCCGAGACGGTGTTTGGTTCCGGGGCGGTCTGGTCAATAAGGGAATGGGCATGATACCATGGATTCAACTTCCATCTTGGTTTTGGGTGGCGTGCAACGAGAGTTCGCCAGCGAACGGAAGGTGTTTCAAGAATGTTCAAATGCTAAAATGTCCAAATAGTCTAAAAGCTCGCATGCTCAAGCAGAAACTGTTGCAAATGGACAGCAGACCAAAAACTATCTGAAAGCTCCCAGAGATCTGGTAGCAAAGCAGCAAAGCGACGGGATCATGGTCCTGGTGGAGGTCTCTATTCCGGAAGTGGCAGCTCGGAAGATTTCCAGGTCGCATCCAAGGAACTAAACCATTGGTGCGCATGGGTTTCGAAAACCCGACCGTCCTTAAAAGGACCGATCACAGAGCTTGGATGCGGGAGCGGCCAGGCGAACCTAGTCATTGACCTGGGGGCAATTCATGGTTCCGGCAGTCAGCAGACTCATGAGACGCATGGGTTCAAGAAGAGAGAAGCAGGCGGCGGAAGTGATGGCATGACGAAAAGAATACATCTCCGTCCCAGGATTACCTGCAATTACCTGCAATCACATGCAGACGACACACCTCTTCTTTTCCCCTGGACTCTGCCCCTTTCTGGATTGCTCGCCCTGACACGCCTCATGCCACCCACCCCCGCAATTTCCCCGCGTTTTCTGGGATCCCAAGGCCGTGTTCCAATTGAGCTTCTCTTTTTTGCTTAAAATAAAAAGTGACAGCAGGCCAGACCCAGGGGAACGGCCAGGTTTTCGTCTTGGGGGTGTTCGTCCCACGCCGTTTTATCCTTTCCTTATCTCCATTGCACCGTCTCCCTCTCTCTCTCATTTTTTTCTGCAGGTCCCGGCCCAGGTCCAGGCCCGGCCCCAGCTGCTACATCGTGCATCTTCCTGCTTACACCCACATGACGTGTTAACTTGCTATGCGTCTGCGTCTCGCCCTGCCTACCGGTCCGCCTCGGATCGATGCGAGGCTGCTGAGCACTACCAAGGCCGAGATTCGAATCCTGTAGCAAGCAGGCACAGATAGAAGCAAACGATCGATCGATACCTAGCCCAAAGCGACACGACGTCGCGTGGCCCCGTCTGTTTTGCTCTCACGCCATCCCCACGCACCGCTCACTTCCTGGCCGCGTCGATGGATGATGACAAGGAGGACTTTGCGCCGTCATCTGAGCGGTCTGAACAGCCTGCCAGGAAGAGACTGAGGACATCCCATGCCGTGAGCCACTGCCTCGATAGCCCCATGCCTCTCGGCCTTGCATAGACTCATCAATGGCTGACCCCTTTGACAGTGCGACATCTGTCGGGCGCGCAAGATAAGGTTCGGCTCTCCGCTGCACGACGCGACGTGTCCAGACGCGGCCGGTGTGGAGTTTCTTTCAGAACAGGGTACTGATCGTGTTCGACTGCAGATGCGACGGTAACAACCCGTGCACATCCTGTTCCGTCTCGGAGCAGGACTGCACTTATGGATCCGAAGCCAACTCGTGAGCTACATGACTCTTGCTGGAAATGTTGCCAGCCATAGCACCGTGCTGACCAGCTTGGCAGACGAGGCAAGAGCGATCTCATCCTGGAGGGAGTCCTCCGTGTAGAGAAGTTCCTCCATGACCTGAACGCCAGTGTCGTCAGTACCATCCACCAGCCAGCCTCTCTCATGCTCACGATCAGTGCCTCTGACATGATGGCAGATCGCCTCTCCCCTTTCCGAAAGGCGGCCGTCTTTCTTTTCACAGCCTGCAGGTCCTCAGTCCGGGAGCCCCTTGTTCGAAGAATCACCCATCACCGAGGCCCACGCCTACCGCACAGTCTGTCCGCCCAGGACACCAATAAGTGAGACCGCACACCAGCCTCCTCCAGACTTCAAATACGGCCATCAAAGCCAGCAGAGCCATCACAGCCAGAGCGGCCAGCAGCCAAATGGCCAGAATGGCTTCGACAACGCCGTGCTCGACTCCATGCACACCTCGACCACCGAATCCGTCCTGCAGTGGCCGCACTTCGACGTCTTCCCCTCCCTGCGCAACGACTATGTCTCCATCTTCGAGCTGGAGCAGTCGCGCCCGCCCATCAAGATGCGCCCCTCGGCAATCATGTACCCCTTTGTAAATGATGACGAAATGGACTCAATCCTGGATGCCTTCCAACACGGCGTCAACTTCTGGTACCCCACCATGTCGCGCCACCAGCTGGAGAAGGTCCGCCTGACCGTCAAGTGCTTCAACGCCGGCGTCGCCGAGGAGCAGAGCGTCGAGGGCTGCCTGGCCTTCCTGACCATGGCCCTGGGCTGCGCGAGCCAGGCCATAGCCGGGCTCGCCTCGTCCGGCCCGGCCTCGGCGCTCTCGGACGAGGACCTGAAGCAGCGCGCACAGCGCCGCGAGATGGGCGACCTGTACTTTGACCACGCGCTGCGCCGGCTTCACGTCGTGCACATGGACGTCGGGTCTACCGCGACACAATGCCTCTTCTTCGCGGCCATGTACTTCGCCTCCCTGCGGCGGCCCCTGCAGGCGTGGGAGTACATCAATGCAGCGTCAGCAAAGTGCCTCCTGCTGCTGTCGTACCCGCCCACGGGCGACACGGCCGAGGACGCCGAGCGCATCCGCCGCATCTTCTGGGCCTGCTACGTCCTCGAGAGCGACTACCTGGCCGAGCTGTCGGCCCTCCCGCAGTCCGGCATCGCGCGCATCGAGTCGTCCATCCCGCTGCCGGGCGCGTACTCCACCCACCGCCGCCCGGCCGTCGAGGAGCAGTCCTCGCTCTACTTCCTCGCCTGCATCTCCATGCGCCGGCTCCTCAACCGCGTCCACCAGCTCCTCTACGCGCGCGGCTCCGGCGCCAGCCTCGACGCCGCGCGGTTCCCCTACGTCGTCGCCGAGCTCAACCACCAGCTCGACGAGTGGCGCGACGTCCTCCCCGCAGCCTTTAGCTTCACCCTCGACACTCGCCCCACACAGACCGAGGCCGGCGGGTTCCTCCGCCAGCGCTACCTCACCTGCCGGAGCGTCATCTACCGGCCCTATCTCATGTGGATGCTCAGCGGGAGCGGCTCCGGCGGCGACGGGCTGAGCGTCCACAAGCCCAGCTCTGATGTGCTCAGCGGGTGCCGCGCGTGCTTGGAGGCCTGCCTGCTGCATATCCTCAACCTGAGAGGGTTTGCGCACACGGTATTGGTGGACACGTGGATCTGCTCGTTGTCGTAAGTCCTCTGCGTTTCACTACGAAGTTGTGGGGCTTTGCTGATTGACATCTGCAGCATGGCCGGCGCGATGCTCGTCCTCCTCGCGGCCTCGCGAGTACCGTCCTTGCGCGGTGTCATCGGCCCCGATCTGCTCACGGCCGGGGACCACCTTAGGAGGCTGTTGACGAGCTGGCAGCAGGTTTCCGGGGGTCCCAGCTCACCCAGTGTAGAGCAAAGCGTGAGGGTCATATGCGAGGCAGATGAGTTCATTAGCCAGGTGTTTGCGGCGGGTGACATGCTCGCTTTGTATGGCCAGGGAAATGATTCATAGTTGAAGGAAGGCAGCCGTATGGTTTTGTCTTATCTGGAGTGTAAAAACAGCCCTGCGGGGAATGAGATGAAAACTTGGACAAGACTCGGTCCGTGAGCCTTGGTCCAGTGTTAGAAGCAGTACATGGCACATTGGAGGGGCATGAGACAGCAATATTTGTTGTACAGTATTATTCGCCTACTTATCTAGAGATGGCCCATCATCGCTGTGACTGCGCCGAATGAATCCCGATCTATCGTCGGCAGGTGGTCGTTTTGTCGGACTGAGACCCTTCCTCAGCCATCGAGATCAAGTAAAATTACAGTGACTTGAAAGACAAGAAAATTGATGATCCGCAGTGTCATAGCTTTTTTTCTGGATGTAAGCGCCTCCCATATCAGTCAACTGAGCCCTAAGAGTGGCCAGGACCAAGGGTGAACTGATCCTCATCCTCGTCGCCAACGATCTGTCCGTCCGGTATGCAGGCCGCTGAAGGCCATGTATGCCCTAGGTGGCATTATCATGATTCTCCCATCTTCATCAGATAATTCGGAGCTGAACCCGAGACAGCGAAATTTCCCGCATCGCGCATGGCATCGACCATCGCAACTGAAAATCACCTCAAGCGATTGCGCTTGCATCGGTCGCAGAGCTCCAGGTTGCACCGCCGACACTGCAGGATGTATTTCGGCATGACGTCGTTGCATTGGTGGCAGGTGAAGACACCGCGCTCCGAGGTCCAGTCGGTATGCTGGCAGGCGTGGTTCCGGGCAATGCGAGCGCGGCGCTGCTGGACAATCTGCCGCTGTCGAGCTTGGGGCTGCTGGTGGAATCCCGGGTCACGGGCTGCATCCTGTGCGGCCTGGCGGTAGAGAGTGTTTTCGTCGAACACCTCGCAGCTGCACGCTCCTGGCTGGCCCTTCTCTTTCCAGATTGCACCGCAGATGTAGCAGAATTGAGCGCCGCATCGACAAGCTTCGATTGAGTCTGTCAGTTGCTAGACCCCCAAGGATCAGATACAGAACGTTGTAGGACTTACTCATGTGGTTGCAACCCACTGTGAGCTCGACGAGTTTGTTGCAAGCATAGCATTGCTTCCAGCCCTGCTCTTTTGCCAGGTCCAAGAGCTGCTGAGCTGCCTCATCTTTGGGGCAGTCAGTGCCCTTGTGTGCGGCAGCTTTGCAAATGGAACAGGTCTTATCATGGCATTTAGGGCATGTTGCGATGTCGTTCTTGATTCCTTGGCGAGGAACGAAGGTGGAGCAGGCCGGCCGGTGGCAGTACGTTCTGTTTGGCGTTTCCATCTCGACCTTCTTGGCCAGGTATTTTCCCACCAGCTGGCCGCCGAGGAAGATTTGAATCTGAATTTCAGTCACAGGGATGTTTTTCCTGCAGCATCGAGCGGGAAACAAGGTTTCGTCGGTGAGGGACTTCGTGAAAAGCTCCTGGAGACATCCGCGACAGTACTCATGAGCGCAAGGGAGTCTTGCAAGATCGTGAAAGGCGAAGCTTTCGGTGCAGATCAAGCATGGGCGAACCTTCTTTGGTCGTAGGGACAGATTCTGGATGGGGATATCTGCTGAATATATGTCCTCGTTGTCGTCGCGAGGAGGCAAGTTGTATCGAGCCTCAAGTTTGGCGCGGAGCTCGTCGTCGATTTCTGCGTTCTCGGCGGGCTGTGAGCGCTGGGGAATTTGTGGAAGTCGACCATGTTCGTGGAGCTGCAAGGCTGCCCGTCGGTCGCTTGCAGCTTGTCTCTCCTGGGCCAGAGCTGCAGCGACGATGTCGTCGTCGCGGTGCACGGCCTGGGCGATGCTTTCCGCCATGGCTTTGTCCAAGAGGAAAGCAGTCTGAGCCTCGAGATCAGCCAGGTAGGCATCGAACGCGATCTTGGAGTCGTAAACAAGCTGGCCTGGCTTGCCCCTCATCTTGGCCTTGGCCTCGTCGGCATCCTGTCTCAGTATTTTGATGACGAGACTGCGCGTTTGCAGGTCCAAGTGGTCGAGACAGATGTCCATGATGGAGAAGAGCATGAAGATCTTCTAGTGGTTACGAGGTGAGTGGTGAGGGTGAGGTTTGCAGAAGACTGACTGACTTTTGTTTTGTGTCTTCGTTTGTAATGCACTTTCTAAAAGGAGGGCGGTGGGAGGTGGTGGGAGGTGATGGGAAGTAGTGAGTGGTTGAAAGTGGAAGAGGCAGGCAAAGTTTTTGGCCCACTCAGGTGTGTCAAACCACAACAAGCACCGTTCCAATTCCTAGTACCCCGTTAAGCTCGAACGGTTCATTTCAAGTTTCTAGGCACAATGGGCTCAAGTGGTACAGGTGAGGTGGACCTCTGTGATGAAGCCAACGTAAGGAGCAGCATAAAAGGCCGCCAGCTGTTATGACTGCTGGTCACCCGAAGCATTCAACCATAATTTTGGCACAGGAAAATTCCAGAGAACAACATGGACACCTTGCAACCATATTTTGTACAAAACTTTTCTAGTAGTAGAGGCTGCACGTTTTCGCAGCTCTATGGTATTTTGTGCCTCCTGGCTACCCAGGTAAACTTCCCTTGAGACTCCCGCACTCAATCAGCAGCTTTTTTGCTGCTGCTCCCGCCTTATGTGCGCCTTTTCTATCTAGGCAGACAAAGCACATCGCCTTTTTGTCCAGATTTCATTGGCGACAATCATGTAGCGAGCCAAATGAGTCCGCACTGAGGTAGTTCGGACTCCTGCGACCTGCGTCCTACCTGCACCGTCGGCAAGAGGTATGGCGACAGGTCCTGCACCGGAACCGGAAGTTTGGCATGAACTCGTTGCAGCTCTGGCAGATTCCACCGCCACCAATACGTCGCCAACTATGCGCATCGCAGCCCGAATTGGTTTGCGTCGCGTGTCTAGGGCGCCGTCTAGGGCGTCGTCTAGCTGCAGGAGCTCCGTGATCCACAGCTGTCTCTTCGACAGAGGCATCCGTGCCGTCGAAGCCGACAGACTCCACAGGCCCAGGCCAAGGATGCCTAGGAACCCATCGAGTCTGGATACGTGTAAACTCGGCAAGATCGAAAATCTCCTGAACAGCCGTGGCAGCGCGGGGCATCCGGACCCGCGGACGGGCACGCGCCGGCCTCTCAGGCCGCTGGTCAGCGGGCTCGGGTTGCCCAAACTGAGGGCATGCACATGTTCTCCACTCCCTGCCACACGCATAGCAAAAGGTGTGGCCGCATCGACATCCTGTGGGCTGATGGTTAGCAGAGGCTTCTAAAACGACTCTGGGAAGAAATTTATGTTGTGCGCACTCATTTCGTTGCAGCCATCGCGCCTCACAACCATTTCCCTGCAGTGAAAGCACGTCTGCCAGTGTTGCTCCCGAGCCAGCCGGAGAAGTTGCTCCGTCTCTGGGTCCACAACGCACTCGCCGGCGTGCCACTCAGCCTTGCAGCCGGTACAGGTGATCTGACCGCAGACGCACCTGGCTTGGCCCTCGTCAATGTGCTGAAGTGGGATGAACTTGCTGCAGTGGCGACTAGAGCAGAATGTAGGGTTCGGCGTCTCGACCTGAGTCTTCTTCTGAAAGTACCGAAGCCAGGTCTCCGGGGCGATAAGTTCGTGATTATCGGGCAAGATGGGCTCGTCACAGCACTGCGCTGGGAAAAGGTGGGTGCTCTTGGCGGCCATGTCGTAGCGGTTGACGATACAGGTTCGGCACCAGTCGTGGCCACAGGGGCTGCGATGCGTATCGTGTTCGCTGAAGTCATCGAGACAGGCGACGCAAGTCCGCTGACCAGTGCCTTCATCATCGGTCTCCCTGAGGCTGTCCCCGCCCTCCTCGTCGTTTCGTAGACGCTGATCTCGGTTCTCCGTCTCCTGGAGGGTAAGAGCTAACGCATGGTCCAAGGCGAACTGTCGCTCGATCTCCTGATTTCTTCGATACAGGTCGAGACCGGCTTCAGCCTCCCTAGGACCCGCTTCAGCCACCATAAAACCCTCTTCAGCCTCCCTGAGCTGTTGTCTCCGTGATTCGAGTCTCTCGACCAGTGCCAGCTCGGTGGTGTCAATTGTGTCCATGATTGGAGGGTCGACGATCAGTGTTCGGGCAGGCCAAAGCCAATTGATCAGGCGATTGAATGCCATGAGACCATAGCAGTATTGACCATCGATAGACACAATTGACAGAGCCTTTCGGCAGGGTCGTGGACCGTTTGCGATCGCGAGTGGGGGAAGTCTGAACAGGGGAGCGAGGAACGCGACGCAAGTAAGCAGTGCGAACGGAGCGTTGTCTGAGTCCAACGATCAGTTCCTGCAGTAAAACTCGCAGGGAAAAGGCTGGCAGTTCAAGAAAGTCAGCAGACTTCAGATGATGGACCGACTTGGGGAAGGCGACGAACCTTCGTGGTCAGGTAGAGGCAAAAGCCGATGAGCACAAAATCGAAAATGCTTTGCTGTAGCGGCAAGTCGTTACCGGCGCCTGCACGAGACCAGGGAGATTCACAACTTTTGGCGAGAACTTGAGTTGTCCAGACTGGCCCGATACCAACCAGCGGCGGACAAGAAACCTCGTGATGTGGCTATGACTTCACCCACAGTTGATGAAGACTGGGCTAAGCGGCATCAAGGAAAAAGTAGCACTTCCAATGCGAAAAGCAGGGAGACGTAAAATTTGGGTTGGCTAGAAATGGTAGGAACTGGTCGTGTGCAAAGGTGAGCGGAAAGTGGAAGTGAAAACGATAAAAATGTGCACAGGTGACTAGGCGTGGCCAAATTCGAGTGAATGGCCGGCCAGTCGGCCAACGCAAATGAATTCAATGAAAATCAATTAGCAACCAAACTATGCGTACCTACATTCGCATTGGCACGAAACTACACTCTCAAAAATCACCCGTCTGGCACTAGGTAAGTGTGAACACACCTAGAGGTCGGCTAGTGGATGCATAGTACCATATGATGACACAAACACGCTACCTAGGTACCTTGGTACCTACTCGGACGCTTGCTGAAGGGTTCAAGAAGCTGCTTGAGGTTGAGCAAGTGTTACAATAGTTAACAGTCCCAGTTTTCAAGATCGCCCTCGCCATTGGTTCACCGCAACCTACACTGCAGGAAGTAAAGGTTGCAGAGCGCTGATATGGCTTTACAGTGGCGATAACACCTCGGCTGCTCTAACGATGGCCTGTCAGTAGCTCACGGGCATCACATAGTGAGCATCCTAACTCCAGACGTGATGGATGGTGGCGGCGTGAACGGCTTGTTGACATGAATAAGAGGACCCCGACGGCGAGTCCGCATCAGCATTACTAGTAGATTTTACAAATGCCCGGTTGATATTTCTGTAATTGAACTTAGCTTCCACCCAAGAGACGGTGGCTTCTAGATACCAAGTGGAGCTTCAACAGTATAGCAGAGTTGAGAGTGGCATGACAGTGCTTGCTTGCTCATGATTTCCTATGAAATAGTTGATGTCCAATGGCAAGAACCTCGTCCATGTGCCAGTCCATATTCAACACGTAGACTGTTCTTAACAGCTCCGCCCCCATCAGAATCAGTCCATCACCTAACGCCGCTCGAAGAAGCCGGCATTTCACTGGGACCCTTCTACTTCATGCGTGTCTCCTATCTGTCGTCAGCCATCTGCGGTCTCGAGCCCAAGAATGAAGCGATGCTTCCGTAGGCCCTACTGGAGCTGGTGCTTCTGAGTCTTGCATCCACGGTTGATTGTGGGCCGAAAGCAGCAGGACCAACGATCAACTGCCGTAGGGAGATCCATTCCTGGGATCATTCCTTGCTCAACTCGTCCTGCGATAGGGTTAGTAAGTCTCCACGAACCGTGCTTTCCATTAAAGAGGCAAGAAAGCTAACCAGGGTGGTAAGTGCAGGACTGGGCCTTGTTGTCTTTCTCGTGGAAATACTCCCTGCACCTCAGGCACTTGAAGGTTGTGTACTTCGCCTCAGTGCCTTGGAGCTCGAGGAAGATGGAGAGGACGTGCAAGGACTCCAAGAGACGCTTCTTGATATTCTCGTCTGCGTCGCTCATGGCGATGCCAATGGCGCGTAACTCCATCTCGGTCGCCGAGTTGATGGGCGCATCCGGATCGGCTCCCGCGGTGGAAGCCCCGCCAGTCTTGGACCGGCGCAAGACTAGCAGGTGGTTTGTGGCACGCTTCTTGGCGTCATCGTCCTCGCAGAGAGCAAGCATGACGTTGCGCAGTTCCTTCGGGGTCGCGGTCTTGATGGGGTCAGGGGAGTCGGCTGCCGCGGGGGTCGCCTCAGCGGGCTTGGTGTAGCGCAGGACCTGAAGGTAGTTTTCGACTCGAGTCTTGGTGTCCTCGTTATTGATGTAGATCAGCGGGATAATTGACAGCTTCCAAGCAGGAGTCTGCTCAATGAGGGCAACGTGATCGGTTACCTCGCCATAGTCTTTGCGGGCCCTGGGATTTCGGAGGAGTTGCAGATCATCGATCAATTGCTTCTTGATGTTGTCGTCCTCGCAGAGAGCATGCGCGATGGCTCGCAGGTCGCCCAAGGAGGCACTCTTGGTTTGACTCATATTGAGGAGGAGGAGTAGAGATCAGGGAAATCGATATAACTCAAGTGACGAAGTAGGGGAGGTATCAACGATGAGGGTACGGCTTCAGACTTGAGTGGGTTACCACAGCGCCTTGGATTTGGTCGAAAAGTGGTGCAGAGACAAGACTGATGGTGCAGTATGCTTTGCAAAACGCCCTGTCCAGGTGGATGTGGAAGAAAGGAAGGAAGGGAAAAGGTAACTGGGTTCTAGGAAAGGGCTTTTATATTCCACACTTTCAGTAATCAAACGGGGGTACAATGTGGTCGAATCTAGATGCCCGGGTTCACATTCGGCTGATGGCACTTTTCCCTTTCTACAGTGGCCTAGAAACTGATAGACCCTCGACTTCCAAGGCAAGAAGTGATTCAATTCATAGAGGTCTAGAGGCCATGCAGGACGCTGTTCTCGGAATCGACCGATATTCGAATCGATCCTTGGTGAGGCAACCAGGTCAACAGTATATAAGCAAAGCCTCTGTGGTTGCTTCTGCTGCTTCAATTCATGCCCACTGAGTCAAGACGTTTTGAACCCCACAGTCCTGGAAAGACATGTGATTATCATCCCCGGTGACTTGCACACCGCAATCTTGGTTGTTATTCATGTCGTTGGTGAAACTATTCTTGCACTTCATGCCATGGCAGGGTATCACAGTATAAATATCGCACGGTGCTTATTACAACGGTAGGATGTTTCATCGATATCGTTTGTAGACTATGGCTCAACGTTCGAGACCCTGCGGTATCAAGTGGACCAGAATTATAGCAGCAAGTGCCCCGGACTGGGTGGCACGTCTCCAGTATCCCACCTGGTTTGTTCCGGCCCAAGCTGGAACTCCAATACGCTCCCCGTCCCGTTCCCGGTGAGCTCACTATGGCTGATCCAGCTCTTGGTCCACAGCTGCCCGTTGACCTTGAGCTCCTGAACATATGGACCATTCTCCAGCCCCTCAGCCAAAACACGAACCACACCCCCTGAGTCGCCCAGAGTGATACTGATATCCTCGAACCACGGCGCGAGGATCAGGTAAAGAGGCTGAGCAGCAACGGGGTACAGCCCAACCATGTTCCAGATGAGCCACGAGCTCATGGATCCCGCGTCGTCGTTCCCGGGGATCCCCGACGGGCCGTCCGTGTAGTACTCATCCACGACCCCGCGGGACCTCTGCACCGACTTGTGCTGCCTCTGCGGCAGGTAGTTGTACAGGAAGGGGGTCATGAAGCTCGGCTCGTTGCCCGGGTTGAAGATGGTGGTGCCGGCGTCGTTGTTGCTCTGCTCGGACTCGGAGAGGCCCTTGATGAACATGGTGTCCAGGCGCGCCTCGCTGCTCTCTGCGCCGCCCATGAATGACACCAGGGTCTCCATGTCGAAGTGGAAACCCAGGCTGTACTCCCAGGGCACGCCTTCGTACGTGATCGCGCTCCAACTGCATTGTCCGCATGTCAGGGGGCTGTACGGCTGGATCGTGCCGTTTCCGTATGTCGGTGCCAAGAATCCGGTGAAGTTGAGCGCTGAGGTGTTGTGTGACCACGTCTTTTGCCATCCGCTGTTCAAATGGTGTCAGCGCTTATCAGGGGCAGTGTTATCTGGGCACATCAATCAGGGACTGAGATACGTACGCTGATCGGTTCAGATACCTGGTTGCCTCCTGAGGGGCTTCTCCCTGGGCGACTTGGAAGACGGAGAAATCATTATATGCGTATTCGACCGTCTTGCTCAGACACCTCCCCTTGTCAGGCGTGACATAACCATACTTGATCCAATCCGACAAGGCGCCTCGGCCCTCCTTAGTGCTTCCAGTGAGATCCTCCCAGTCCAGATTGTTGGGAGGCTGGACCTCAGCATTCGTCTTCATGGCCTTGTATCCGTCCGCCCAGTCGATACCTTGCTTCAAACCCTTCACGTATGCGTCAGCTAACACGTTGTCAGCGTTCGAACCGCCCTGAACTCTGCCGTTGTAGTTGCGGCTGCGTCCATCGGGCAGGAATCTCTCGTGGCGCCAGATATCAATCAGAGCTCTAACCATATCTGTCTGGCGATCGGGGAGGATCAGGGTGATCAATGGGTGGAGAGTTCGGAACGTGTCCCAGAGCGTATAGAAATCGTCGTAGTAGGGCTCCTCGGAGTCCCAGTTGGGATTCTCGCCAGTCCGGTCTGAGGGCAAGAGGTGAGAATGGTACAATGCCGTGTAGAACATCTGCAACTGAGTGTCGTTGGTGGTGGTCACGTTGATCTTCGAGAGAACCTCGGAATTCCAGTTGTCTCGAGCGGACTGCGCGGTCGTTTTAAGATCCCATTCAGGGATCTCGTCGAGAAAACTACAGGCCTTGTCTGCAGAGATCCACGAGACTCCTACTTTGGAAGTGACCGTAGAGGCGTCTCCGGGAAACTCGAAAAGTCCTCCGATGCGATTTCCGTACTGGTAATTATCCGCCCCAGCTTTCAGAAAGGTGTCATTTGTAAAGTTGGGTTTGACATCTGTTGCACTTGGCCAAAATGGGTCAGTGTTCTTGCCCCAGAATAACTGAGATTTTGACGGAGTGGTGTCGAAATGTCCGCAGAAGTACACCCGGAAGTCTCCGCCTATTTCAATGTCAGTATACCAGACACCTCTTTTTGTGTTCGTCGTGAAAAGCTCACCCCACGCCCATCCCTCTCTGAAGACGGTGTAGCCAGAATACCAGGCTCCGTCTTCGCTGCGCTCGAGGTATCCATTGCTATATTGCTGTTCCTTCTTGCCCATGCCTGGCAGGAAGTGGCTTACGTCCACCAAGACGTACTTTCCGTCGCCGTCCTCAGGGAACTGGTACTTCATAATGCCAGCGTGCATGCTGGCACTGATCTCAGCTGTCACTCCGTTCTGCAACTGCGTCTTGTAGTATCCGACTTGAGCTTCATCCTTCACCACGCGCGGTTGCATATACGTGAGATTATCTAACAGATTTACGTTCTCGAGCGTCGTGAGCGGCATCTGTGGGATCAAGCCATATGTGGGCGCCCCTCCTGTTCCACTAACATGCAGGAGTGAAATTCCAGTCACGTTGCCGTCAGGCGTATAGCCTGCATTGGCTGAGAAGGAGTAGTTGAATCTTTTGGGTCATTGGTAAGCATAGTTACCACTAGCATAGGAGAGGAGTACTAGTAGCTGACCTGGTAGTGTCGATGCCCACCTTGGCGGCGCCGAAGGGCAAAGATGCTCCGGGAAAGACATTGCCAGCGTTCCAAGCAAGACCAGGGATCGGGCCCTCCGTGCCGATGAAGAGGTTCACGTGCTTGGTGAAGTCTTGCACGGTGTCAGCGCCACTGGTGCATGTAGCAGCCAGCAGAAGCCATGCTACAGCACTGGTTACGCGTAACATGGTGGTATCGTCAACTAGATGGCCACTGAATAACAACAACGCGTTCGGCGACGGACAGGAAGGAGGATGGAGTCAACTTATTATACTCTCCTACATACCCGTCAAAAATCAATCGGAAAACAATCTGACTGGTCCACATCGCATTTCTCCCGACGGATTTTGATTTCTTTAATTTTGCTTGCGCTGTCTAAGCCATCCACCCCGACTGCCCGACAAGCTTGACCCGCAGGTGGCTCCACCGTGATGGTTCTTCCCCAAGCCGAACCCACGTCCAACCCCGCAAAGACCTGGGCTTCCCTGTATCCCCCCACAAATTTCAGTGCTAGAGTCACAACGGCCACGACTTGGCAGAGGGGGATTCTACAGAACTTGACCGAACCCAGCTACTCTGACCCGCGCCGTTGCGGTGACTCCGCAGCCGGTCCTTGGTGGGCAGACGCAAGCGTGTGATCATGTGGCTTTTCTCCCCCTTGGACCATCCTTGAGTGTTCATCCCGAGCTCGCGGATCCTAATGGAATGACAGTGGTTCCCAGCTCTCGGGTCGGTGGCAGATATCTGTGCCTGAAGTACGTCACATCCAGGTCGGCATTCAACGAATGGCATCGAATGGACTTCCGGGCCATAGGGCTCCGCTCCCTGTCCAGAGTTCAGTCGTTCCATAGAGCCGGATCACGACTCGCGATTTATTTCCGAGATCGCGTGACTGCTGCAGTGGACACGGAGGCCATGATGAAGCAGCCGTGGTGAGCCGTGACCTTTTCTCTGTCTATCACAACGGCATCACCTCGATGTTATCGTGTCCTATACCATAATTATGTGAGTGAATCGTGAGTGTATGATACGATGTACTTGGTGTATAGCGTATCTCGTATAACGTGAAACTCTAAATCATGCTTGGAATGTGGAATATGTAGTTGCTTATGTACAGTAAAAGTAGCCAGAGAGGTGCCGATCTATGTGTCCAGACGCAGTGGCAACCAAAACAGCCATATGGACATGTAGAGCATGGTGCACTGTCACGCATTCACCAAGCTCAGCCAACTCATTACGGGAGCTCGGTCATCGGCAGTGAGCTCCACCTGGATAGAGCTCAGCTGCTTGCGTAACACTGTTCCCACCCCGTGGACTACGCCTCCGTCGCTCCATGACACCTAGTGTGCCAGCATCCTCGCGGCTCCGGCCAACAGCGCAAATCCTCTCGGAGCTGCTACCACCCGCGCTGCAGCGTTGGTCGTCACGGCTCCCGACCCGGATCCGGAGGTGGAGCCGGAGCTGTTGCTGCTTCCGGACCCACCCTTGACTTTCTCAGTGACGAAGTTGACGGCCGAGGTCCCGTTGTCCTGGACGTAGGACAGGTGCACCGTGAGGTTCTGGCCTGAGTCGCAAAAGGTATCATTGGCGTTGCAGAACGAGACCATCTTGTTCGTCACGGCGGCACAGCCGGAACTATCGGTACGGGGGAAGACCTGTTCGCCACCACGGTCAGTTATCAGTCAACCTGTAATATGCCGTCTGGCAGGTCTGTGACTCCTGGAAGTCGGGCAACTCACCCCATTCTTTGTTGAAGTTCCCTGATCAAAGGGCTGGTTCACAACGTGCGTCGGGTCGCCCATCAACACAATCGCGGCAACCTTGTCGGTAACATCCTTCGAGACAGCCTGCGTCTGGGCGAACCCGCTGATCGTCGAGCCGCACACCGTGTCCGCGGCGACCTGCGCGCCCTGCGAGTACCCCATGAGGACCATCCTGCTGCCCGGGCACGCCTGGGCGTAGCTGTTGACCAGCTGCGTCATGGCGGCGACGCCCTGGCCCTCCGAGTTCTGGTAGCCGTCCAGCGTGGCCGGGTAGACGACGGCCTCGGCGTTGGACCCGGGCAGCTGCTCGATCACGCGCGTCGAGATGTTGGCCAGGACGCCGAACCCGGGCGGCTCGAGGGAGGCGCGCGCCACGATCAGGTGCACCGCGTTGCCCGTGACGCATGCCTGCGAGCTCGTGTTCGTGGTCTGGGCCGCGGCCGCGGCGGCGAGGCCGGAGAGGAGCAATGGCTTGATCATCGGGGGTGTTTGTGCTGGTTCGCCTGGAACCGTGAACCGAGAGACGCGGTCGTGGGATCGGTGGGATGGTTGGTTATAGGGAGAGGAGAGGGAGTAGTTGAATGACGACGAGGCTGGGTGACAGAAATGGGATGGGAACCATCGCAAGGTGACCTACCTGTACTCGCAAGGCCTTCCCCCATATATACAGATGGAACAGCGCCCATGATGAAAGTAGCTTCGAACATCAGACTCAGTAAGAAACGTGCCGTTTTCCGAATCCTTGGGCGCGCGTGTGTTGCATTCCGTCCTTGAGATGGCTTGCGAGCAAGGAGGCACCCTGCTCCCGCCGAGGTATGTTTCGTAAACATGAAATGGTCAGATTGCCTACAACGCCTCCGCGATATGTATGCATCCAGCGAACCCTTTGGGGTTGGGCAGGGGCGGAGTGTTCCCGATTTGGCGGAAGATGTCTGGCAACGGCCGAAAAGAAAGTTCACAGGCCGGCCTCTGTGCACCTCGGCACCTAATAGACGCCAAACTAGCTTGGTCCAGACTGGAAGTTCCAGCGCCCGACCCGAGCTACTGGACCTGCAGACGTCAACGACAGGTGAGCCACGCCAATCGCCAGCGCCCGCGGCCACCCTGTCAGGGCTGGATACGAGTGTCCACCCCGCTGCGGCTTAGTCCAACCCAGGGCGAGGGCAGACCGAAAGAGGAAAGCTTGCGATTTCCCCAGCTGTTCTGGCTTCGAAGATCATTTCAACAAACACGCGACTCCACGAATCGCGCCGACTAGATGGTCTGGATGAATGCGACTGGCAGTGGTTACGTTTCAAGTGTTTGCCGCCGCTAATGCGTCGCCCATCCTGATCGACTCCTGGTGCGATGGATGTCTGGTGCCGACGACTGTGGTTCCTGATCAGCGCCAAGGAGTTGAACTTTGTAAACCGGCACCTGAGTCCGAGTACCAGGTTGGGGCTGCGAATCTGCAGCGCGTTCTGGTACTCGTGCCGGGCCAGTGGCCCCCATGTAGCGATGGGGCGCTTGCTGTTTCACGGCCTGTGCTTTCTGTGTAATAGAGATTCGTCCCATGTTCAAGACGACTCTTGGCGACAGATAAGGTTTCTCCTGGGCTGAAAAGGTGCATAGCACATTCTGACTAACTTATTAGTGTACTCCATCCCACACCGCAGGCAGGCGCAATTATGATGCTGATCTGCAGCATCGCACATATAACCCAATCGGTCATGAGCCATGGTGTCCAACGTCTCCCACGTGGCGGCTTTCCTTGGCCGTTTTGGTATGCTGTAGATAATGTTGAACGCCCTCCCTCTGCTTATTCAAGAGCCCCCGACTACTCGGAGTTCAGACCGAAACGTCCCCCGAGGCACAAAATCTCGCGCATTGAATGGCCCAAGCTCGGATGCAGCTAAAACCTCAACAGGTGTAAAACACGAACTAGGCAGATCTCGCGTGGATGATTTCTAGCCTCGCTCTACTCTGCCTCTGTTCCGGCCGTACCTTGCTGAAGTCACGATAGAGCCGATCCACGCCAGGTGCTCCGCCACGACGCTTCACCGCAAGCACGAAACAAGTGAAGCTGCGTATTGGTATACAGCCACCGAATCCAGGGCTGGCCGAGCGAGAGTTCCGGGTATCAGCTATACACCAAGCAACGTTGCTGGGTGCCGTGTGCTCGCGTGGTCGCTTGATCCGATATATGCATGTCAACATGTGTGAGGTTGGGCAATGAGGTTATCATCTCCAGGTTTTTTTTTTTTTTTTTTTTTTTTTTTTTTTTTTTTTTTTTTTTGAAATCGACGCTCTGCGTAGTTATTACCTGGGAGGTTTTCTCAGACCATCTCCCACTTCCCTGGCCCCTTGCGAGTCTGCAAGTACCCCGGCGCTGTGGAACCGATGAGATCAGCGACGTCTAGAAAGGACTCCACATGCACCCATGTCGACCCTGACGTCAAATGGTGCTCGACGCGTTCAGTCGCGTCGTCGATGCCGACATACTCTCTTTGCCGCCTTGTGAATTCACCTGACCGTGGTGATCTCTACAAAACCATGGATATCGTGCAATCGGCCTCTGGGGACGAGCTTCGTGCCGTCGTCTTGGCGCTATGCAAGGACACATCGGTCATGCTGCGAGTCGTGGGCCACATCAAAAAGCTCAGAGACGCCCAGGCAGACGCATCGAAGACTGGCGAGAAGAGGAAGGCTTCGGACCAAGTTTTCATATGCGTCCGCTGCGGAGAAACTTTCAGCGAGGAAGCCAACGATTCTAAAGCTTGCACATACCACCACGGCAAGTGTGCTTCAGGCCTCAGGAGACGGGACGACTGGCCCAATCTCATGCTGACCAACATCATTCAGGTGAAATGGAAGTAGGCGGCGACGACGAGGACTTCTGGGCCGACCACGATGAGGATTGCCACGGAGAAATAGACACGGAAGAGACGCGGGAAGAGTTCCCAGAAGGCTTCACCTGGAACTGCTGTGACCAGGCAGGCACGGCTCCCGGGTGCACCAAAGGGCACCACTACGCCATCGAGGGCAAGAGGATGAAGACCACCACAGACGGAGACTCGGACTCGGACGGTAGTGATGATTAAAACAAATGGTCATAGAAGGAGAGCATCGTGCTGATGACGATGCAACTTGAAGTGTTGGATTCAGATTCGACCTCGCCCTTCTTGAGACCGAGAAACGCGCTGGCGGACTCCAGTGATGCGAACTGATCACAATGTATCTGATCTAACTCAAAAACATGCGGAATCTACTAGCAAGAAGCCAAGTGCAGGTTGTTGACTACAAGGTCGAGACCAACACGCATTCCTGTTCTCCAAACTGGTCTCACTAGGACCTTGATGCCGCTTGCTGCACTCCATATAAAACTTGTCAGTTGCTCTACAACGTGTGTATAGCACGGTTCGAAACAACGGTAAGGCGGCATGAACCCTGTCTGCGACGACAAACAAACTAGGGGTCGAGCCCTCCAAATTGGGAAATGTTGCCAAGCGACCCAGGGCCTACAAGGACAAGTGAGAGGCTCAGCTCCGTCTCCATCTCATATGTAGTTATAGTTATCGTGGTATCACATGTCATAGGATGGTCTATGCGTCTTTTCCGCCATAATTAGTCCCATTTTGACGTGCTCACGGCATCTTTATCTGTCCCTTTGAAGTTGGGCATAATTGCATTCATCACATATGTAGATAGCCACGGACTGGGTACTGTTGTTCCCTTTCAGAATTACTCCTACCGGCGTGGAGATCAACTCTCTTTCCAGGGCAATCCTCGCTTCTGTTGCTTCGTGCATAGGACGATGCTGAGTCGAGGTGATGAACCACTGTCAGCTAGTCCATCCCTATAGCAACTTAAAGTATAGCATAGCCTCGACATATTCAAGATCACTAGGAGGAAGGATATGGACTTCAATCATCTCACTGTCTACACATGTCAAGGATCATGTAGCACGCATGAAATGAGTCGAACTCAAGAGGCGATGTAGGTGATGAATACTTTATTGGCTACCTAGGTATGTGTCCATTTCCCTTGGTAATCTCCACTTCTAAAATTCGTCATATCTTCCCATAATAATTGCCTTCTCATCCCGGATATGGGCATGGATCTGGGGGTGGCGGCGGTCTGTAACAAGTTAGTTTGAAGTACAAGGGCAACGAATATCGATAAGACAAGATAATGGCGATGAAGTCCTACGGCCGGGGCTTGGGAGTACAGGGCCAGGGTCTCGGCGGCATGCTGTAGTATTTTATTTCGGCTGCTTGATATTCTGGTAGAAGTGCGTTTCTGTCGAAGTCTTGCTTATGCAGGAGCTGATTCCAAATAGAGCAGGACGGACTTGCAACACGGGTTGATTGCCTATGTATTTTATACTTCTTTAAAACGCTTTGATTCGTACCTAGGCACCAGCAGAATTGACATAGTCGGTGATAAGGAGCCACCAGTGACTTCTTGACTATGCTTGCGACGACCCTGTATGTATTTAGGGACTTAATCAACCCAATGCTCTATTATTGCATACTCAGTACCCGGGCCACGTCTGGTGAATCACACTTAAAGAGGTCTTGCTATATATGATCATGAACCGGTCGGGAAAAGTCGTGACAAATCCTCCGATCACTTGTTGTTTCTCAGCATATTGCGGCAATATTAATGTCTGTAACAGATTTTATATGACAATAAATCTACGAGGGAAATCATAGGCTTTCATATGGCACACGTCATTCTATCAGTTCATTATGATGGTTAAGGAGTTAAGAAAGGCCAGTGTTGATGCATGCCGTGAAAGTCCTTGTTTCGTGATTCACGTCGAATTCGTTATCACACCTGGCATGGAATTACAGGCTATATAGAGAGGAGAGTTACTTATGGTTGTTCGACATCTGCGAAGGTCTTTGCACTGATTTTGAGGCCTTACAATGTTCCAAAGGCCCTCAGAGGGTGGTTTTCATTGCCGATTAGATCACGCCACACTAGAAACAGCTGACATAGAATGCCTGCAGCCGCATCGTCATAGTCGATAGCAGCTGGACGACTGTCTCATACCAGAGACATCTTGTTGACCCCATCTTTCTCCCTTGGCTCGCAAGCCCGAGGACAAGCGGCCTACCAGTATTCAAAGATCTGGCCAGAAAATTCCCAGCCGGGACCTCTAACGTCACCGGTTTCCTGCAGCAGCTGAATAGCCGCTTCCTTTCACGGAACCAACCAATGAAACGAAACGTCCATGGGCTGACAGGTAACGAAAAGTCACTGTTCCTTCCGGAGAAAATATCTCGTTATTAGTCTTGTATTGAACAGAATTTTGCTGATGGCCAAGCAGGGCCAAGGCCCGTATTGGCCAGGGTATGCATCCGGCTTCCGAATAAAGATGTAGTGGGCCAGAGATCTGGGTCGACCACGGTTAAGCTTACCCACAGTGGTCCGATACAATGCATGCAGCTATGTACATTTTTTAGAGGGGTCCTGTCTTGGCAGGGCTCCCTCGTGAGACCCGATATCCGAACCAGGGCGAGATTTGTGCTCCATGTCGGAGTTGCTTGCGACTCTTTGGAGCAGTTTAGCCGGACACGCGTATAAATACGTGTGTCTGTCCCAGACGAACGACACATCTGAGAAGTCCACGTCCTCAGCCCTATCTGCCTCTATTCATATTATAGATATCCGGCATCTCAATACTTAACACCACGCTGTATACGTTAGACTTGCTGCTCGCCAACATGAAGTCTTTCTCGGCGGTCGTCGCTCTACTGTCTTGGTGAGTCGCGGGTGTCCCGAGACATTGGTTGCGGAACCGAGAATGCAAGACTGACAAGAACAGCACACTGGTGGCAGCGAACCCCATCGAGATTGCAGCTCGACAGACCGAAGCTGGATATCCCACCACAATAATCGAAATCCCAACTCGAGACTGCACATTCCGGCCAACAGCAACGGTCACAGCGACAACCGGCTGCCCCACGACGTGCACACCTACCGGGCTGTGTTTTTCTGACGGTATGTATCACTGGCCTCTGGATCCTTGAAGAATCGTCTTGGCTTGCCCAGGTGGAGGATCGCAGGCTGACAGGCTTCCCTGTCATTAGCGGCTGTGACGTTGGAATGCGGTTGCACGAGCATGGCCGTCCAGCCTACCACGGTGACTGTTTGCCCCACCGCGACGGTTTGCAGGCAGTGCCAGACCGGCTGGGGCATTGTCACCGTCACGCCGACGACATGCCCCGCGGAGACTCCCGCTCCCCTTCCGACGGCATAAGCGCTGGTTTTCTATGAGCAGGAGGCATGAGAAAGACTGGGTTGGCTAGACTGCATGGTCTGACGATGTGTGGAAGCTCATCGTGGCGGGTCGGTGGGACAGTTCGTGGAGGATCAGTGCAGCGACGGAAGAGGAATGGATGAGGAGAAGGCATCGTGCGGTGGCTGCGTGAAATAGGAGGAGCAGACCCCAGGCTAGTCGTGCTCACCGCGTCAATAGTCATAACGAAAATCGAAAGCTGCAACAGTCAGAAAATTCTGCTCACCGAGGCTCGTATTAGCATTGGCGCCTGTCGAGGACGCGAACACGTCCATTTTCCCACTCTCGCCGACCGTAACCAAAGGCTATTGCATGTCGTGCCCATGCATGCACCCAAGCGTACCAATGCCCGGGTGGGCCCGGGGAGTGTCTAGAGGAGCTCCAGGCCAATCAGTGTGAACGTGCGTGCCCAAAACGGAAGTGGCAGGGGCTCCTACCCCTCAGAGCTCGCTCCTTCCCAACCCGCTTTACCTGCCCGCCTACCCGACCGCCTGCTACCTACCTCGCCCCGAGGAGACACTCTGTTCCCGTCCTCCAACGTCATCGACAGCTGCACCCCCTCTGCTGCTTCACGACACTTCATCCCAGCAGCCAGCTTGCTCTCTCGTTTTCACGCCTCAAGATGGGCAGATCAACTTTCCAAGTTATCGATGAGCAGGATGACACCGCTCTCGACCCGCATTGACGACAATCGTCACGCTTGCCCGTTCACGCCTGGCCCCGCGCGCGATTATCTGGCAACCGCCAGCACCAACAGACGCAGCTATTGAACTCGCCATGCTGGACCATTGACAGCTTGCGTTGCGAAACAAAACACCATCGGCTCAGTCCCTTCCGACACTCAGGATGCGCATGTGCTCCCTACACGCTGCCTCAGCGTCCGACTCTGCCACTCTCGCTGGGCCTGCTCCGCCCACTGCCGGATGCCCCCTTAGCCCCTCACCCCCGTCCGACCAATGCCTTCCGTGATGCGCGATCCGACCAGGCACAACATAACACAGCATGGGATGATGCACAGATGATAACGATGGTGGCCAACACGCTGCCGTCTCGACCGTCGACGGTATCGCAGGCGGCTCTCACTGCAACCGAGCGAGTCAGCACGTTGTTCCGCCCACACAAATACCCGCCGGCTGTCTGTTTTCCAACAACTGGCGTCTAACAGACGCCCGGCTAGCTCAATCGGTAGAGCGTGAGACTCTTAGAAAGAACCTCACGATTCTGACAAGAGATACATCTCAAGGCTGTGGGTTCGACCCCCACGTCGGGCTCAATTCCCGGCGAAAATCGCCTCTTCTTTTTCTCTTTTTACTCCTTGCTGTTCGGATGATGTCCTAGGAGACTCAACTGCCCGATTGCACATCGTTCAGCACGCGCGAGGGACGTCTGGGGCTGGCTAGCAGGAGGCTGATTGGCAGTGTGTAGCGGAGGCTACACGTAGTGGACGGTTGTTGGTTCGGCCCCCATGTCGGGCTCAATTTCCGGCAATAATCGCCTCATCTTTTGCTCTTTTACTTTTGGCCTTGTTGTCGGGACTTCTGAGTTAGTGCTCTGCTGTGAAGTCTTTTGCTGTATCTTTTTGGGTCCTCTGAGTGCCTCTCTGTCGGGTTTCGCAGGACTTGAATCCCGGATCGCAGAGATGGGAAACGAGGGATAGGCCGGGGAGAGAACTGTATACAACGTCTACATCCTTCACAGTATGTACTAGAGAGTGTTGTTACTGTCCACCTATGGGTATTGTTTTTTCCCTGTGATGTCTAGAGGTCGTCTCACCAGTGCAGCGGGCAAACCTTTTGTTCACGCCCTCTCCTATTACCCAATAGGCTTCTTATACACATACGCCAAGGTTGCGACAACCTGCATCATTATATAATAGACCTAATGGACCCGTAAGCCCGACCCCTGCCCGCGCATCAGGCTCCCATTGCCAACAGCACCAACGTCATCCGTCTCTGAGTATTCACCATGTGACAGAAATCTGCCACATCCAGTCTGAATGCAAGATAACAGTCTCACCATGGTCGGTGAAATGTCCCTTGGGGCGTTCGTTCAGACCATTCTCTTCCACTTGGCGCCCGTCCTGTGTGTCTTCTTGCTCCTCACTTGGCGGCGCTCCAGTGTCCCAGCCAGTATGAGGAAAGAGGCCAACATCTCAGAGAGATCTCCGCCCGTTCGTTTGACTCTTCGTTTCCGCCACATTCCGAACAGAATCAACGAAGCCGCTTTTCGACGAGCTGTGGGAGGACACGAGGACGAAAGCATTATCGGAATGTCATGGACCCCATCAACGATTGGAGCATCGCACGTTTCAACAGTTTGCTTCGCCAAGAAGGCTTCCTTCCTTGACAAGATTTGGCAGAAGAAGGATCAAGTCGACTGCACCATCAACCTCACGTCTGACGGCGACACGTTCGATGTTGCGGTGGATGATCATTTCTTCGACTTGACCCCTTTGCACTGGCCAGAGCGCTGGGATATCGAGTGCGTGCCTTGCCCATGTGCCATACAAAGCCCCCCAGCATTCGTGCCGGTGCTAACTATACCAAGTATAATTGCTGTGACCGGCTGGAATGGCAAGCCGATTTGGTCTTGGAAGCCGGAGAACAGTCGTCATGTGTGGCTTCGCGACTGGCTTGGGCGAGACCTTGCCGACAGAGGCTGTGCGGCTCGTGTTTTCACGTATGGCTATCCATCCACTGTGGCACGTAGCGACAATGATGCAAGCCTACACGACTACGGAGCCAATCTATTGGCATCACTCGCAACAGCAAGGCGAAAAGAGTTCGAGGTAAATTGTTTCGTCCCTAACTGTCAATCCCACTGTGGCGTTGTGCTCAGATGAATGACATGTCACCTTTGCGTACAGGCACGGAGATCGAAGCCTCTAATTCTGATAGGCCATAGTCTGGGTGGTCTCCTCAATAAGCAGGTGGGTAGCTGTGCCATTGAGTGATAAACCTTTGCGCCTCCCTAGGCAGTGTTGCGCTGATAAGGCTCAGGCCCTCAAAAACGCGCATGCAAGCAAAGATCGTGCAGAAAGAGATGTGTACACATCTTGTGTGGGTCTCGTCATGTTTGGTGTTCCCAACTTGGGCCTTGAAAACCGTGCCCTAATCTCCATGACTGACGGACGCAAGAATGAAATGTTTTCTCGGAACTTGGGACTCGACTCGCAGTATTTGCCGGAGCTAAACAAAGACTTTGGTTTCGCCTTTGGCCAGCGCAACCTTACGGTCATTGCAGTCTATGAGACCAAGGATAGTAATACGGTAGAGGTATGTATCCGAATGGTCTTCTTTCCCCCCGATTTTGGTTCCAAAAACTCATGACCTGACGTCCGGGAAAGCAAAAAGAAGATGGACGATGGTCACGAACGGGGCCTCCAGTTCGCATGGTTCCCCAACATTCAGCATGCACCTGTGGTATTCCCAGCGATAATATAGCGTCTTTCACGAATCATTCAAATCTTGCCAAGTTCCCCGGCGAGGATGATCGTACATACCAAGTCGTTCTCCAACGACTTGTGGAGATTTTTGAGAAGGAGATGAAAGATCGACGAGCGAGAATAGTATGTCATGCGGACCGAGTACTGATTAAGCCGGCTATAAGGGGCCGCATGGTAACAATGGCTGACCATGAATTGCGCAGATGAGTTCCGGCATTCAAGATGACAACCTAGGAGCCCAATATTTTCAGGTGCCTTTACAACACTTGGAGTCAAATTTTGTTGGGCGGCAGGAGATACTTCAGCAAATCGAACTTTGTTTCTTCACGCAGCCAGCTGTTCGTCCGGTCTTTGTCCTCCATGGCAACGGAGGAATGGGCAAGTCACAGATCGCTCTACAATTTGCTCGGACTCGTTCACAGCGTTTCCACAAGATCGTCTGGATCCAATCAGATACTGCAAAGCGTATGCATGAGAGCTTCAGATCAGTAGCCCGGTCACTAGGAATCAACGATGTCACCACCGACGAAGACACGATTACCAAGCACGTCTTGACGGAGTTGCTTGACGGCTCAGAGAGCACACTGTTGATCTATGACAGTTTGCCAGCAGACGACAGCGGTTTCATGGACGTGATACTTTCCGAGCATCATTCGAGGTGGGCTCGGACGCAATTTTCCAAAGTCTTGATCACTACACGCGACAGGCGGTTTTTGAATTTCGAGACAGGTGGTAGCCATGCTGCTGTCGAGCCTCTCCCTCCCGACAATGCCGCCAAGCTTCTCATGGAGTTGTCAGGAGTTCTCCGTGAAAACTTTTCTACACTCCAGAGCTTCTACAGCATATGCAGTGCTCTTGGGTGCTTGCCACTAGGAATTCTTCAGGCTGCTTCATACATTAAAGTCACGGATACACATCCTCAACAGTTCCTAGGGCAACTCAGACAAGAGCCAAGATTCACACTGCGGTATCTCGATGAACTTTCGCCTCTCATGCCGCGCGAAAAGAGGATTTTGTCGGTATGGGAGGATAGCATGGCGCGAATCGAGACAAACGAACCGTTTGCCGCGAAATGGTTCACACTTTGCAGTTTCTTAGACATCACGATCCCGCATAAACTCTTCGAGGACGCTCACGAGTATTTGGTATTCTCAGATAGAAGCGGGAAAGAGAGAACCGCGGCACGAGACCAGATCCAATGGCTTTATGGTAACCTGTCATCCATCAAGTCCTGGAACACTACACGGCTTTACTCGGACGTGCTGGAATTGAAGAATCTTTCCATGATGAAGACAAACACCGATGACGATGGCTATGTCTCGTCATCAATCCATCCACTGGTTCAGCAATGGGGCCGCCTCAGGTTGGAACCGCAGCAGCAAAAGAAGTACCTCTCGATGGCATCTTCATTGATTCACCTTTGCGCTGAAAAGCTGCTGTGTGAACACAACACGCCACGGGATTCGACGGCTGCTTACATATACCAGCGTCAACTGCTGAGCCATGCATACTCATGTATCGATTTTGCTATCAACGTCTTGAAAACGAATATCGCGGAAATTGTGCCGATTGAATGCTCTGTCACCTTTGCCATGTTCTTGGTACACGAGATGAGCTACGATGCTGCCGTGCAAATGCTTGAGATAGCAACCGACAGGGATGACATCGACGTGACTTGGAAAGCTTCAGCACTAAGAGTCCACTCTTTGGCACTCAGGAGGCAGCGAAAGTTCCCAGAAGCTCTCATGGTTCAGAGGAAAGCGTTGAAGGAGATCAATGGCTTGCCGCCGGAGCCTGATACCATCGGTGCACGCTTACGAGCCGAGGGAGAGATGGCGACTATACACCGTGACCTCCGTGATCTGGACGAAGCCCTTCGATTACAAGTCGATGTTGTGCGCAACACCGGCTCACACTTTGGGTCGGAGTCTTTGGAGGCACTACACGAGCTGTCGTGTCAGGCAAGGATCCACGCCAAGAGAGAAGAATTCCATCAAGCCCTGGAGATCGACGAGCGAGTGCTTCAGATTTACAAGAAGAAGTATCCAGACCGCGTGGAGATCTGGGATAAAATGAGGAACTTGGCCATCACGTACTACGATCTGGATATGTACAAAGATGCTGCCATGCTAGAGGTTGAGATACTAGAGGGAAAGGAAAGGCTCTACGGCACGGAGCACCTCGAAACAGCCTCAGCTTTGGAGAACTTGGCACTGACGTGCAGGTATTCTGGGGAACATGAGCGAGCCTGCCAACTCTTCCGCAGAGCCTTGTGTGTTCGTAAAAAGGTCCTCGGAGAATCACACGAGAAAGTGCACAAGACCGCTAGACGTTTGGAGGAAGTGGAAGGGCGTATTCAGGCACAGTTAGCGCGAGAGTCAGTCAAGGGTGCTATCGAGGGAATCAATTTTGCAAACAGGGTAGACTCAGGATTGGGTATCGAGTAGAAAGACCTAGTGGTGTCAGAAGGAAATTCACCTATCGATGCAAACTCAATTCAAGCTGGCTCACGATCACGTCCTGTCGGCTGTGATCGCACGGGCAGGTAGCAACTCGATCACTGTGAGGCTCTGTCGATCCGCTCGGGCGTTACACACTTTCGCCGGGCGTAATGAAACGCTACACTCTGCAGTGGATCGGCAGGCTGATCAAATGGTGAGAATGCATGTCAGCCTCCATTTGCATTTCCAGCGGACACGTGTGTTCACTCTTCTGCGGTGTCAGGGGCTCCCATGTGATGAGACGGCCAATCGGGCGTAAGCGTATTGCAGGTCCGAGGTAGGCGATGGCAATTCTTGATGCAATTCGTCCCGATCTCCACGAGTGTGGTTGTACAAGGGTGTCAGGTGACGGACAAGAGCGGGGTCGGTTCCGCGCCCGACTACTGTGGTCGAAGTATTGTCAAGTTGATGTATGTAGATATATATTGAGAGAGGCTCGTGGCATGCGATTGCGCCTTAGCCGAGAGAAAGTCTCATCAATCAGTGATTCCATCATCGAAGAGCCGCATATATTGATCAACGACACATCTTGCTTCCGTCATGGACGACAGCGGCGATTCCGGCTCAAAGGGCTCGAAGAAGGGTGGCTCTAGTTCAGGGTCGAATACGAGGTGACGTGAGACTGGCAGTAGGGCTTGTAGGTGAGGATTTTCAACACTAGCATCCGATTTTACACTCTTGTCCTAGCTGGAGGTCTGGACCTAACCTCGCGCAAATCGAAGGTGCCACCGACGTTTCGATGCATTGCCCTCACTGCCCTGTTACGCAAGAGGTACCCGAGTGGTACTTGGAAGCTCAGCCTCTTAAAATGAGGCAATGGTGGGGCAGTGGCACAACACAGCGACAACAGCACTTGAGTGGAAATATGCCTATGTGACCTTTTCCAATTGTTTTATAATTCTGTTCTTGGAGTCAGGAATGTGGTGGCAGATACAGCGCCGTGGTCGTTCAGAGCAGCTTGTCTTACATGAAGTTGAATACCCTGCAATATGTCAATCCAATCCCAGTTCTGTTCTCAGAAATCCCCTTGATACTCTTTCGCATAGCAGAATTGGACACCACCGATAGCACGTTGACATGATGTACGAAGAACACTCCACCAAGTCTTCGCAGGTGGCCTTGGATGAGTACATTGAGAAGTATGGGTCCGTTGAGAGCCTCGAGCTGCAACAGGGCTCGTTGAAGGAAGTCATCGATGAGCTGCTACGGGTGGAGAAGAATCAGATAACGTCAGAAAAGGCCAGCAATGGAAACTTGAAATCGCGCTTGATGGGCCTAATAACATTTGTCGACCGGTATGCAGCGGCCATGGACTGCCTGGTACAAACTTGCTCCGGATCTGTCGTCAACCCAGCAGCACTCATATGGGGTCTCATTCGGATCCTTATAGAGGTCTGAACCAAAGGATACAGCAATATGACGCTCCTTACCAGGAACTGACTGCTTTGTAGGTGACCTCGTCGGCAAGTCGATATTTCACAAGCATATTTCGGCTGTTGGAGGACCTGAGTCTAGCTCTCTCTCTCTATGGTGCATATGAAGACATGTTCTTCGAGAATCCGAGATTCCAGGGGGCTCTGATTGTGGTCTATACGGATGTTATTGCAATTCTAGATAAAGCACGACGAGCCCTCCGGAAAAGCAGTACGTCTTCCTTACTCAATGTGCCAAACAGCAATGGCAATGGAGAGGAACTCTACTCACGAAAGATGATAGAAATCTCCATGTTATTTCATCATTTCCGAGCCACTTTCGAGTCCGACTTTGCGGACGATCTCAACGCGGTCAGAAAACACCTGGCTATCCTGGACAGCGAAGCGACACTGGCACATCGCGGCGTAATGCACACTTTCGCCATGCGTAGTAGCCCTCCGGAACTCCCCGGTGCTGAAGCTGTGTTCCAGCAAGAACTCAATAAGGTAGGTTGTCTGCATCAAAAAGTGAGTCTCACTACCGTTCACCACACTGACGCATGCGCGACCAGCGTGTCTTCGAGTGGCTCGCACCCCTGGATTGTGCCGAACGACTACTCGAGCTCCGAGAGGCTCATCAAGAAGGATCATGCTCTTGGTTACTTCAAGATTCAAAGTACACAACTTGGAAGCATGGAGGCGGAGATGATACCCTATGGATTTCAGGGCCCCCTGGCATCGGAAAGACTTTCCTTAGCGCGGCCATGATACTGGATCTTGAGGAGTCAGCAGGGCCTTCCACATCCGTGGCATACTTCTACGGGGACGCGAGTCAACAGCTCGAGAACAATAGTACCAAGCTATTTGCGACTCTCATTGCTCAAACGCTCACCAATATGTTGGACCATGAGGAGCCTCGCAAATTGCCCTCAAAGCTTGTCAAAGCTTATGAAAGATCGTCCCAGTTTGGTCGTTCATTTATTTCCAAGGTCGACTCTCCTATGGAAATTCTGGCTGCGGTGGCATCTGCTGCGGAACGGTTCATGGTGGTTGTTGATGGCTTGGACGAGATGAGCGAGCCAGAGGCCACTGCTCGGCAACTCATGCAAGCCTCGTCGATGTTCGGACCGGGTTTTCGACTTGCAATCTTAAGTAGGGATTCAAAAGACCTGATGCGATGCCTCGATGGAACAGCGCACCTTGCCATTCGTTCTTTAGACGTCAGACCCGACATAGAGACATACATCCAAGAACGCGCGCAGAGACTTCCCCTTGAGGATGACGTTTCTCGACAAAACCTTGTCAAAGTCATAACAGATAAGGTCGATGGCATGTTTCTTTGGGCACATGTCGTAATGCAGGATCTAGAGACAGCAATTACGATTTCAGACGTGGAAGAGATGCTCCTCAGGTGTCCTCCTGGTCTGGCGGCAACCTATGATCGTTTCATCCTGGGTCTCGCCTCTCAACCAGCTCATCGACGTCGAACAGCCAGAGAACTTCTGCAATGGGTTCTGTGTGCTTTCCGACCTCTGTCTATATCAGAGCTCGAGCATGCTCTGTCGGTACAATGCCCCGAGAGACGTTCAAGCGCTCGCATTATCAGCACGGATTACACCGTATTCCGAGCCGCCATTACTGAGATCTGTCATCCTTTCCTCTGTGTCAGTGCAGGCGGGGACCAAATTCGACCAATTCATCACTCTTTTCGGGAATATTTGACAGCAGCAAACTCAAGTGCCCAGTGCATAGCTTCTGAGTTTTTCATCGGTGCGCATAGCCATACGGAGCTTGCTCTGAGGTGTCTTCAGTATCTTGGGCTGAGACCAAACCCCTCGCAATCTGGCAAATCCTTCTGGGGTTATGCAATGACATCCTGGTGTCATCACACTACGCTAGGATCTTACGACTCTGAGCTTGAGATGCAGGTGTGCCACTTCCTCTCAACGAAACGAAATCGGCAAAAGTGGCTATACTGGATGCTCTTTGAATACAGAGAGCCATTTGCCTTCGCAACTATTTTCAAGTGGCAGGAATGTCTCGAAAAGTGGGCAACGGCATCTCTGCTTGAGTCTGGCCTCAACGCCAGCCTGGTTGATAATGACTGGTCTATGGACGTTCTCGAGTTACTGCTGGGACTTTTAAGTGGCGATACTCAGTCATCACATGATAAGTTTTCTTCGACGTCCTGTTTCCACTACAGAGAAGGAGTTACTTACTTCGAGAAAATGATGGTTGTAAGGGGACTTGCCAGGCGGCTGAAGCGCAAAAACCGCTTGGCTGAGGCTGTGCAGCTATTGGAACAAAGAAGCGTGGCCACAGATCTGAATCAGAATGTCTTTCTGATAAACATTCTGGGAGTCCTTCTTGATCAACAAGGGCTCACAGAGCTGGCTCTAGAGAAACATCGTGAGGCCCAATCAACACAGGAATTACTTCATGGCGGGGATCATATGAAGACCCTTTGGTCGGCAAACGAGATGGGAAGGATGTGTCGGCATCTAGGATTGTTGAAGGAATCTGAATCACTGCACCGGCATTCTTTGACGAAGCTAATGACGAACCTTCCTGAGGATCATTCAGAGATTACCTGGACGATCAACACATTGGCCACAACGCTACGCCTGCAAAACAGGCTGGATGAGGCCCTGACGCTTCATCTACAAGCTTATCACGCACGAGAAAGGCGTCTCGGTCCATTACATGCCCATACACTTTGGTCTTGCGGGGATGTTGCAAAGTGTCTCCGAGACCTACATCTGCTGGACTCTGCGCTGGTATGGTACCAAAAGGCTTTAGATGGACGCCTGGTAGCGCTTGGATCAGAACATGCAGACACGTTTTGGTCAATGAACAGCCTAGGTAGTATCAGACAGGCACTAGGTGATGTGGATCAGGCACTAGTATTACAGAGGCAGGCCTTGGAGGCTCAGGAAAGGATACTGGGGCACGATCATGCTCACACGTGCTGGACCAGACAGGTCATAGCTAACTTAATGGGGTAGACAGTGGCAAACTCGTCAAGAGCATTATAGATTTTGACTACCAATGAACACTCAATCGTGAATATGAACAATGCACCTGGGGCCGGATGTCTTCCGTTCTGGGGGCTGGGGGATACTTTTGTAATTGACGAAGGCTGACTCTATGCCTTTGGTAAAATCATTGTGCAGCCCTTTCTTTTTTCCACGAGGTGTTCTTAGCCTGGAGCACTTCAAAAAAGCCAAGTTTCTACCTATGTACAACTTCTACCCACGTTCCTCCCCAAGGGCCCGAAAACCAGATTGCTCTCATCATTGGAATCTAACAGTTCCGACAAATATGCATTCTACTCCCTCGTTAGCGTGCTCATGCAAAGCAACAATACCCTTATCGACTTACCCTCTTCCTCATGGAATGTGATTACGATATGTTTGGTATGATCGCCGGTGTGGTTAAAATGCTCTGTATTAAGGTAAGACCCGCACATCTGGAAATTCACCACTTTTACTTCGACTTTCTTCTTGTGACGTTTCATCGCCGGAATCTCGTTTACTAGGAGAGATTAACGTGTCAGCAACAATGAACAGTCCCAGTTGATGTATCATCAGGTGCTCACCTTGCCCATACCACCATTTTCCATGTCCAAGACGAGAGTCCTCCAGCCTTGCTGCAAGCCATACTATCTTTTGCGTTTCTGATTTCCACAGCGTCAGAAGACCAGGTCCTTGGGACTTGTTGGCCCGAATGCTTCTTATCGTGTCGAAACCCGACACGCTACACATCATCAACAGATTCCAACCAGTTAACTCTTTGACCATGCCGTGGAAGTTCTTCCCGGAAAATGTCACATTAGAGGCTGGCGGACTGATGATGCGGAGCCTATCCACTCCACTGCTTTCAAAAGTGCTCAGCTGTAGAGTGAGTTCCTGTAGCTCTCGCTGTTTGAACCTCGCAACGGTCGAGTTGCTAGCTTCGTCCGGAGTTTTCTTGAGTCCTATGATTGGTTCAGATTCTGCGTAAGTAATCGATTGGAATCCATCGATTTTCAAGGACCCTTCATGAACCTGGAAGTCAAGAAGTTGAGGTCTACTCCGCAGAAGATACAGCATGTGTGCACTATGCGAAATGATTAGTTGGTTAAACAAAAAGCAATGATGTCGGCCAGAAAGTACGATCTAAATCAATAGAACCGCGTTTAGTAAAAGAAGCCAAACCTAGTGCGAGTATGCTCATCCCGGAGAAAACGAAGCCTAGCAAGATCTTGTGGGTGGCTACTTGCAACCGTCAGAACCCGAGTGATGGTTGAAGCATCAGGGGTAATCCCTTCGCTGCTCATTCTATCGTTATGATTTGACGACTCAACCGAATTGATATAGACATGAAGATCATCTCGATCGTCAAATGATTGGATGCATATTTTCTGCGCACTGAAATCGTATTTCGCTGGGACATTGTCGATCGGTAGCTGTTGGGCGCCTCTGGCCACATGTTCGGCGGAAGTAAGGATAGAAATGAACCGAATAGCATCTAAAGTCACCACGAATTAGTCTTTCTGTGCTTAAAAACATACTCTCATTCCTGAAATTCATTCTTGCGTTTCGGGGTAACACTTACGATCTGGCTTTTTAAACGTGACATCCAGCACACGGTTGGGATCCCACGGTTTAAAACCCTACACAATCAACATCGGTCTAGGGCTGAAAGGCTGTGAATACAGTCGTAGTCTCTGACCATGTATGACTTACCAGCCAGTACTCCTTCTTGTAGTCCACTAGTGAATCATGTCAATCTGTGACATCAAGGAGATCATGCACGAGCGCAGATGACGAGGCTGCAAAGTGGAAAGGATAGCACTTACACGCATCACGCTCGCACGGCTGATTGAAGTCTGACCATCTCACGATCACTTTCCCTGACGCGAGTCCCTCGCTGCGCGTGATGAATATGCCCGTCACCGGCAGCCCTTGATCGTGTTAGCGATCAGGCATGAAGAAGCAGGCGAATGCGAACATATGGAATCCTAGTGTCGATTGTGGCAGTACTTACAGGCTTCCCTGAATCTATCAGGCTTTGGAAACGGCCAAGCATCGTCACACAGGACCAGTCGACGTTCGAAAGTCGGCATGCGGGGACTGATTACAGCCAGAAGTCTGGGCTGCAAGGAACATTGGTCTTCTGCTGGGGTGAGTGTTGCTTCTCGAATTTCTGTACAGAAAATGACACCTTCATCTCCCCTAACAAGTCCTTCCTGAACATGACCTTCGTCACAGCTGAAGAAGTCGCGGCAGCACTCCTCGAAAAGAATTCGACCCTGAGCGTTCTTTGGGTGAATTAATTCCAACAGGCGGTCACTCGTAATCCGACGGTAATCTGGCCCTTCTGCAAGCTGATGGGTCTTAGGGTCAGAATGAGCCCATCCGAGGGATACTTGTGGACCGACTCACCAGAAGGTCTTCTATCCAGTCGATAACGAAGTCAATTGTTTCCCCGGAATCACTTTTACGCTCGCCTAGCCATTTTCGAAATTTATCTTTGCTGCAGGTCATGCCATAAAGCTGCAGCTCCGTGTCGCGTTTCGCTTCTCTCTCCTCAAAGATTTCCTGCAGAGCCTTCCGTGTTGTGCCCTTTATCACGATAAAGACCTCCAGGAAGATGCAGCCAAGGTGCCACATATCCTCCGACATAGTACGAGGGAGTCCAAAATGCCTTTCTGGAGATTTATAGTCTCGGGTCCATGGATGGATGACAGCTCGTTCTGTGTCGGCTCCCCTGCGTGGTCCACCACTCTCCGGCGCAATGATGGCGGTTGCAAAGTCGCACAAGCATATTTTCCAGCCAACACTGTTAGTATCGCTCGGGACAATGAGAACATTTTTTGGCTTCAGGTCCCTGTGGCGAATCTTGGATTTGTGGAGAAATGCCACGCTTGCGGCAAGGCATCCCAAGCATCTTGGCAGCTGGCTTCTCTCAAATGTCACGGCTGGATCCGACTCGCTGAACGATCCTTTTTCGCTGTCTGAAATCCGGTCTAGTAGTGTTTGCAGGTTGAAGAATGCTACTGGAGAAAGAAGCACTCCGAATGCTTGTGGATCGGTGAAGGCAGCCCGGATTTCGATGATATGATTTTCTCGGATTCTGGCCAATCTCCTGTCTGCTAGTGGAAGCTTCCCAATGCTCTGAAGGACAAACACCTCATCCTCAAAAGACTTTTGTTGTTTATCCGGGTATCCGATGGGCCCATGTTGGCCTTCTCTGCCAACAATCTTTTGTTCGGACCAGAACGATTCATCGTCTGAGCCCGAGGAGCTGCTGGGGTCATTGTTGGGACGTCGTGATCTGGGTCGGACAATCAGCTTCATAGCCAAATGTACGCCTCTTATCTTCACCTGGAAGACTGAGCCAAATCCGCCCCTGCCCTTCAATTGATTATCTTGCTTATGGCGACGGCCCCTATAAGTGGATACAATCGTGTCCTCGTCCTCAGCATTTCTGCCGAGGTACCTCTCCATGATGACTTTGCTGCCAACATGATAATGGTTGAGATAGCCTTGAGGATCATTGACCACAGCGTCAAGACTATCCACGCGGTAATGCTGCGAGTTGCCTTGGTGGCCTTTGACCACAGTGCCGGGCTGTCCTGGATAGATTTCGAAAGCCCATTTCTGTTCTTTGAGGAATCTTTGCTTATCTGCGGGACGATCATCAAACTGTTTTGGCAGGCCTAAGCCACTTTCGGGAACAGGTAGGAGAATATCTGTGAAACGAATCTTTTTGAACAAATCAATGAGTGTTCGTTGCCTCTCTGGCAGGTCACCTTCGATTAACATCAGTATCTTTTGGACGCCCTGATAGGTGCCACTCATTGTGCAGAAAACTGAGTTCCTTGTCGAACTGTGAAGGATGATGTTTTAGTCCAATGTAACAGGTGACAGGAGAAGAGGTGATATACATCGAAAAAAAAAGCATAAAATCATGGTTGCTTATGCCCCTGTCAACCCACTTCCCAGCTACTTGGAGTGACTTCCAGGGCATACCCTTGCTGACAGTCCGGGGAAGGTGGATTGGAGAGGGGGCCAAGGGGCTGTGAGGGGGTCAAATTGTGATGGGTAGTTGAAGTGCTTTAATCAGCAGGACAAAATAATCTGCTTACAAGTCTATGTACTAGCTGGGCCGACCCAAGTTGGCCTGGTATTTACCCATGTACTGCTGTTGCTGACTTGGCATAGGTCAAGGAATGGCAAGCTTGAACTCGTGTCACCACACCAGTGCGCCACACTCATTCATCAATACCCATTTTCGTGTCGACTTGTTGTAGGTGGCAAACTCAGCAAGGGCCTAGCTGGGACAGGTGGATACTCACTGGTAGCATTGATGAGTGTTAGTTGATGAGTGTTATTTGACGTAGCACAACACATGTGGCATTTGAGCCGCCGGTCTTTCACTAGCCCTCCGGAAAAAACCCATGAGCTTAATTATCTCAGATGCACGATGCACCAATTTGCCCGCTTTCCTTTTGGGAGAACCTTTCAGGCTTCATGGTGATGGGAAACCAGGCTACCGGTGGGTAGCAAGGCTAACCGTAGGTAGCATGGTGGCTTGACAGGGAACAGCTCCAGAAAGTCTCAAATGAAATAAAGTGACGTATCACCAGGGCAAAATGTTTGCTATGATGTCTGCCTGCAAGGGTGAGCCCGGCCTGAACGCAGCCTACTTGAACTCTACCTACAATGTGCACAACGGGATTGTCCTGTGTGACTGATTACACGTAATATTACTTGGCGTGAACCTTATCCATCACCTGAATGCGCGACAGATTGTCTGCTCGCCCTCGGAACGTGTATTCTAGGCTGGATTATACTACCCATAAAGACCTATTGCGCTTGATAATGTAATTATACAGTGTCTTTTCAGCAGTCAGCAATTGGAGAATCAGAAAAAGAAAGCAGTAGCTAAACTGTGAGAATATAAATGAATGGGCCGACTGGTCATGTCTCAATACAATACATGAGGTACCTGCACTTGCCCGCGGTCAGACACCTGCCACGCCATCTCAGCTCACCACATTCGGTCAATATGCCGATCCCATCATAGCCCTCGGAGCTTGCTTCCGATGTCAGCCTCATTCTCCTCGGTGTGTGTACGGGAAAGTGCATCTTTTGCGGGCCCCCTTTCCCTCCACCCCTGTTGGGTAGTAATAAGCTGGCTGAGAAGGACGCTGGGCCAGACGCGAGAATATTCTCCTGAAGACTGCATCCGAGTTTGATCTTCGGAGCCTTGCTCTTCACATCTCAACAGATCGAATGTTTTCCCCACTTTCTGTGAATAACATGGTTCCCTCTCTTCTCTTTCCTTATTCAAGCTCATAGACTGTCCAAGTTTGGTATGGCAGACAGGAAAATGGAAGCCAACGATGGCTTTCTGGATGAAACCAGTACCATTGAACGACACATAGCGCAGCCTGTTGCTGGGCGTACTCCGACTCAGCTCAAACAGCTCATGCACGCCTTCATCCGAGAGACATACCTGGACGAGTACGAGATTCCACACCTCCAGCGCGGTACCTTCCTAGCTGCAGCTCCTTATCACTACAGAAAGCGCGAATCCCAGGCACCTAGCGAGGGCAACAAGCAGCCTTCTATTGCTACACGGCCAGATTTGGCAGCTGACCATGCAGTACTTGTCAATGAGAAGGAACACAAGTGGCTGACGCTTGAGAGAGAGGACGAGGAGACGGGCAACTTCTTCACCAGGCTGAAGTCTTACCCACGCTCAACGTATCTGGTCATTGTTTGTTGCTCACTCGGGGCCATCGTACAGGGCTTTGATGAAACTGCCGTCAATGCAGGTACACTTCAAACTTCCTTGTCCCATGATTATGAGCATGCTGACAAAATCGATAGCTCAGGTGTTCTATAGCCTAGCCTTTCGTGACACCAGCCAGGGGAAAACCATCGCTGAGCTCCCTGTACTCTTGGGTCTTGTCAACTCTGCTCCATACCTTATGAGCGCCATTTCCTGCCTGTGAGTAGCTTGGAAATTCTCACCACGTCGAAACTTCCGAAACTGGTGCCCTCACACGTTGGACCTGCGTCGGTTCTCCAGTAGCCAATCAATCAGCTAATCAGGCCGCTTTAGCTTCGTCAACCCGCTCAACAGGATTTTCCGTGGGAGGCGAGGAGTAATTTTCATAACTTGCTTTATCTCATTTGTTTCTTGTCTGTGTCAGGGTTTTGTTTCATCCTGGCAGTCTCTCTTCGTGGTGAGACTCATCTTAGGATTAGGAATTGGGCCTAAGAGGTATGCTTGGTGAATGCAGCTAGCCTTTGCCTGATTCTGGAGGGAAACCCTCCCGCTGTTGTGCATTACATACTTGCTGATGTCCACACTTTCTAGTGCTACTGTACCCATCTATGCGTCAGAGTGCGCACCCAGGAGTCTTCGAGGCGGGCTCGTGATGATGTGGCAAATGTGGACGGCATTTGGAATAATGTTGGGTCACGTGTTTGGCCTTTCTTTCTGGAACATCGGTCCCCATTGTAGAGTAGAAGGTGATATAGACCTTCCATGTGTAAGTCTATTTCTGTTCAACATGATTTGGATAGATACTAACTGCATGCAATGGAAGAGTTGGAACTGGAGGCTAATGCTCGCCATTCCTGTAAGCACTCTAAAGCTCCTCACAAGCAGAATGTCGCTCATGTGCACAGGCTTTACCACCGCTGATTCCTATGGCCTACGTATTCACGCTTCCAGAGTCGCCAAGATTCTTGTTGCAAAGAGCAATTGAAAAGCAAGAGTCAAAGCAGCAGAGTCCTGAAGAAGTAGCGAAGCTCGTTCGAAAAGCCTATCAAGCGCTCGTCAAGTTCAACAAGACGGAACTTCAGGCGACACGAGAATTGATCATAATCTACCATAGCCTCAAAAAAGAAAGGATACACAGGACATCCAAAGGGTTCAAGGCTATCTCTGAGCTGTGGACCCATCCGCGGACACGATATGCCATGTTAGCAAGTGTAACGGTCATGTTCTTGCAACAGTTCTGTGGGATCAATGTCCTGGCGTACTACTCTACAACTCTGATACACGATACAACCACAAAGGACCTTACCAGCTCATTACCATCCAAGGCAAGTAATGTTCACTTCTCTGAGCTTTGAAGAGCCAAGAGAACTTACAGACAACAGTATTCACTCGGTTTTGGAGTCATCAATTTCGCCGTTGCACTTGTCGCCGTACCACTTATGGACTGGGTTGGACGCAGACATCTCCTTTTGGCCTCCTTTCCCTTTCTTGCCCTCTTCCAATTCCTAATGGCAGCTCTATCAAGCACAGAGGGCTTGGTTGCAGCTATGTACTTATTTTGTGCTTTTTATTCATTGGGTGAAGGTCCTGTCCCATTTGTAAGTGCTCCAGTGCTCCAGCAAGATCTGTAAACCAAAGCTCAACCCAACAAACCCTAACAAAATCTACGCAGGTCTACGCCTCAGAATGCTTCCCTCTGCATCATCGTGACTTGGGAATGGGGCTTGCGACGAGCGTGACGTGGACCTTCAACTTCATGCTCGCAGTTACCTGGCCTGTGTTTTATAGTGATTTCAAAAAGCCAGGAGCATTCTCATGGTATGGAGGGTGGTGTGTCGTGGGCTGGTTCATGGTTTTGGTGTGAGTACGACAAAAGGCTCCATCTTTCACATGTAGACGCTGACCGCTAGCCACATTAGCTTTGTCCGAGAGACAAAAGGTCTTCGCTTGGAAGAGATGGGAGAAGTCTTTAGTCCACCAATCTCGGTTTATCTTGACCACGCTTTCGAAGAGCTGAAATGGCTAGCAAAACGGCTTGCATTGTGGCCATTCCAGTCGCCATCGCCCCAGTACAGATTCGCCAAAGGAATGCCTCAGCTCAAGGACAATAACAAGTTTAGGCAATGGAAATATGCACATGGAAGGGCTAACGAGCGGGACACGGAGCTGCAAACACCTTCTGCGACCACAGCTGTCCCATCAACTGCCCGATGTCAAGAACAGGGCAACTGAAATCGGCTACGAGCGTCGTACGACCGCGCCATACTGAGAAAAACGTAAACAGGGTGGAGGCATTCAACGGAGAGCTTGGGACGATCATTGGCGGGCTCAGAGGCATGTTTTTACCATCGCAATGATGTTAGACACGTGAGGTTATATTTACAGTCACCAGAACTAATTATATGTCTTTAATACCAATTACAAATTAACACCTTCTGCTTCTGAACAAGCTACTTTGGCTTTTTCTAATTGGGGCCGGAGCTAACGTCGCTCTTATAGGCAGGACCGGAAAGGATGCATTTGCTGTGATACACTAGAGTACTAGCAGCGAAAAATTGGGGATCAAATGATCAACTACTGGCAGTGGAAAGTCCACTGTGCTGCTCATGCTACTTCGTATTGTCGATCCGACGTCGGAGACTGCTAATGGTATTACCGTAGGCGGCCTGCAGCTTCGACGTATCAATTGGCAAACGTTGCAGGCCAGGATCATCGCGGTATTCCAGGACATGATGATCTCGCAGAGGGAAAAGCATACAAGTCGTTGTTAGACCCAGAGAATAAGCTTACGGAAGACGAGTGTCAAGCAGCACTCGCCAAAGTGGGTTCAGGACACGTCGTCAGCACCGCCGGTGACTTCCATCTGCTCATATCTAAAAATTCCTTTAGCCATGATCAGAGAAAAGTGTTCAGCCTGGCCGTTGTTGTCGCTAGGATATGGGACAGGCAGAAGACATTGGTCGACGAAATCAGACAGGGGACCGAACAACGGCCGCTGGGAGGTATTGTTATACTCGACGAGTTGACTTCGAGTGTGGACGCGGAAACTGAGAATCTGATGCACAGCGTCATTTCTCGTGTGTTCTGTCACTACACGGTGATAAGAATTACCCACAGACTCGAGTCGCTGGCTGAGTATGATGCTGTCTACGTCGTGTCTCAGTGGCAAATTAACAAGTCTCAGGACGCAACAACTGGCTTATTGTGATGGTCCTGCTTATCAAGTTTGAACGAGCCCTCATTCTAAGGCTAGAATGATAAAGTCCAGATTATTTCTTCTATGATCGAAAATATATCCATGCCTCGTGTTCTCTGATTGAGCTTTGGGGTCTGCTCTACATCTGAACATACAGTGGATAAAAGACGTGAAGGACCCGGGGGGGGGGGGGGGGGGAGGAGTGCCACGGTGTTTCTGGGGAACCCTCCGTCCCTCAGAAAGCCTACAGGTTCGAGAGAAGACTTCATCGCTCTCCAAGTACCACGTGCAAATGTCAAGCTGATGCTTCTTATACTTAGCTCCAGGCCGATCTCGGCCAACTTCCGTGCTCCGCCGCAGGACGCCTGGTTAAGGGTTCACCCGTGCGTCTGTGACGCATTTCCATGTCCCCTGGGGACCCCGGACGCGCCTCTAGCTGTTGGTGAATCAGAACGCAGGTCGGGGATTGTGTCACTATTCCCCATGGCTTATGAATTACTCCCCACGCTTGAGTTGCTTTCCGCGGAACTCTCCGACGAAGCCTAGGGATATGTGTCCTGACCAGATAGACCGTTACTCCAACCGAATTAACCTATCTCACGAGCTTCACACAGGGAGTGTATGGGGCAGCAGACTATTGGCAATTCTAGACATTCCAAGTAGCACCCTGCCTGTTTCCTGCTTCGGCTGTCTGTTCGTACATGTGTATGGATCTGGAAAAGCCGTGCCACGGTCTCTTTCACTATCATTGCGCAGTCCATAACCTGCAGCTTACAATGTGTGTTTCGAGGAAGAGAGCGTTGCTCCGGCACAGTCTTCTTCATTGGAAACAAATTTTGCCGGCGAGCCGCGAATCCATGTGACATCATCGCCTCAAGACTCAATGCAGGGTGACAGGCCACCGCTGTCGAGAGCTACCAGTAAGTAAACGCCGTCCTCCAGACAAGATGCACCGATGCACATAAAGCCGGACAGGACAACCAAAAAGTGGGAATGATTTGTGACATATATACTGGCGCCCATTCGTCTGCCCCGGCTGAACGTTTCCTCCACACTGGGGGGGAAAACACTACCCCGGATGGGGGTTCCGCCCCATTCTCCTCCCCCACGCATGTAAAAGGCGCGGAGAGACCTCGGGCATTAGAACATTATCCTGGAAATGCTCTCAGCCTCGTACTCGAACCCCCATACTTCCCCGGACAGCAGATGGTGGGTTACGGCGAGGGCGACGCAAATTTTGGGGACGGGGCAGGTTGAGAACCCGCGCGATTTCGCAAGGCCCACTCACTCAACCGTCTGGGAGTCGTGTAGGGGACACATGAACATCCACAAGGATTTTTTTCCCACCCACATGCCGTTCCCGGCCTGGCTCGTTGATATCTGCCATCCTCAAAATAAGGTCGTCTCCCTCGACCACCATAGTCACCTCGAGCAAACCCTATGCTTTAGCTGTTCCTGTTCTTCCTAATTACCCTCCAAACAGAGACAGCCATGGGTCTGCTCACGCTCATCGAGGACCGGCCCACGCCCCCTTCGGTCTACAACTGGCGTGTCTACGTGCTCGCCGTCATTGCATCATGTGGCTCCAACATGATCGGCTACACGAGCGCCTTCATCGGCACGACGGTGACCCTCACGTCCTTTAAGGCGGAGTTCGGCCTGGGCAAAATGAGCGCTTCAGAGAGGAGCCTCATCAGCGAAGACATCGTGTCGCTGTTCATCGCCGGCGCCTTCTTCGGCGCCCTCCTGACCTACGTCCTCAGCCACTGGCTCGGACGCAAACATTGCCTGGCCATCGCATCCGCCACGTTTGCGCTAGGATCGGGCCTGCAGTGCGGCGCGAACTCGTCCCGCGGGCTGGGCATCTTGTACGCGGGCCGCGTCTTGTCCGGGCTGGGCACTGGTGTCGCCTCGAACATTATCCCGATCTACCTATCGGAACTGGCGCCGCCGGCTATCCGAGGCAGACTTGTCGGCCTGTACGAGCTTGGCTGGCAGATCGGTGGCCTGCTTGGCTTTTGGATCAACGTGAGTCATGCCCCTTGAACTCCCCTGCAGGATTTGCAGATGGCTGACTCCTGAAATCGTCGACTATCAGTATGGCGTTGAGCAGCACATGCAGCCGAGCCGCTCGCAATGGATGATTCCATTCGCCATTCAGTTGATCCCCTCGGGCCTCCTCTTCGTCGGCTCCCTGTGGATCCGCGAGTCACCCAGGTGGCTGTTTTTCCATAACCGCCCGAAGCAGGCCATGGAGAACCTCTGCTGGATCCGCCAGCTCGACGCCGGGGAGATGTACATCGTAGAGGAGGTCGCGGGCATCGACAACGCCGTCGAGTCGCAGAAGATGGTCGTCGGCGTTGGCCTGCTCCAGCCGTTCAAGGCGATTGCCAAAGATCCTAGCATGCAGTGGCGTCTGTTCCTGGGGTGCATGCTCTTCTTCTGGCAGAATGGAAGCGGGATCAATGCTATCAACTATTACTCGCCCACAATCTTCTTGGTCAGTCTTCTGGAAACGTCTCTCTCTCCTGTCGGGCTTTCTTTTGTTTCGGTTGGGCTGCATACTAACCCCTTCTGTAGAGCCTTGGCATCGAGTCCAACACGGTGAACCTGATGACGGGCATCTTTGGTGTCATCAAGGCCATTATGACATTTGTATGGCTGCTGTTCCTGGTCGATCAGCTTGGGAGGAGGAAACTCCTGCTCATCGGTGCCATCACCGGTTCCATCTGCATGTGGGTCATAGGCTCCTACATCTGCGTTGCGAAGCCCACGGAGAACCCCAGCGACCACCTCGCCGGTGGCGGCATCGCGGCGGTTGTCTTTTTCTACCTCTGGACAGCCGTCTATACTCCCACCTGGAACGGCACACCATGGGTGATCAACTCGGTAAGTTGTACTCTGCCTTTCCATGATCAGTGCTGTCCACCTTGGGCAATCAGACTAACACGGCATGACCAGGAATTCTTCGATCCCAACTTCCGCTCCATAGCCCAGGCCTGCACAACGGCCAGCAACTGGCTGTTCAACTTCCTCGTGTCGCGGTTCACTGAGCAGATGTTCGCCGCGATGGGCTACGGCGTGTACTTCTTCTTCGCGACACTGTCCTTCTTCGCGTTCTTCTATGCCTTCTTCCTCATTCCCGAGACCAGCGGTATCCCGCTGGAGAAGATGGAGCGCCTGTTTGAGATCAAACCGATCTGGAAGGCGAACGAGACGCTCAAGGAGGAGTTGGCGCGGGAGGAGGAGCGGTTCCGCACTGACGTCAAGGGCAGGGTTGTTCACAAGGAGAACGGAAGTGGAAACGGTAACGGAGGATCGGAGTCGGATGATGGCAGCCCTTGAGCGACACTGCAAGGCGTTCGCGGGGAGCAAGGTGTTGTATGGACATAGAATATAGATTCATAGAAACATAGACACGCCTCTAGAATAAAGACAAAGATTGACGCATTGGGATACTGAAATGATTTGGCTTGGCCTGATTATGTGTGGGGAAGTTTTCGATTGGACCGCCGCCGTTTTTGTCCAGGTAAACGTTTTCCCAGGTTCTTTCCTTTCATGACATGACTTCGTATCATGGTGCGCGTTATGGGGTCGCAATGCATATCTCCCACGGAACTGATAAACGAAAGCGGCCCAGTTGAGATAGGTGTACTCGCCATTATGAGTTCGACAGGGCTTTTCGACGCACATTGTCAGACTGACGGGGGCTGGTGATTGTTCTTCCCCAGGAAGACTGTTGATGGATAGCTCAGCCTGCAGTGCCAATATCATGCTTTTCATACTTGCTAGGAGAAGAAATAGGACATCGTGGTCATCCAGCTAGAGGATTCAGGCACGTAACCACCGAGCATTCCGGATTCTAAGCTTACGCCATACGCAACCAGGTCATCTTTCTCGCCCAATCTGCACCTGGGCAGGGCCATCTCCCAGCCTACACTTAGCCGGGGGTTCTGGCATGCATAACACTGTTCACTCAAATGGGTTTAGCTGTGTGTTCAGCCTATAGAAGCGTACAGCCTTTCTCCCCTGTGAGACACGTCAAACTTATTTTTACCAACTGCAGTACTGGTCTTGGCCATTGTAAGGGAGCACCGTGGTTCCGTTCATTCAAAATAGGCTGTGGAGTTCTTTATCTTCCTACCTCTTTTCTTACATGCACTTAACGGTGCCTGCGCTTATTAGTTGTACAGGGTAGCTCAATTGTAGAACAAGACTTGCAGACTTATACGTGTTGATTCCGTGGTCAACGAAGCAAGGAAATCCTTCTGACAAGGCCTGCGAGACTTTTACTGTCGTGGCACCCTCGAAGGAACTTGCGTCCAGCCCAGCGTCGTATGTCCCAAAGATATTCATCGAGACGCAATTTCGATCCAAACAGCTGCCAACCCCAGATGTCGATTTCTCCCGGCCACGTTGCCATTGTCACGGGAGCCAATACCGGTCTTGGTTTCGAAGCCGCCAAGCAGCTTCTCTCCATGCGCCTGTCGCATCTCGTCACAACCGTACGCTCCGCAGCGAGAGGCGAAGCCGCGGCCGAGGCGCCCCGCAAAGACTTTGTCACTGCCGACATCACTGTCTGGATGCTCGACATGAGCTCCTATGACTCCATCCAGTCGTTTTCCCGACGCGCCAAGGAACAGCCTACCAGACTCGATATCGCCATCCTCAACGCCGGCGTCATGAAGCTCAAATTCTATACAAACCCCGACGGGGCACGAAGATATGGTCCAGGTCAGACACCTGTCGACGACACCCTTGGCGCTCCCCGTGCTCCCCGTTCTTAGACAGAAAACTGCAGGCCGGACGACGGACGTCTGGGCGTCTCACGACCAGCAACGCCTCGCTCGCTCTGCCTGCCAAGTTCCCCAACAAGAACAAATTCCCCCTCCCGGCGTCCTTCGATGCTGCCTCGCAGTTCGACCCACAGAATAGTACGGCGCCTCCAAGCTGCTGGCGCACCTCTTCCTCTGGGAGCTCGCCGAACGCGTGACTGCAGCAGACGTGGTCGTCAACGTGGCCGACCCGGGCTTCGTCAGGAGCACCGAGCTCGAGCGCGAGCAGTCGGGCGCGAGGGCCGTGGCGGCGGGGGCCTCGACCTACGTCGACGCCGCCGTCTTCAAGGGCGAGGAGTCCCACGGCTGCTTCCTCATGAGCTGGGTAGCCAAGCCGTTTGCTGCCGCCTGCTACACACCGGAGGGCAAAGAGGCGGCCAATAGACCGTGGGGGGAGACGCTCAAGGAGCTTGATTTTGCTTGTGCTCGCGATGCACAAGCCACGTCGGCTGATTCCCACTGTATTGCAATGTTCTATGGCTGGAGCTTCTTCTCTGTGATTAGTATTCACCGTCAGCTTCTTTTTTTCCCCTTTTTTTTTTTTTTTGTGGCGACTAGGCATGGCGGTGGAGGTGGAGATGGTGGTAGCTGGGCTCTACATCGGCCATGCGCCGAGTCGTCATGATGCATGCCGTCCGCCGTGCCCCCCTGGAAGTCGCTGCAGTCGCTGCACAGCACTCAGCATCACAAAACAAAAACTGTCCGTTCACGGCCGGCGTGGGAAGCGCGACTTGGCCTGAGTTCATTTTCTAGGCTGAGTGCTCGTGGTATGCAACTGGAAATGTTGACACCAGGCCAATGGCGCCGAGCCGCCCGGACAAAATCTTGTCGTCCCCCTGTAGGCCAAAGCCATGTCCACGGGGATGCCTGTTCCAAAGCGGTCGAAGAGGAAGGTGCAGAGTTTGAGCCTCCAGCTGCTGGCCTTGGCCCATCTGTCCGTCGAAATGGCCGAAAGGTTCCTCGTATCCGTGATGAGCCAGCACATTACCCGCCTCGCGTTTTCATGCGCTGATAACGGAAATGCCATCGGGTGACGTCGGGGCCTTGTCCACCTGGCGGGCAACACTCGACCGCTGGTGGCCCGGCGCAGCTTGGGGGGCCCCCGGGGCGGCTTGCACACGATTGGTGCGGGTAAATGGCAGGATAAATTTCCCACGGGTCGGCTGAAGCAGTCTCGACGGGCGCGGCTCTGGGCTAGCGAGGGTTCTAGGCGCCCCCTTGACCGCTACGCTGTTGCTTGGTGGCCGTTGCAGCGCTGCCAGGCGGGTGGGGAGCTGCCCCGCGCCAGGTGGGATGAAGCTCCAACAGCTCTCGTCAGTTTTGTCTGGGGGAGGTGAGGGGTCACGATCCTCGAAAGATTCAAACATTGGTCTACAACCGCGCGAGTCTCGAGGTCGTGTCTGTCGCCTTTATCTAATTTCCCGAGTATTCTGCTAGCCTTGATATACCAGCCGTGTGCCCATTTTTGATCCGTCGAGTGGATTGTTTTAATGCTTCCTATCTTCTTCACAGCCTGAACTCCGTCACGATTGCACCACGGCCATCTGTCAACTCTACTCATCTTTCACGACTTGTCTCAACCTCGTTTCTTTTCGTGAACTGCATTTTTGAATCTCACCTTTCCACGCATAGTCAATTCAGCATGGAGGGAAAATCTGTAAGTAGACTCTGTAACGCGTCCCTGTCTCTCAACGGACGAACGCCTCGGCTCACCCCTCGCCTCAGAACAAGTCATTCGTCCTCAACAAGGTCAAGGACGTCTCATTCGAAGACCGGCCCGTCCCCAAGCTCACCTCCCCCAACGACGTCCTCGTCGCCATCGCATACACCGGCATCTGCGGCTCAGACGTCCACTACTGGCAACACGGCGGCATCGGCAAGTTCGCCCTGACCGAGCCCATGGTCCTGGGCCACGAGTCCGCCGGCGTCATCGCCCAGGTCGGCGACGCCGTCACCACCCTCAAGGTCGGCGACCGCGTCGCCGTCGAGCCGGGTTACCCGTGCCGCCGGTGCCCCAGCTGCCTGGCGGGCAAGTACAACCTCTGCCCCAAGATGCAGTTCGCCGCCACGCCGCCCGTCCACGGCACCCTGACCGGCTTCTGGTCCGCCCCCGAGGACTTCTGCTACAAGCTGCCCGACAACATGTCCCTGCAGGAGGGCGCGCTGATCGAGCCCCTCGCCGTGGGCGTGCACATCGCCCGCATGGCGCAGCTGTACCCGGGCCAGTCGGTGGTGGTCATGGGCGCCGGGCCCGTGGGCCTGCTCTGCGCGGCTGTCGCCAAGGCGTTCGGCGCCTCGACGGTGGTGAGCGTCGACATCGTGCCGTCCAAGCTCGAGTTCGCCAAGGGCTTCGCCGCCACGCACACGTACCTGTCGCAGCGCGTGTCGGCCGAGGAGAACGCCGACAACATCAAGCGGGAGTGCGGGCTCCCCGAGGGCGCCGACGTCGTCATCGACGCCACGGGCGCCGAGCCCAGCATCCAGGCGTCTGTGCATGTGCTCAAGAACGGGGGCCACTACGTCCAGGGGGGCATGGGCAAGGCCGACATCACCTTCCCCATCATGGCGTTCGCCGTCAAGGAGGCCACCGCCCACGGCTGCTTCCGCTACGGCAGCGGAGACTACAAGCTTGCCGTGGAGCTGGTGGCGAGCGGTAAGATCGACGCCAAGAAGTTGATCTCACAGACTGTGCCGTTCGAGAAGGCACTGGAGGCGTTTGAGAAGGCGAAGGGGGGACAGGCTATTAAGATGTTGATTGCTGGGCCGAATGAGAAGATTGAGGGCTGAGTGGCGCGTGACAGGGTCTGGAGGTTGTGTGTGTTGGCTGCGGTGTTCCGGAAAAGTTATGGCCAGGTGGTGAGGAAGCGCTTGATACGTTGTTAGTAGTGATCTAGGATTAGCGGGCAGTGAAATTCCACGGTGATTTTCAATAAGAGAGTGCATTTCCCTGGTGTTGAATTCTATTTATAATTTAAACACAAGCCACACTAATAACCCCACAGCCTCACCCATGAATGGCCACAGCACCTTACAACATTAATAAATGATAAGGTAAAGACCAGAGCAAAATTAATCCTTATATAAGTAAGTAAAAGGGCAAAAGTAAGTAAAAGGGTAAAAGTAAGTAAAAGGGTAAAAATAAGTAAAAGGGCAAAAGTAAGTAAAAAGATAAAAATAAGTAAAAGGGCAAAAGTAAGTAAAAGGGCAAAAGTAAGTAAAAGGGCAAAAGTAAGTAAAAGGGCAAAAGTAAGTAAAAGGGCAAAAGTAAGTAAAAGGGCAAAAGTAAGTAAAAGGGCAAAAGTAAGTTAAAGGGCAAAAGTGACCATGACAGGGATCGAACCTGTGATCTTCCGTGCCCAAAGTAAATCTTCTTGAATAGAAGTGAAAGTAAGACGGACGCCTTGACCGCTAGGCCACACAGTCGCAGTAGTCGTGGCGTCGTCTTTACAATATATTACTGGCTTCGAGTTCGAACCAGCTTTAGGCCAGTTCAGGTTTCTTATGCAGGTGCGTTGATTGGCAAGAAGCTACTATGATGGTTGCAGCTGAGAGGTGAGTATTTAAGTAGAAGTTTATGGACAGAGCAACTGTACCTTTGGAACTATATTACTTCCTTAACCAGGTATCTTGGATTTACTCTTAAACTTATAAAAGTCCAAACTGTTAAATATGGCCCAGCAAATAAGGTAGGGGGTTGATGTGATAGGATAACTACATAGACTACACTGAGGGTTCCAGAACGTTTTGCAATTCTGTGCCTTTTAATAGGGACACGGCGTGGCCATAATGTAGCGGTCACTCCCTGTGACGCTGCCTTACAAAATAAGACAGCTAAGTTGTCTGCTTTATAAGACGGCTTCCGTCGGAATAAAAAAGAGGATAATATTACAGCACACAGTTTAGCTCGTCCGATAAGCTAGAGACATCTGCTGTGTTCTATATAGAATTGTACCACTGCAATCTTGAATGTCTAAATATTAATAGGATAAAAGATCGCCTCTTATTAAGAAAGAGTGAGACTCATGTCTCATTGTTCTCTCGGACTCGGACCAACATCACTGGTACATATGCATGATATCTTCTCTTCCTGTCGCACTTAGCACAAAGCCAATCCTCAATGTAGGGAACGGATGTAACAGTGACAGAATGTATTGACTTTTGCTAGTTATGAACCCCTAGCTATCAATGCTTCCACGTATATGCAGCCGCAGGGTGGTCCGCCCTAACACGCGGGCCTTGACCGTCGGCCAAGAACGTCTCGCGCATGCTTCCTCCGGGAACAGGGTAGTCCTCCTGGAGCACACCTCGCGCTCTGAGCTCTGGCCAGAGGTACTTGATCATGTCCTCAAACGTGCCCGGCGTAGTTGCATAGCTCAAGTTGAAGCCATCAATGCCGGCCTCCGTGATCCAGCGCTGCAAGATGTCGACAACCGTCTTGGGACTCCCGATCGCCTTCGCGTGGGCCCCGGATATCGCAAGCTGCTCCAGGACCCTGGGCTTTGTCCACTTCAGCCCTTCCGTGCCTGGGACTGTAGCCGTCCAGGCCTTGACCATGGACTGTATCGCGCCCGGTCCCGTGAACGCAAAGTCGTCGTCGTCGGAGAAGTTTGCCAGGTCCGTCCCTGACCATCCGCCAAAGAGCGCTGCAGTGCCTTCCAGGTCGGCGTACTGGAGCAGATCTTGGAATTTGGCCTGAGCTTTCTCATCTGTCTCGTCCACCACGATGAAGATGCCGGTGAGAAAGCGGACGCTGTCGGGCTTCCGCCCTTGTTGAATGAGCAGCGCTCTGCAGAACAGATTAGCTGCTGCACATATGTGCAGAAGTTGGATATGTAGCAATCTCACTTGGTATCGTCCACAATTTTGCGCGTCTTCTCTGGGATCAAGCCTGGGAGAAACATAGCCTCACTGTGGGTCGCAGCAAACTTTTGTCCAGACCTGTGCGCTGATCAGCAGCGTCCTTCTAGTGAAAGTCTGGGTCACTCACGCCGATGCTCCAGCTTGCAGCAGGAACGGCGTACGTTGTGGAGATGGATCTAGCAGACTCGGACCAGCGCATTGATAATACTTCCTGTGAGACTATCAATAGTTGTTTGGCGGTCACCAAGACAGAGTTGGACATACCCCTTATGATCTATTCGCTTGACTGCTTCCGGGTTGACGTATACGCCAGTCTTCTTGTCTTTGACCACGGCTCCTTCTTGCCATGAACCCTCGAGGAGCTTGTAAACGACCTGCATGAACTCATCCGCTCTCGCGTATCGTTCGTCATGCGGGACTTGCTCGTCCAGACCGTAGCTCTTCGCTGCGCTGTCCAGGTAAGAAGTCACAATGTTCCATCCCACTCGGCCCTGACTTATGTGGTCCAGAGTCGCAAACTTCCTTGCAAGTGCGTACGGATTCTCGTATGTCGTCGACGCAGTCACGCCGAATGAGAGCGATTTCGTCGCGTGGGCCATGGCTGAAATGAGAAGGCTGCAACAAGTTTAGCAGGAGTTTCTCAAACGAGACAGACGTCCATGTGTACCTGGGATCGCCGATCGGGATCTGCGCAGCACTCTGCAACGCCGGCGCGTTGTTTGATGGCCCCTTGTAGACATCATATATGCCCAGGACATCTGCGAAAAACACGCCATGAAACTTTGCCTCCTCCAGCAGTTTCGCCAGCCTCACCCAGTGGTCCACAGTGAGCTCACTCTGGTCGGGATGTCGCCAAAGACCTTGAGTGTGTGAGTGTCATGCCGTATGTTAAGATTAGAGGCTTGGCTTACCAGGTGCCAGGTGACCTGGTGCACTCATGACGAATGCATTCATTATCCATGGTCGCGAGGAGCTGTTCGTGTTAGACTCTGTCATTTTGATTGTATGTCTGGCGGGATTAGGGAAAACAAGACTTGGAGAATATGTCAACATGGCAAAGTAACTTTGGGATCTCGGGCTGCCTTAAACTCAGGAGCGGAGTAGTTCCCGAGATTTGTTCATGTGCTAGGAGGGGTTCACGTGACACGAGAGTGGCCGGCGACTGGCCGATGGCAGGCCGCAATCGCACGATGATATCGTTGGGGGAAGACGGAAATCACCGAATCAGATTATTTGGATTGGTTTTACAGCTTGTGAATGGCCTAGCATACCTTGAGTTCCGCCCGGCCTAGTGTTGCCAAACTGCTTGGAAGTGGATAGATGGCGAGAGATTGCGTGCTTGAGGGGCCGGCGAGCACCGGAGTTCAACCTCGCTATTTATCGATACGAGTACATTGACGACACCTACTTTGCTAGCCACCTGTGGTATTCAAGGTGAATTGCAATTAATGTCGGTTTGGGAAGGACATGAAGTAGATATACCGGGCTCTACTCAGAGACACGTGAACATGTAGTGCGTCGGGTAGGGCAGTGTCAGTTACTAGACCAAAGCATTTTGGCTGACAGGTTACTTCGCCGCCCGAGTTGGTGTTTCCTTGCCTGCTTAGCTTGAAACACGGGATCACGTAGCATGAGCCACACGCAGTAATTGACATTCTGATTGTTGTAGCTGCCGAATATACTTCCGAAATGGTTCAGAATTATGGCGTTATTGTCTAGACTCACAGCGTATACCCACAACAAGCATTACTAAAAAGTTCCGCCTTGTAAAAGGACCGACCTGGTCGTAGTCCAACTTCATTGCCGCTCTGAATGATCCACTACCGGAAAAGGTCTCGATATGCCGAGAGAGAGGTAATGAGTGTCTTGTCAGCTGTGCCGGACTTCTTCGACACTGTCTCGACCTGCGCTGGGTGTGAACGATACCCCGGAGGATAGAGAGCCAGCGAGGCCACTACTTGGCTCATACTTTCCCTCGATACATTGCCTCAAGCCCTTTAGGTTATTCCTGGTGCATGCAAGTGCACATGCCAGTGGTTGAAATAAAGATACGGCACTTTGTATCCCAGCAGCGCACGTGCGGAACACGCAAGGTAAGGTTACGTCGAGGCATACGGAACAATGACAAGGCAAGCATTCCCCTTGCAAGTCCCACTCAGATGTAGCATATAGGGATCTTCGCCCACGCTAATCCATGCAACAATAGTTGCATTGTCGAGGACTGTTTGATCCAGAGCCCTGGGAAGATCCACAATAGGCCGTAGAAATGATCCACAACAGCCTTCACGAGCTTTGAGCGTCCCATGATGCCATCGCCGCCGAAAATCTTGATTACACTCCCGTGTTTCTCCTTCATATATCCATTGCGCCGACACCAGAGCCAATCTCTGCGACATACGTTCTTTGGAACGCATCTATCAGGCTTCTTCCGGACTCGACGAGTGCAGCTTGAGGCTATGACTTCCGAAGAGATAGGAAAGTACCATGGCGGCGTCGCCGAGCGGCTCCGCCGTTTCTACCGCGGAATCACGTTCCAGGCCATCATACTCGGACTGGTCAGCTTTACTCAACCAGGCATCTGGGTAGCATTGAACAGTAAGTTCTTCTCTTGGGATGTGGTACATGCGCAGATACTGATAGAAGACAGACCTTGGAGCCGGTGGTCAAGCATCACCATACGTGGTCAATGCTGGTGAGTGATGCCCAACTCCATCATAGTCCTTGGTGCCCTTCTGACGGCTTGGCAGCCAATGTGGTGACTTTCGCTATCATGGTCGTCTTCTCGCCGTTTTGCGCAGTTTTCGGCAATCGCTACAGCCTCAAATGGGTCCTCGTGTTTGGAACAATCGGCTACGTCCCATACTGCGCCGCCCTATATACGAACACCGTCTACGGCACGCAGTGGTTCCTCATCTTCGGCGCGGCGACCTGTGGTTTCTCGGCAGCGGCCTTGTGGACGGCTGAGGGAGCCATCGCCGTTGGTTATCCGGAAGCCTCGCGTCGAGGATGGTGCGTGGCCATCTGGCTCGCGTTGAACAAGATCGGCTCGCTCATTGCTAGCTGCATTCAGCTTGCCCTCAATACTAGCAACAACGAGGCCGGCAGCATCAGCCCCAAGACCTATCTCGTTCTCGTCGGGCTGACCTGTGCCGGCCTTCCCTTGTCATTACTATTGTCTTCCCCCGAAAAGCTCATCCGCAGAGACGGAACCAAGCCTACAGCCCGCTCAAGCAAAACCAGATTCAAGCAGGGGTTCAGAGACTTCTGGGCAGTGTGCAAGACCAAGCATATCTATATGCTAGTGCCAATCTTTATCACGGCACAGTGGGGGCAAACATACAACGGCAACTATCTCGCGGCATACTTTTCAGTCCGAGGCCGTACACTCGCGGGCTTTGTCGTGACGATAGTGGGCATCGTTGTCAACTTCGTTGTCGGCTGGTTCCTTGATTCGAAGTATCTCCGCCGCTCTACGCGCTCGAGGGCGATGTGGATCGCAGTTGCAGTGATTTACGTTGCTGGTTGGATCTATCAATTCATCAACCAGGCTGACTACCAGAAAGACGGCACAGTCTTTGACTGGTCGTCCCCAGGCTATGCCCGAGGACTTTGTGCATACCTGCTCTACCGGTAAGACGAATTCTCCAGGATACCATCTGACCCTTTACTGACAAGTATACAGAGTTGGTTACGAAGCAGTCGGGACTTGGATGTATTGGCTCCTTGGGACTTACGACACGCACTTCGACACGCTCGCCCTGACATCCTCTCTCCTGCGCAGCGGTGAATCTCTCGGCTCGACCTTCAGTTACGCAGTGGGTGCCTCAAAGTCAGCCTCACTCATGACAAATCTTATTGTTGCTGCTGTTGTGTGGTTCGCCTCCGCGCCGATGGCCACCTGGAGCGCTTGGAAGGTCACGGACTCCCAAGACGAGGAGACACTCGCTGTGGAAAGCTCGGCTGCGACTTCGATCAATGAGGAGCACTTCGATGGCAAAGCGTTCGATTCGTCTTCGAATGCAACACCTCATGTGTAGTGGTGTAGAAGTTTGCGTACGCGTGCCGTTTTGAGCGAAGGAAAGACCTTGGGAAGCATGATCAAATCTACCAGACACATCACGGGGGTCGGCAATTTAGCGACATGACTTTCCTGATAAAGATATTCCGGCTAACATAGAGCAATGCTTAGATAAGCCACTAGAATCATATAGCGTGGGGTGGTTTGGGTGTATAATCGCGAACTTTTCCTGCAGCCTGCGACGCCTCATCAGTTTAAACCATGACAACTAGTCTCGAGTGAAACTTTCTTGACGACATCCTACGTTTCTATAAACCTGAAGAACACGCGTGGTCCTCAGCACTAGCAAATGGCATTATTATCGATCAATTGGTCTATAAGAACGATTATCAGTCATTTCAGATTCAAGACAAATGCTTATAAATATTGGTGAACCATCTCCTAATCTGGTGTCTCTCCGGAACCCAAGTGAGGCCTGCCTGGTTGAGATCAATGTGTCCTTAGAGCCATGCGCACCTGCCCGTCTAGGCGCTTTTACCGAATTTTCGGAACCTTTTGATCACCACCTGAGTCGTAGCAGATACCTTTTAAGGCAGACTTTGGGTAACGCGCGTGGATTTGGTAATCATTAATACGACTGACTCTGTTCCGCGGCTGTTCCGTGGCGCCTTGCCCCACTTCCGTGTTGAAAACGAACGCCGAATACAAGGGAGTGTCCACATCCGGGTTGTTGATTGTTGCGAACACCCGTTCATCCCTACTTTTGTAGATGTGGCCAACGAGCCACAACAGGTAGGGGAGACTTGGGGTTGTTCGCCGCCAAAAGAAGAGAACCTGAAAGAGTAATTGCGTTGGTTGGGGCTTATGAGCTGAAAATATATAAAGCATGATGAACGCTGCCGTCGTGAGTGTTAGTAGGAGTAGAACCGCTCATTGCACTACCTGAATTTTCTCAAAGCCACAATTCCTTACCAATGGCCATTCCTTGAAGACTGTCAGTTCAGAAAAGTTCAAACATGCACTCAGTGTCTCTCGCAGCTCTTTCTGGTCTCCTGGCCATGGCGCATGATGCCCCTTCTAGAGCCATCCGACCAAGTGCAGCTTCGTAGTGTCCAGAAGTGAACGGTACATTCTCCATTGTTACGGTGCTGCTCGTAATCCGTGATAATAACTTGTTGTTGCGCGAGGAGAGAAGAGCTAAAAGTCTACGAACCGCAGGCGAAGCTGCGGCGTTTATATAGTGGGCCATTGTAGTGGGTACCGTGACATCCATCGAGAACTTCAGATTGTACCCAGAGAACCTGGACTGGGATCCCATACACTGCAAGCTCTACCTCAGGCAAGTTCTAAATGGACCGGCATGGAGGATGCGAAACTGACATGCCGCACATAGCGCCAAATTCAATACCTCCGTCCTGGTACATGACCCGTACACCGCGACTTAATTATGACAGCTTGACCTTGGACGGCATTACAGATACAGAGCCATATCACGTGTCTGGAATAGACTATGATGCTTCGACACGGTCCATCATAGATCAGGCCAACAGCGGAAATCCTTTCGTTACCAACGGAGCTGACTTGTCCGGGCCCAACAAAGTCATCCGATATGACACGGTTTCCAAAACGGTTGCGTGTATGTAAAAGATCCTTTTCATGTCATTCCTTTTCGGCCAAGTTCTCCAGGCGTCATTCATTATGTTAGGGTAGCCCCTGTTGTCGTTCCGAGATATTTCTCATGCCTCTGAGTGTCTAGGAAGAGAAAGATGGAGGGGGAGGGGGATGCGTGCACGTGTGTGTGTGTGAGCATGCTAACCAAAGAAATGATCAGACACCGCCGACCTTGCCGAATTCGTGGCTCAGGCCCGAGTTGGCAACTCGGCCGCCGGCGGCTTCCAAGACTCGGCCGAGGACGCCGAAGGCAATGCCTATGTCACCACCACCTTCAACGTCGGGGCCATCGCTAAGATCTCGAAGACGGGGGACGTGACACCCTGGTACATTGGCGACGCGACCCCGGTCCCACACATCTACGGCGGCTGATCGTGACGGCGGGGTCCCGCGGCATCTTCCAGTCCTTCGACGTCGCCTCCGAGTCCCCCGCGCCAACGGATATCACCATGACCGGCCGGCCTGCCGACGGCTCCTACGCTGGCCTCGGCTGCGATGGCCTGATCAGTCCTGCACGGTATGGGCGCAAGGTGCTCCTTTGCTCTGATAACGGCCAGGCCGCCACCACGCTCTGGGCTACAGGTGACGGCTTCGCTTCCGTCCGGTATGTCGGCCAGGTTGCGAATAACGGCACGGAGGAGGTCGCGAAGTTCGGGACCGTGGTGGCCACGGTGGAGATGGGCAACTCGCTCTATGTCAACAACGAGTTCTTCAATGATACCGGCGTCTTTGATCTGGCTGGCGACCGCGCGAGCTTTCCACTTGTCGGCTCCACGGCGGAATTCGACGCTTTGGTGAGCGCGGCTAGGTTTGAGATTACTACTTGCTAAGCGCCATCTTGTATGCCATCTCCTGAGCTCAAACTCAATAGAAAGAGCGGAAATTCATTTCAATCCGACTGGAGATGCCATTCCACTCCAATCCGCTGTGCACGATCTTATGACACTGAGAATGGCAGCTCACGCAGTTGGAGATAAACGAAATGAACTCAATGACTTCTGGTAAGCATATGGACCTTGAAATCTGTGGGCAAGGGCTCAATAGACTGGCAGTTAACTCGTTCAACGCGGTTCAGAGAGGAAGATACTGAATGAGCTTGTGGCCTTCTAGAGGTCGTGACAGCGAATCAAGGATAAGATTCTTGAGCCAGGTACGTGATCATGTCTTTGTTCGTCTCGCCATGTAGTGAGCCCACGGCTCGCCCAGTCGGTCGCGATTTGGACACTCGTTGAATCTGGCATCAGAAACACAGTACCGGTAATCATGGCTTTGACTTACAAAAAACCACTGTGATTCATGTTAATTCCAGGGCAAGGATCTAGGTGTTTTGTTTCTCAGGAGACGTTGTGCTGAATTCGTGTTCGGTGTCCCGGGCCTCGAAGGCTCCCGCAATAGGGGCAGATGGCTGACTCTTGGAAGCGCGAGGCTGACCACCATCCCCGGGAGTCGGCGGATAATTTTATCATCATGCAGCAATGAACTGGCGGTTGAAGGTGATTTCTCCGTGGCCCGGCTATCACCGTTTGTTTCGTCCGGGCCGTTGGTGGAGATGCACGAACTAAAAATTGAAGGAGGCTCAGGGGAGTCGGTTTCAACCAGAGTGATGCCCCACAAACGTTTCGGGCGGATTGTTCGCCAAGGACGCAACGGAAATGAATGAAACACCACATCGGGAATGGGACCGGCTGATCTACCCCCACAGTGAGGCTCCGAAGCTAATGAGCTTGTTTGATACAAGTGCCGGTGGAGGCATTTCGTGGCCCCATGGACGGGCTTTAGTCAAGTCTCATCATGGGACAGCAGTTGGCGATTCGAGCACTCGGTCGTAAAACACGACGGCTGACGTAGTGGGGTCTTCAACTCGAGGATATAAGTAGTCTGTACAATTCGACTTGGCCTACACAATGTTGTTTTGTGTCAGCAAGCCTCTCATCCAAACACAAGTCTTTCGTTTCAATTTCATTGTCCCTCGTTCGCTGCCGGCAGTAACCAGCACTACATACCTACACCAATCACAATGCCTTCCACCCTCCAGACCATCTCTGCCATCGCGGCTGCCGCTGCGTCGGTCAACGCTGCCATGGGCCCTGCCCTGTCCACTGGCCCTGTCTCTGACTCCACCTTCATCCGGGAGTCAACCGCCACCCTCGTCCTGCCCGAGGTCCCTACCAACAACAAGGGAGACGCTTCCCTCTGGCGGCATGGGCACATCCAACGGCGACCTGATCCAGTCCATCTCGGACAACTACAACTCCGACAAGTGGTCCATCTTCGCCTACACCCTCGTGTCTCTGGGTGAGGGCAACGGCCAGACTGTCGTCCAGGACGACACACCCACCGAGGCCGGTGCCGGTGACGAGGTCACCATGCACTACAAGTTCGACGACGCCAGCGGCAACTACACCCAGACCGTCAGCATCAACGGCGAGGTCGTCTCCACCCTGTCCACCAGCAGCGGCAAGGCCCAGGGCTGGGGCTCTTCCGTCGAGTGCGCCGCCGAGGACTGCGGCACCATGCCCGCCCACAAGTGGACCGACGCCAAGATCATCCTCGACGCTGCTGATGCCAGCTACGACAAGACCCTGGGCCTGGGTGAGGGCGTCACCGGCTCCATGACCACCAGCGACGGTGGCAAGACCTGGGAGATTGGCACTTTCGAGATCCCCGAGTTCACCTTCGGCTCGTAAGCGGTAGCCTTGGGTTCGATGTGACAGCAAAAGGCACGCACTATACCTGGTGCCTGGTGTTGTGGCTTCTTCACTGTAAAATATTACCATCAGCGCTTGTATTAAAAACCTAGCGTATGAATTGAAGTACAGCATGTTGTCTGGATCCTTGATGGGATTTTAAATTGCAGGTCTCTCGATTGTCATCTGTTATAAGTGTTCTGATCCGTGTAAATGCTCACCAGACCAACTGAGCCCAGGTGCGCATTCATACCTACTGTATTCGAGACCGCCTGGACTTGGTGTGCAATGTCAATCAATCTTAATAGACTGTCAGTGCGCATATATTGGTCCAACTTCCCTGTCACCGCGGCCGGCTCTTCTAACTGCAGTAGCAACCTCTTCAGATGCTACCCAAAACGCAGTGCAGTGCTACCAGCGCCGAAAATGGCACAAGGAAAGGCAAGGTGCTCAACCATAATGTCCAGTCAGCTACCCGGTCCGGTCTGATTCAAGCAGATTAAACGCAGATCCAAAGTGGCTCCGACTTTAAGCTCAGTGTTGCCGGAATAAGCTGCTCATCGGTCGGCGACAAATTCGCGGCAGACCCCTCTCCAGTATGAACCGGTGCCGCTTCATACCAAACTCACAATTTGGTGTCTTTTAGTCATCTCAAAGAATTCCCCGTCCATGATTTTATGAACATACGCCTCTCCCACAACGATGAAACCGCCGTCCCTGCCCGGGCGAAAGACGAAAGGCACGTCTGCACCAGGCAGGATCCAAATCAAGTCACCCGGGCACATCCCGACCGGTCCGATCCCGATATATCCATTCCGAGAACGAAACGGGCGCCTTTGCAAGAGCTTATTGAAAGCGATTTTGGCATACTTGACACCTTGACCAACATCACCGCCCGCCCTCACAGCCTGGTACGCCCGATGGGTCTCCTCAGATGCCCGCGCTGTTTCCCAGCTGTGCACGTATGCGCGATCCGCGATCGGGGTCCGCCAAAGGGCGTCGTGCACTTCTTCTGCCGTCTTGTAGACCTCGTTGGCGCGGGGGAGGAGAGTGGTGTCGAGATCGTGGAGCCAAGTGGAGAGCCTAGCCACGCGAGCTGCGTCGTCCGCAGTGTCGCCATGTTCGGTGAAGGGCTGGCCCAGGTGCATGATCTCGTCGACGTACAAACCTATCAGATCCAATCTTCCTTTGACACTGAATGACTGTGCTAGCGTTTGGGTAGACATTTGAGCTGCAGAATACGGACAGTGCCTCCTCCCGCCCCGAACCACAAAGATTGGTGTCGTGTACAACGGTTGCGGCAGATCCTTCGACGACCAGTCTGGTGCCCATGACGGTGGTGAATTTGGCAAAATGGGACCAGCAAGCTCACTCCCAGAGCAGTTGCCGGCAAAAGACAGCATGCAGAGTCCATAGTAAGTCAAACATGCTTCCCCGACTTCTGTCCGAATAGTCGCCCAGTCCTTTGTGTAGTCAACCATAACCAACGGACTCTGGTGGGTGTCAATCAAACTCAGGAGCGCATAAATGTAGTCTCTTTTGTCCGATGCCTGGAGCTGGACCCGCGGCGCCATCCGAGATAGCAGAGAAAGGAGCTCGAGGAGGGACAGGTCGGGCGTCGTGAAGGCGACAGGCGTCACCCGGCCCAAGGCCAATGTGAGCACGTCCGCGAGAGCCGAGCTATCCTGCTGACCGGCTCCTGCGAGGTTTAGATAGTCTCGCACGCCGCACAACACCCAGAAGCCTCGAAAGAATACGTGCCATGGCACCCACTCCCGCCCGCAGCAGACGAAGGCGTTCCGTGACAGCACGGCCTCTTGGATGACCCAGACCCGCCGAAACCAATGCCTCTGGTATAGAGAAGTAATGGCGGCCAGCCTCGCTGAATTGTCGAGTTGAAGAACAAGAAGTATCTCGTCCAGTACTCTCTGGACGGTCTGCACTGATGGGTCGGACGAGGTCTTGTCGAAGGAGACTTCAGACCATGAGTGAACATCGTCTGGGATCGGCGACTGACTTAGTCTGCGCAGGGATTCGAAGGCAAAGTCGCTATCCTCGCTGGCCGGGCCGATCCAGAGTATGGTCTGTCTTGCTGTCTCGAAAATCTCGTTCATCCGAGAAACTTGTTGGTTTCTTTCTGCCTCGTTTTGCTGGTCGATGCACAAGGCGTCGACCCAAAGGATCATGGCATTCTGACCATCTCCTCCGTTGCTTCGGCTCTCGACGATGAAATGCCTCAAGGCGTACTCCAGGTTACTAGTTACTCGGACATGTTGATCGTTGACTATGATATCGTGCGTGGCGCTTGGGTCTCCCCAAGTGTAGGACAGCGCTGTGTAATAGGGCCTGTCTCCGAGGCTGGCATGCTCTAGCCGGCAGGATACCAATGTTTGATGATCAGAACCTAGATTCAATCTATCTTTGTCGAGGGATAACAGATGGAGAAGACGAATTTCCTGTCTATCCGGTCTCAATGGCTGGTATTGGAAGCCCTGTACCGACGTATCGTCTGCCAGCTCGTTGACAGGCATTCTTGGGTCACGCCGATTTTAATTTGCGGTCTCAGATGAGAAATTGTCTTGCCAAGATGAGGCAAACAAATCTTCCACGTGGACATGTGTGTAGATGGAGTAGAAAATGCGATATCTCATGCGCTTGATTGGTAAATCTTGACGATCTCAGAAGATGACAGGAAATCTCGTGCGGGGGGCTTTGAATGTGGCTTAGAGCTGAGCCGTATTATTGGCCTATTATCTAAAGAGGAGAGGGCATAGGTTATTCAAGCAGATAGCTAATCAGACTAAGATGCCCTGGAACCGTGAAGTATGTATAAGCACTAATATAATTTGAGGAGTAGGAACCCAGGTTATTCTTTTCATTCTTTTCACATGAGAACGAATATTTGCACCCGCAAAAATGGAGGGTACACCCGTACATCGCTAGCACCACACCCACGCCCAATTCACACGCCCAATTCACACACCTAACACCTATACACCTAATTTATATAAGTATTTAGTGTATAGGTGTATGGGTCTATGGGTGTTGGGTGTTGGGTGTGTTATTGTGTTTACGTGTGTAAATAGGCCTGGGCGACATGCTAAAAGCGCAGTAGCTGTAGCGTGAGTGATATACAGATGTACCCTCCGTTTTTACGAGTGCGAATATCCGTTCTCTTTTACATACTAGTAGCTTACAATAAGTTGTACAATTATGTGAGGAGCGTTGGGATGACTGGGTGATATATTGACAACGCAGTAGTGTAGTACAAACATAAGCTGGTACCTACCTAGGTAGGTATGCTAAGACAGCGAGCACATAATTATCTCACAGCGACTGTCCCTCTAAGATAAAATGTTGGAAAAAGTGGAAGGCTGAGGCCTCATTCTTCACAATACTTGAAATCATTTGCCTGACTAATACGCTGCTTTGCAGATATATTTGTTAAACTTTATTTTTACTCGCCTGCCGGCATTCTCAAGGAGTATGCGTCGGCGCAAATCCGCGTCGGACTTCTCGACAGGTAGTGTGCGTTCGTCATGCCGGACCCGAATCAAGCAATTTTTGATATCTGTATGATAGATCGCCCGATCAATAGCATTTGTAATCATTTCGGTGAGTTGTGGTTGCTGTCGCCGAAACACGTGATAGCGAGATGTCGACATTGCGTGCTAAATGACGAGCGCGTGAAGGTGTGGCACGACGGGTGTCTCGATTCTCCGCAGTCGCTTTAAACCGTTAAGATGATGATCAACCTTACACTCAACAACACGACTCGGAGACCACAGGCCCTTGAATCAGTCCCAGTGTAAAATCATGGGAGCCGAGAAATCGATCAAGTCAGTCGCGGTCATCGGCGCCGGCGCCTCGGGTATGTACCAAGCTCTGGATCTAAGCCCTCACCATGTTAGTGGCAAAACACGGGGCTGATAGCAAGATATAGGGACTATCACGGCAGCTGCTCTTAAAGCAGAGAACTATTTTGACCAGATTCGAATCTTTGAGCGGCGAGAAACAGCAGGTGGAACATGGTGAGTCTCCTTAAGTTCATCGGCATCAACTCTCACCAGTGAACTAGAACTGACATCAAATAGGATATTCGATGCGTCTCCAGGGCCAGAGCTTCCCATAAATCCGGGGAAGCTGCCTCCGCAGATCGATCCGCCTGTCCAGATTCCGGACCAACTCCCAAGGGTGACGGCACCGGTTGAGCAGGAGCGGTATTCCAAGACGCCAGTATATAATTCCTTGACGTAAGTACCGAAGCAAATCAAAGCCATGGCTGCCCACAGGCTTATGTGCGAGACAGAACAAATGTGCCCGATATAGCGATGTGCTTTTCTGATGCACGATTCGCATATGGGCCATTCCCACCGCATCATGTCCCTCGGCAGTATTTAGAAAACTACGTCGCAACACACGAGCTTGACGAGAACTTGGTCCTGAGTACCACTGTCGAGGACGTCTCCCGGATTCCACCGTCGACTTCAGAATCAGGCCCCGACAGGTGGAAGTTGACGCTGCGAAAGCACGATGCGCTGCGGGGAGTGGACGTGTGGTGGACAGAGGTCTTTGATGCTCTTGTCATCGCAAACGGACACTACTCAGTACCATTTGTATGTGCAGCCCAGTATTTAGGCTGGGGGACGAGCTGACACGAAGCAGATCCCACATGTGGACGGGCTGGAGGAGTATATCAAGAAGTACCCAGACCGCGTGGTCCACTCCAAGTACTACCGCTCACCAACGGTGTACTCGGGCCAAAAGGTCCTGACGATCGGTAACTCGGCGTCGGGCTCTGACATCTTCAACGAGCTGGCCAAGACTGCACACCTGCCTGTCTACAGCTCTCGACGGCACAAGAGTCCCTTCGAGGGCGACAAGCCACAGCCCGGCGTCGAGTGGAAGCCCATCATAGCGAAGTACCACCCCGACGGGACGATCGAGTTCGAGGACGGGACGACGCTGGGCGCCGGCGACGTGGACAAGATCATCTATGCGACGGGGTACAGGCCGTCGTTCCCGTTCTGGAACGAGAAGGCCAACGGGCGGCCGATCTACGACTACGAGGCCGGCAAGCTGGTCAACACGTACTGGCACACCTTCTTCCACGACCTCCCGACGCTCGCGGTCGTGGGCATCGAGAAGGGCCTCACCTTCCGCAGCTTCGAGTACCAGGCGGTGGCGCTGGCGCGCCTCTTCAGCGGGCGCAACGCCGTCCCGCTGCCGCCCGCGCGCGAGCAGCGGAGGTGGGAGGAGGAGAGGACCGAGTGGGTCAAGGCCACGGGAAAGAAGTTCCACGACATCGAGAGCGAGCCGGGCAGGCTGGGCGAGGACTCGTTCAAGTGGCTTGGGTACCTGTATAGGCTTGCTGGCCTCGGCACGCTGACGGGCGACGGGAGAGTCCCTCCTGTGCTGAGCAAAGAGCTGCTTCACGCCGTCAGGACAATCCATAAGTATCCGCGATACGACGAGGATGTGGCTGATGCAGAGGTCTATGATTACCATGGGGTATCGTCAAGTGGTGGCAAGCAAGCTGCCAAAGAGTGGGTGGTGGTCGATGGGTTGTAGTAAGAGACGAGAAGCTATTACCTCGAGGCTGGACATCTCGGTGAGACGTATAGAAGGGTTGGTGTAAATATTCCAGTTAGAAGGGGGCGAGAAAGGGGACCGGGGCCGCATCGAGGAGCCTTTCTTTGCATGTTCTCCTTGAGACGCTCCTTACGTTGACGCATGACGAGCGAGATATAGAGTGATGGACTGGATGCCAGTGCTTAACGTGATACGAAACCAACGGTCATGTACTTCACAGATTGAAGCGTCAGTGATAATCTTTGGAATCGGGGTGCCTGTCGCGGTTGAGTGAGAGGGAGCAAAGCCAGCCCCATTCCCGCAATGTTGAAAGGGTTCGCCGAAAGGATTTATCCACGACTGTCTCGCGAGGTCGCCTGCCCATGATGCACATGAAATTGAGCCATTTTAGCGCATTTTCCACGGAAGCTCTCTTGTTTTCTCGTCGACATAGCCAAATTCTTGTCGTGCTCCTACGGTGAAAGCCGGGGATCATGCTCGGCAGGGTTGGGAGTGGCCCGCGCGGGGCCGACGCGGAGAGGACTTGAGCTCTTCGGTTGCAGATCAACAGCACCTCTCAGAGCAGATAAATACAGCGAATATGAGAGGGCTTAACAGAGCTCAAACCGCACTGCGGCAGTGCACACACGATGGCGTCGTCCTATCCACGAGGTAAGAGGCCAATTTCCAGTCAATTGACGATCCCAAGCTGATAAACAACACCTCCAGGCGCACCGTCGCGACCAGAGCTCTCGCCGTAGCCCCAAGCTCCCCTGCCCGCCCACGAGCGGCACCACAAACCCTTCCTCGCCCCACGGCCCTCCCGCGCGCACACGCCCTCTCAAGATGCTTCTCCCAGACTGCCGTGCTGGACGGCAAGAAGAGCAAAGACAGGAGAGCTAGCAAGCGATCAGCAGAGCGGGTAGAGGCAGCAGCCCGGGAAGAAGAGGAGGAGGAGGCGGCCGCGGCGCCGTCCAGGGGCCGCGCAAAGGAGAAGGCGGCGCAGCAGGCGCAGGGCGACTTCGACCGCGAGGCTGCCTTCGACCTGGGCGATGTCGACGCCGAGTACGCGCGCGTGGACGAGCGGTCCGAGAAGCGGCTGCAGGAGTTCAGGGTGGGCGGGCGCTTCAACCCGGAGATGCTGGGCCAGCTGCGGGTGCGGCCCGACTGCGAGTCGGCGCAGTCGTGGCCGCTGCGCGAGCTGGCGCAGGTGGTACACCGGGGCGGGCGCAGCGTGTCCATCCTGGTCAGCGACGCCGAGTACGTCAAGCCCATCATGTCGGCCGTGCAGAACAGCGACGACTTCAACCAGCAGCCGCAGCGGGACCCGGACAACGAGCTCGAGCTGCTGCTGCGCATCGAGCCCGAGGACCCGGAGGAGCAGCTGAGGCGCCTGCGCGGGGAGATCACCGCCTGGAGGGACGCCGTCCGCGGCGTCATGGCCGCGAGGAAGCACAGGCACGCCGCGTGGCTCAAGGAGAAGCACGTCACCAAGGACGATGTCAAGGCGCTGGAGAAGAAGATCAAGTCCATGCAGGACAATAAGATCGAGCAGGTCAACCGGAGCGAGAAGCAGATCGTGCAGCAGATGGCCAAGAGGCAGACACGGCTGTAGTTCGGCATCTTGGGTCATGAGCTGCATGCACAGTCTATACTACGATTGAAAGATACCTGGGGGACAAAAGTTCTGTATATTCTACTGTATTTGTACAACCCGGAAGGGTGACCATTCCCGTGACCTCGTCTTTCACTACTGTTAATGCTGTAGACTATGCTGGTCGAGCGGCCTGTCCAGCCGCGGGCACCTTGATAAGCTTCCTGATCCGCTCGTCGAACTTGACGCCGTCCGCGATGGTGCAGGTAGAACCCTGAGCGTGATACGTGGCCAGCTTGCCGTAGACGTCCTCGGCGTACTTGACCTCCGGGTGCTCTCCCTTGAGGACGTACTTTTGGATCGCCTCCTTCGTGTTCTTTGTGTTCTGCGTCTTGTACTTCCTCGCCATGTTCTCGAGTTCGGCAGTGGCCCGAGCCTCAGCCACCGCCTTGAGCCAGTCCTCAGGTCGCGCGTTGCTCTTGACGAGAGACTCGCTCAGCTGCTTGCCCTTCTCGCTCGACGCCAGCTTGGCGGCCCATGCCTTGAAGGACCCCACGAAGGCTCCCCAGTTGTTGCCATTCTTCTTCTGGATGTCCTTGACGATGGCGTCCATGAACTTCTGGACGAGCTTGTCCCTCTTCTCGTGCGACAGGGTCTGAATAACCGCCTTCTTCTGCTCAACATTGGAGAAGTAGATGGGCTTGTTCGCCACGAGCCACTTCTTCACGTCGTCGATCTTGAACGACTGCTCCGCTTCGCCAGCTCCCCTCCCGCCTCCCAGGACCTTGACGCTCCGGAACGCCATGCCGGCCTGGCCCAGCGCTGTGTTGGTAGCCACCGCAGGTCCCCACCCAACCAGCGACTCGAGCGTCACAGACGGCTTGTACGCCCTCTCCGGGCCGCCGACCTGCTGCTCGCGCACGTAGGCCTGGACCTCCTCGTCCAAGGACTTCAGCCCGGAGTTGGCCGCCTCTTCCTTGTCCTTCTTCTTGTCGTCGTCGCTGCGGCGCTTCTTCTCCATAACGCCCGCGCGCTTGGGAGGGGGCCGCTTGCTGCCGCCGCCCAGGCTCGCCCTAATACGAGACGCCGGATGGCCACCTTGTTGTCCCTGGCTGCCAGGGCGCGCGAACCGGGGGCCGTTGGGCCCAGGTGTGAAGCGCCCGCCCACCACACCGGCGCGCCCTGGCCCCGACCGAGGACCCTGGGTCCCCTGGGCCCCATCTTTGCCAAAGTCCGCTCTGCGAATCAAGGGCTTGGCGCCGCCTTCTCGTTTGGGCAGGCTTCGCACGCTGATGACGTTGGCGCCCAATCGCGAGCCGAGGGTGGCCGTGTGCGGGAGGTTCGCGGGGCTTCGGGAGCCAAGGGGTTGCCTTGCGGAGGCATTCGCGGAGCGCTGGGGGCGCTCGGAGGGCTGCGAGGGACGGCTCATGGCGCCGATGGCTGAGGCTGCTGCCACGGAGCGGTCGCGGCGGGTGGGTGGCTTACTCGCATCATCGTCGCGCCGCTTGGGTGTGGTCGAGAAGGGGCGTAGTCTGGTTGTTGAGGGTACCTTTGTGCTCCGTCCGAGGACGACCCGCACTGCTTGACGAGGCATTGGGACGGACCTGAATTGGATGGCCAGTCTGGGGCCGCTGAGGTCAATGGGCTGCAGTTCAATGAAGCTGTCCCGAGAAATGCACGCCGGTCACAAAATCCATCTTAGCTGGGTGGTCCGAGCTTCAACCGCTTGGTACTTACTCGCCGAAAGCTTGGCCCATATAATTTTCCCGTCCCAACGTCACGCGTATGCCGTCTCAACATGAGCATGAATAAGTCCAGCAAATCGGACTTAGCATGCACATGAGCGTCTACTTAAATACAGAAGGGGCCATTTGAATTTGACGAGAACAGGTAGACCATTGTGCATTCGCCCACGTGGAGCATCACGTGTGATGCAGGGCGAGGTTGTCGTTCAGAAGAACATACTCCGTTTCCTTGGTGATACTGACGATCTCTAGGCCCAGAATCTTGCTCTAGCACGCAGTGATGGTGTCGAGACAATCTTTTCCATGAGACTCAATTTGACGTGAGGGTGGCCAAAGATGTGGACAACGCCGCTGAGCGTTCACCTGGCACAGCATCCACCCGGCGACAAGAACACCAAGCACAGACAGCACAGGGTAGAAGTCCAATGAGTTAAATGCAGCGCGTTCATTCTCGCGGTATCATTGATCAAGTCATGGAGTACCTAGGTTGCCCTATTCTACCAGACACCCGTCCAAAAAAAAAATCACTGTGTCGCCTCCGCCAGGCGGCCATGAGTGCTCTGCATACCACCTCACTCTGACGCTGCCCCGAACCATGACCTGTTCAGAACTGGCCGACAAGATTGTAGACCCTGCCCTTGGGTAGCTTCTGGATCTCCTCAAGGGGGAGAGCCTTGCGGTAGTATGCGATGCGCAGGGCATCGATCTGGGTGTCATCAGACCTCGAGCCCCGGTCGTACGGGTGCTTCTTCTGGGCGAGCAGGTCGCGGACGCACAGGCCAGCCTTGCGGTTGAGATCCATGTGGTGGGCGTGGTTGAACAGCCGGTGGAGCTGGGGCATCTCGTCCGCGAGGATCCGCTCGAACTGGTCGAACCTCTTGATGCGCGGGGTGCCGTCCTCGTTGCGGAGGATGCTGAAGTCGATGTTGGTCTGGTCCAGGGGCACCATGGGCTGCCCGGGGCGGCCGCACCCGAAGTACTCGGTGCCCTCTATCTTCAGCTGCCTGTGGTGGTAGTCCTCGCGCTCCACGGCGGCGATCATCTGGCAGCTGTCGCAGACGTATCCGGTGCTGCAGTACATCAGGGGCAGGTTCGTGCGGCACTCGTTGCACTCGGCGGTGTCGCCCCAGACGCCGTAGCTGGCCGGAGTTCCCTGCTGGCTGGTCGACACTGCTCCGTCCTCGTACAGCTGGATCCAGCCTTCCTTTCCGAAGATGGTGACCAGCTCGGCAAAGGTGCAGCGGATCTGCAGCTTGGCCTTCTGGTTCTCGCTGATCTTTCCCTTCGCGAAGAGTCGCTTGAGGTAGTCCTTGTGCTCGGCAACAGCCTCCATGCGAGGCACAGTCTTGCTGTGAAGGGGGAGTTTCTCGAGGAAGCGTCGGAACAGAGCGTTGTGCTCCATCATGTGCATCTGGCCGGTTCCTGCGAGGAGATATCCAAGGTTAGTATATTGAAGAGCAAATTCTCGCCCGGCCTGTATCACTCACTCTTCAGGCGCGGAGCAATATCGTAAATGTAGAGCTTGCACACAGCCGTCGGGATTCTGACACCCGGGTTGCTGTAAGTCAAACCGTAGGCACCCTGCCGGTCATGACCTACGTCGGCATTCTCCCACAAGGCGCCAGTATTGTACCGAGGGGCGATATCGAACAGCAGTTTACCACCGTGTCGTGCGTTGTGGGCCTGGACGATGTCAAGTAGGGCAGGAACGTGGTGGTAGCGGATCTGGTCGCAGCTCGTGATGTCGGCTCGCTCCAGGTTGGGCATCATGTCGAGATAGGTGGCGAAGACTCCGACGTCGAAGAAGCCCACTCGGTTGAAACACACCCGCTTGACGGTGTGGCCCCTGAGCTGAAGGCTTCTACCGGCACACAGGACGCCTCGGACTTGGGCCACGTTCCAGGCAGAGAGCCGAAGGTACATCGTCTTGCTATACTCCATGTGCGTCGGGCTGATCATGATGAACTACACCGGTGTCAGTGCTACTGTGTGTACAGACAGGAGATATACGGAACGCAGTATGATTTCGGACGGAAGTGCAAAGCATATACTGACCGGATGGTTGCCCTGTTTGTCACCCGCCGCGGCATCGCCTGACTCCTTCAGGAGTTTGAACTCGTCCTCAGTGAACTCACTGTAGTTGCACCTGCCATTAGACATATCCCAGAGTGCAGGAGTACCCATGATCTGGTTTGCTACCAAGGTACAGGTTCCCTGGAGAGCGCCAATGTCATGGTAAGACAGGTAATGCATGATCTTGAAGCGGACCTCGCCAACGGTCAGAGCCCGGGCAACCGGCAAGTTCTTGTTGGGATCAGAGGCAGCGGACTCAAAGCGGAATTTCTTCTCGCCCTTGGAAAACGGGGCCGAACAAAACAGTCCTCCAGCGTAGTTCTGGTGAGGATAGAACATGTTCAATCTCTCCGCCTCAGCGGCATCCTTCGCATCGCCGGAAGGGCGCTCCTCCACCTGGAGGTCGGCCCACTTCAAACGGTTGCCATTCTTGTTGCGCGGCCACACGGGCACCTTGTTCTCGAATCGGGCCTTCCGAAGATCATCAAACTCCTTCTTGTTCTCGACGTAGTTCTTGGTGTAAGGGACACCAGTCTCCTTGAATGAGAGGATTCGAGACAAGTCGCGGTATCCGTTGGTAGAAATGGAGTAGTCCGGGGATATAAGCTCAGTCTCTTCGGCCTCGGTGAACTTCCTGCTTCCCTGACCACCACGGTACTGGTGCTTACGGCGGTTGGGGCGAGTCCCGTTCATGGTTGCTGTGTCGATGTCAGAAGAGTGGATAATGCAAGAGGGGAACAAAGGTGAAAAGGGTAAGTGTTGAAGTGTAGAAAGAAGGACACCCTCAGATGAACAGTGTGAAAATTGTAAGTGGCTCTTGGAGGCAAGAGATCCAACGGGCCCAGAAATGACACCACTGCTGATAGAAACTAGCCTGACCTCAGGAGCAGTCTAGTGTTATCAGCAGAGAGAAGTCGAGGCATACGGAATGAAACCCATATGCCTAGATGCCACAGCTGGTACCGGAACACTCAAGCGGGTAAGGGATAGGACACGTGATGTGTTTGAACTGTTCTGAAGGTGTAGTGGGCAAGGGGTTCTTGAGTCTTCGTGGGAGGGGATTGTAAAGAGCAAACGCAATCGCCTCCCGTTTTTGCTCCAACTCGGAACTTCTCTGTAGGTACATACCTAAGGCGAGTACTTTGGAAGATACAGTTCTTTTTTCCGGGACAATGGTGTCCCTCAAGTGCCCAAGTACTCACGGAAAGGAAGGTTCATATGTTTGTGTCCCGGGATGTGATTTGATGAACAATTGGGGTCCGAATTGGTAGTGAGGACCGTGCAGAAGGAATGGAAGGTATGAAAAGTGTACAAACGACAACGACTCGGATGGCAAGGGGGGAATATGTAAAACTTACCTCGGTGCAAACAAGGGAGTGACGCAGTTTCTGGGGTGTACTGTAGGAGTGGCGACGTGAAAGACGGGGAACTTTACTTCGGATCAGCAGGCAAGGTCGACGGTGGGTTTCCAGGGATCTGACCGCTGGTAGCCACTGTACCCCGAGTTTTCCGTGAGTGCAAACGCGGTTTGAAGGAGGAGGTACAAGCGGAAGGGAGATTGATGGAGGATGGAGTACGTTGACGGAGGGCAGAGAATGCGAGGAGTCTTGTGCTGCCGGCGACCAAACGAAAGAGGGTCTTGAACAAGCAGTCTACGTACCTCCGTGTGCTTTGCAATACAAGACAAAGCAATGCCAGAAGAAGCCGAGACGGCCACTGGTGATGCTGGAAGGGGTTGGATAAGTGAGACAGCGGGGAGTTGACAAAAGAGTGAAAAGGATGGCGGATAGCCAGTGCTGGGTGAGTGATCAAGTGTGGTGATCTCTAGAAAGAATCAGAGGCAACAGCTATCAAGGATGTTCCGAGTAGGTACTAGAGCTGAGCTTTGTGTTGATTCAACGAAGGATCGGTTGGGAGATGGAAAGATGGCTAAGCTTGGGGGTATTGATCAGGCTCAAGTAGCCCAGGAGGTGGTTGTTTCCTGGCAGAAATGATCCGGCCAGCTGGGAAGAGGTTAATTGTTCTTATTGTTGAGGTAATTGTGTGTATTTTGTCCAAAATTCGTCGACGAAGATTGTTTGCTGGAGAATTATCCGTGGCCAGTCACGGTTGGCGGTTCCCAACAACACAAACGACAGTGGCAGCTTTCCCAAATTAGCCCCCAAATACTGTAGATTGTACGGATCTCGTTGAGTACTGCTGCTGCAAGATTTCACTAGAAAGAACTTCCAAGATATTTGCCATTCTCATGGTAAAGCAGCAGCATTGATGATCACTGTAGTCTACACTATCGAGTCTGAGAGTCAGAGTCTCAGGACCTTGCTTTTAATATGAACAACTGTGCAAACATGGCTCCTCCATTGCCGAAAACGTAGTAATACAAGTGAAGTGGTGGGTTCTCAAAGAGTTGTGAACCATCAACTCCGGCCTCGTGATCATCATGATGGAAACAATCATCACCCCTTGATCACGTGCGTAGAGTCCCTGGAAGTTCACATGACACATACCCAGAAACAAGGAGAAAGATCAAAAGCGGTCAGATTCAGCTGAAGACTTTCAGATCGAATGCCCTCATACCTTCCCACGGCGGCCCAAAGACCAACGGTGCTCGTGAAATACCTAAGTAATGCTGAGTGCAACCGGATATTCAGTGCTGGCGGCTTATTTGACGGACACATTCTTGCCCCATCACTTGAGAATGAGAAAAATCGTAATTGATTGCATGCCCAGCCATCTAGACACCTTAGATGCATCAAGAGTTGGTGTGATATCATCAAAACCCGAAGGAATGTCTGCTTCGAGGGTATGATTGTTGATTCAAACAATTATCAACAGATCCACGTGGCCGGAATGGAATATGTGTGGGTGAATCATCTTTTCCTCTCCTGTTTGCCTTACCAAGACGCAATCTCCAGAGCAATGACTGTGGTACATACCCTGGAGTGTGCCAGTAGGGAGGTTCTCTCATGATGGGGACAGTGAGATACAGAACGTCTGGGGGCACGGGAGTACCTAGGTAAAGAGACCAGGGAAGTGGCGTCAGCAGAGCCCTGGACAACTAAGTGCCCAGCTGTTCAAATGCCGTCCTTTAGGTGCAGTTCAGGGGCTCGCAGGAAGGGGATACCTGCGCTGTAGCCGGGATCTGGTGAAAGCTTGCAATGATGGACAGCTTGCCATGAGCTTGATCCAGAACACCACAGAAGAATACCAGATCCGATACAACAAGACCTCAACAAACGACCGCGAGTCTTTGAACAACACCACAAAGACAACATCATAACATGTTCTAGAGCATCTGAGCAAGCTTCCGACAGTACCCACGAGGCAGCCAAAGGAGCACTACCTTGTGTTATGCAAGCTGGTTCTTTGCTTCCCGGGCCATGAAGACGACTCCTCCGAGGACTCTCCTGTAGAATGACCTACTATCTCCTACAGGATAACCTCCTGTGGGACAACCTCTTCCTGGACAACCTCCCATGGTATGCCTACCCTCTCGTGGTATGTCTCCCTAGGTACCGAATCGCCATGACTGGTTACACCAATCTAGGTACGACATTGATCTCACTCAGGCAGAACTTAGTCACGGCCGGCAGGAACAAAGCAGGACCGAAGCAAAGCATGATAACTGAGTACAGACCACTGGCACGGCTCCTTTCCAACAGACCTAAAATCGCAGACGGACGGCCCAAAAATCGACAGCGACGTTGGTACTGCGCCGAACCGTCCGTGGGAAGGCTGACCCAACACAGATCACAGTGAAGGCTCCACCCAGGGCAGATCGAGTGCTGGCAGAGCCGATGGGCCAACTTGGCACTGAACGCTGCTGGTAGAGGAAGAACGGACGTTAACTATGAGGACGCGAGGTTTGGAGACGAAGCGGGCGATATGGAGGTACGATACGGCGGATAGTCTCCAGCCATCACCGAGATAAGGGCTTGTTGCAACCGTCGCCGGCGAGGCATAACAAGATGACGAAGCGACTACTAACAACCTTGGCTTGCCCAGGGACACAGCAACATCGGTGGCGGCATGACCGGGGAACGGGAAGCCTGAACCCGGCGACAGCCCGGAGTCAGGCGCAGAGCGCACGGTGGGTGGCCGGGCGGTCACGGAATATCACATCATTCTCCCACATGGGGCAACAACGAACGAACAACGAAACGGGGCCCGGAGCACAAGGAAAACACCTTTTTTCAGGACTTGAAAGGCTAACAAACTGATGAGAAGAGCCAGATCGGGAAACCCCAAAGAGGCAACGGATGGAAGCGCGCTTCCGCGAACCCAGTGGCACAAGCCGTGTGTGGATGACCACAAAGGCATCATCATCGACGACACCTCGCTCGCGGAGCACGCAATAACGAGCACTGAGACCCCCATGTCTTACCAAGACATCCATTCCACGCCTCCGAGACCCTAGGCTACGGATACGTCCCCCACAAAGCGCTATCATTTACTAGCACGAGCTTTTGGTGCGCCCGTTGCTCTCGACTTGGCAGGCTGTCACATGGCCGCCTATAACTTCCCCCAAAAGCCGAACTGCCCTGTCACCACCACCGACTCGCCCCACCCCGCGGTTCTCTAGTCCGGTTCCGGGGCCGGAAATCAAGAAAAAGAAAACGGCGTCTTCTCGAGTACAGAGTCTTGGCGGGACTTCCCGCGACAGCAAAACCTGGGAAACAAGAAGAACAAGACCTGGCGGGAAGGCGGAAGGGTGGGACAAAGCCGGCCTTGTCGTATGTCTCGAACTGATCCGATTTCGAGATCTTCGAAAACGGTCAGTGCAGGGACGGAACGGTGGCCGGGGGTGGGGGACGCTTCTGAACGGGCCGCGCTCATGCTCATGTATCGAGATAACACTTCCGCCTATCATTGGCAAAGAGTACTCCATCATGGCCGCTACGGCATCCGAGCTGGGCGGAAGGGAGCAAAGAAAATAGATGAGGTCTCTTGGTTCGCCTGCGGGAAGAAATAGACCGTCTGATGACCTCGATCGGTGCATGGGTACACCTGTCGAAGCCTACCGAAGCGGCCGATAACGTCGTGGGTCTCTGGGGTCCTTGGGGTCACGACGACGACGACAAGGTTGCCGCCAGTTCCACCGTTTACCAGCGGCGCCCCGACACGACACCACCACACCATCACCAGAGACACCACCAACACCAGGCAGCTCAAGGCCGTCAGTCAGTTTAGTCTTGTCTCTCTGGGCCATGAGCTACTATCTTCGCCATCCAACCCACCACCTGCGAAACCGTCGAGCTTGGGCAGATCCGGTTGGTGGCCCACGGGGCAGGCTGCACACCACTTGGTTACAGCGGGCAATGCGGGGCGACATCATTCCCATGTGGGATGACGAGTGACGAGTCAAGCTGCTGTCTATTAGCTCGGGATGTAGGGAGCAAGCTCTATACTGTGTGTGCGTTAGCCAGCCTAGAAGTGTCGATGTCGGAATGGGGGCTTGTGACACGCCTTTTGCACTCTCGACGGACATAACTTTTTGTCAGCGAGCGAGCGGTCACTTGACAGCAGCCGGGAGAGACGGCCTTCGCGGAGGAGGCAAAAACTCGTACTTTATCTACATCGTTGCGCAATCGGGTCATCGGCCCCAAAGTCTGGGAACTCGTCGTCGTGCCGGGACGAAACGGTCGTTGGCGGCGATCACTCCCTCTCGCCATGCAGGGCCAGCGATGATTGGGATGGATGGTGGGGAAAGGGCTGCATGCATGAACGTGGAGGGGGTCAGCTGGCTAAACTTGTGACCTTGTCCCGCCGTCAAATCAAGGAGCATAACCAAGCCCCCTTCCATGGCACTTCCCATGACTTGCCGCCGCTGCTGCTGCCCAGGGCTTAGGCTGCAAACCTGTCGTTCCAAGATAGGCGCAGATACACTGAACCTGTAGGGAGCGAAAAAAAAAAAAAAAAGAAATAGCGGTCAAAGTCGGCAGCCTTTCCCTTCCCTTTCATTTCACCAGCAGCCAACCTATGGTGCGAAGGAGATATTTCGGACCAAGACCAGTCTAGATCTGGTTGATCTGCGGCTGCAATTTCACGGGCCTGCAGCTCACGTTACTTTTGCACACCAACAGCCGGGTTCTGGTTCGAGGTGCCGTCCCATCGCTCTCGAGGCAAAACGGCCAAGCAGGAACAGGCGCTGAGCCGGGAGGCGAGCAACACACACGGCTGCGGCGCTCGCAGTGGGAAGTGTGCTTGTGGTCCCCTTGTTAGCAGGCGGTTGACGTGGTAGCATCTGGAGAAACTTCAAGTCACAATGTCATCATGCAGTTCTGAGGTGGCCCAGTGCTGCGTGGCAGCTCCCCCACCGTATTGTGACTCTGGGCGCGCCCTTCTGGGGAGCATCAGAAGTATGTTGGTTGACACCGGGAGCGCTTCTGGAGTCTTGCTCACTCCGCAAACCCTAAGGTATGGGGTTAAGTGGCAGTTTCTGGACTCGACCTGCATACAGACAACTGGTCTGTTGAGGGTCTCGCCAAATACCGGTGGGCACTTGTCAGCCAATACCTGCATGCTTGTTCCGCGTTGCATCGATTTCCATCAGATGCGAAGCCGCAAGCAGATAAGCACGATCCGCCCTTCGCGACTCCCATTTGGCCAAGATAGCCGCCATTGGGCGGCCGCAGTTGGACAAGGGCGGCCCCCTGGAGGTCTTCCGTGGCCCGCGCCCCCACCGAACTCAAACGACGACAGGGGCCCAGAAAAGGTTTACACAGTATGGACACAGCCTTTCTGCGGCAGTACACGTAGATTGAGAGAGAGAGAGAAAAAAAAACGGAGCAAACAAGCGCCTGGTTTCCCTTGGTCGTACGACCACGAGGGCCACAGAGGCGATGGCCTGATCAGCATGTCGAACACCGAAAGCGCTGGCACGGTGACTGCGGAGGATTCTCAAGTTGACTTGATCATGCGAAATGTGAAACTTGCAAGCAGAGAGGGAAACACTATAATTGATTAGCTATAATGCAAGCGGCGGAGGACGCTCCTCGCGCCGATGTGTGCTCAGTGGTGGCCGGGATACCTAGGTGGAGGGGAGGGCCCTGATGCCGTTCACCTGGGCGAGCTGTCGGGGCCAAGACGGCACTTTAATGCTGCAGCATCTAATAATCCGAAGCGTGATCTCAGTCGGCCTCAAGCTGGGAACCTGGTGACGGACCTCTGAGCACCATGAACTATAAGCAGGCCCTGTTATAGATGGGGAAGGTATGTTTCGGGGTGGCTTAAGTGGAAACAAGATCGTAATTCTTGTGCATCAGAACAGTACCAAACGCAATGGCATCACTCGTTGGATGTTCAGATCAGTTCCATCGAAGAATTAGCCAGAGGCCTCGCCGTTCAAGGTGACAAATGAAACTAAGACGGGGTGCTACTACGGCGTGCCATCCCCGCTCGTGGCCACCGTGTAGGCTGGCCTGAGGAGATAGGTTCAAATATTGGTCAGCGTGTCAACCGAAAAGTTCTCGCTGTAGTATGGGTGGCGCTCTTCATGTGAGGCTGGGCACCATTGGAGCGGCAACCACCGCTAATTGAGCCATGTTTGGGAAGGTTGGCTGCAGTACGATGCACAAAATACAACGGGAGGACACGGCTGCTTGCCTCCGTCCAATTAACACTCTGGACCCTAGGCGCGGCAGTCTCAGAATGTTGTCAACTGACAATCGCACTGGGGCAAGTCCAGCCGCGAAGGCCTCGAGGGCCGGTCCAATGTGAGATGCGTATACCTGTTGGTTAATTCCTCTGAACAAAGCACTTTGTTTTCGATTGTGCTGCAGGACCCAGGAGGTCGATCGGGGGCAAAAGCGTGAGAGCGCATGATGATATCGATGAGGTTCCGTCATCTGATGTGTAAAGCGGTGTGCAGCACATATGTTGGAGAGCTGAAGGACGTTTATGCGACGGCAGACATTGACAGTTTGTCCCAGGGATCGTCCGTTGTGCTGGTATGCCGATACTATTTTTGGGAGCGCACCGGGCAGAGCACAGGCTCAGTCCGGGGTTGGCTTCAACTTGGGGAGATAGCTGGAGACAAGAGGATGCTGCCGCCGTGACAATAGCTGTCGGGCTCTCAAACATGCGGCCGAGCGGCCTGGACAGACGTACTGGTCGCTTGGTTGCTGGCGGTCTGCCCTCAAGTTGTGTGGTTTTCAATCGCCTAGCTCGAAACGCAAGTCTGGATGCGAGCCGCGTCTGGATTGCTCTCTTTCAACCACCGGAACTGGTTTGCATTAGGCCCAGTCAATTTGCGTTGTGAATCGAATCGGATGCATATGCAGCTCCGCATGGCTGTGGCCGCGCACTCTGCCATGGCTAGCAGGACGCAATGCCGCTTCATCTTCGGGTGTAAGACGCAGGTAGGATTGCTTTCGGCGCACGAAGAGCCACCGGGCTGCAGGTAATCGCATGGCAAATGCTTTCGTACGGCGTGTGATGCTACTGCTGTGGCGCAGAAGAAGGTGAGGTCTTGCCGAGCCCAACTCGTTCAAGATTGTAGACGTTGCGAGGCTTACTCGACGCACCACACACAGCCGCTCAAATGAAATGTCGCATGAGCAAGCAGTGCGACGGACAGCCCATCGAGGGAAATCGTGAGGGGGATAGTTGATGAATCTCGAGTTGCATGTTCGGCTCAGAAGCTGATCGTATCCTCTTCGCGGGCTTTGGTCGATGATCAATGGATCCGGGGGCGGAAACGATGGCCCTGGAGCTGTGGAGGAGCGCGGCCTTGTCCGACACAAGGAGGTGGAGGGGTCGGCAGAGTCGAATCAACTATCGCGCCCGCCCTGCCTGCTGGCCCGAACTCGGGGCAGGTGAGCAAGCTCACTTTGTCTAGCAATGCTTTGCCTACTCTGGCACTGCACCACATAGAGGAAGCGGATTGTCATCGGCTTCGCATTGTCGAGGGACGTCGAGCGGGACACCACCATGAATATAAAATGAAGCCGCCTCGGGGACGGCAGGCGGTTCGGCGGTTCAGCATCGCGCTCAGGGGCACCCTCTCAATCTGACGGACAGGGGACCCTGTCCCTGGGCCAGGTGTGGCCGGGACAGACATGCAAGAAGCACATGCCATCTGTAGTGGAGCAGTAGCGTCCGTGTCCGTAATGCAATCTAAGAGAAAGTCTCCGTTTGAGGCCCTCAGCGGGCTCGAGCAACACAGTGGAGTGGGTGCCGGGCCACGCTGCCATACCTCTTGCAGGTTTAGTGGAGCCCTAATTGATTGCTTTGCGACGACGAGGCGCCCAACCCAAATTTTGTCTGATTTCCCAGAGTGCAGCCGCGAAAATGGAATGGGCTCGGGCGTCCGGTGCTTCAGGCCTTAAGCTAAGATTAGGATGGAGAGGAGTGTACCTCAGTGATTTCGGCACAGAATTGCTCCTGACGCGGGCGGCTTCTGGGTAGCAATGTAAGGTGCATGTCTGGCCGTCTGTCCCGTCTGTGTGGCCTGGAGGTCTGGCCGCGGTCGGCAGCACAGATACGACGATATTCAATAGCCAATACACTGGCCCCGGGTGGTAATTTCAGCGCAAGGGCAGAGGCTGGCCCCCAGGGCCCCTCTGTGCCAGTCCTGTCTGCCTGTCTGTGCTTCTGGCGATGTGTGTGGTGGGATCGTTCTGTGTGTAGCGCATCCTGTGATGGGCAGCCGGCCACTCGAAAGGGTGCGCTGGTTAGACGTGGGGTCTGATGAGGCGATCAGCCGTTGGCGAGATCGACAGAGGTAGACGAGATGCCATTCGGTGAGGCCTTGGAGCCCCGTGGTTCGAAGTGGCATGGCGCCTGGAGTCGTCCTGCAGCTAGCAACTGTTGCGTGTGGGAACTGTCACGGCGTGGGTGGTCGTCTGGGAACGGAATTGCAACACGAGGGCGCTTGAGGCTTCAGCGAGGCGTGCATACTGGGCAGCCAGCGGCGAGTTGTCGAAGCAGCAGGAGGAGGAATTCGATGGTGGACTTGGGTGCCGGCACTGGCCGACACAGTGTCAAAATGCCTGCACGGTGAATCCGTTTTCGCCAGCGTCCCGCGAGGAACCCTGTGCCAGGGTGGAGACCTTTGTGGTTTTTGTCTGGTGCCGGCAATCTTTTTTCTGCAGTCCCGTGTCCATTTCATATCGCGATCCTCGCTTTGGCTGTGTGTTGTTTTTCTCGTCGACCTGGGAGGCGTCTTGTAGTTCATCTCGTCAGAAAATCCAAAATGTCGGAAGGAATAGCGGCCAGATGACGTCGTTTCCGAACCTGACAGCATGACACGGCGTGGTGCATTATCATGTTCGTCCATATGGAGGCAAGCAGAGCGGTGCGGTGCGGTGCGTGCAAGGGACTCCTTTCCTCTGCACACACATGCCCAGAACAGAAGCTGTAGGCCCTGAGAATCATCTTCAGGCGTCACAATCGAACGAGCGAGCACACAGAGTGCGCGATGGTACCGGGTACTGGTGCTGCAGAAAGTTGAAATGAGGTATGGATGGACCCCTGCCTGGTGCACCTCGAAGCATCTCCCATCCCTGCCGTCGCCAATACTTCAGCTCAGGCACATGCTTCGCCGTACCGCACCGTACCGCACCGTATCGCCTCCCTTGTCTTCGTCCTCCTCCTCCTGAACTAGGTACTCCCGTAGACCCCACCATCACCACGGGGATGAGAGATTGTTGCTGTAGGTCAGCCAGCCGGACATGGTCCGTTTATAAACAATCTGTGGGTGATGCCGGATCTAGATGGCCAAGGGGGCCAGAGGACAGCTTGTGCGCCTGGGAGGGTTCAATTTATGGTGGCCGGGAGAAATTACACTTGATTGTTCCGTGGTACCGCGCAGAGCCAGAGGAACAGAATGTCTGCTGCAGTCAGAGAGGGGGTACGTACCTGGGTACGTTCCGCGACCTTGGCAGCCCGGCTCTCATGGCAACCGTCGCCCGCGTCTTGTCGACCGTTTTGCTGCCGCACACCCCCTGAGACCCCTGTGATTTCCAGGCGGCGCGCGCAGGGAAGGGGCCTTGTGGTCAATGCTCCCTCATCAGGGAAGAAAGATTCGTTGATTTTGGGTGACCCATGTTGACCCATGTCGACCCTGGCTGACCCATACAAAGAGCCCAGTCACCCTTTCCCTGACCTCCCTCCCAAGACCTCCCAAATCAAATAAAGTGCGACCCAGCCCGAGTTCCCATCCCTTCGCTCTCCTGATTCCGCAAACTTCCACTGTTGTCGTCCCGTCAACTGCCTCTCCGCCGTCTTGGAATCTCCATCAGCAACAAAGGGAATATCAATACCCTTAAGCTTAAGGCATCTTCAGTCAGGGACTCCCTGTATCTACATTCTCGCCTCACCCACTCCGTCTTCTTTTGTCTTCCACTTCTAGTTTTTGGTTTTTAGAGATACCCAGTTTCCTTCCCCAACACAAACCCCCAATCACAATGGCCGAGGAACAGAAGCCCGTCGCGGTCCCCGCCGAGGAGACTCCTGCGACCACCACCACCACTGAGACTGCTGCCGCTGCCACCGATGCCGCCGCACCCGTCGAGGCTGCCAAGGAGGAGACTGCCCCTGCTGGTATGCGACACACCCCCCTGCCCTCAACACAAAGCCAAACATCGACACAACTTGCTGACCATCCACCCACAGCCACCGAGGCAACAAAGGAGCCTGCCACCGAGACCCCTGCTGCTGAGGCCGATGCCACCGCTGCTGCACCAGCTGCTGAGGAGGCGAAGAAGGAGGCCGAGCCCGTCGAGGACGGACAACTCGAGCACAAGGGCAGCAACTTCCCCAAGTATGTAGCACCAGCGCCTCAAGACAAGACAGCTTGTTGGACCTGTTGCTAACCATGCGCCAGGAACTTCATCTACTCCAAGAAGTTCTTCTGGTTCGGCTCCGAGGCCGTTGACCCCAAGAAGGTGCCTGCGCTGCTGAAGGACCACCACCTTGCCGCATGGGCCAGCGAGACCGGAAAGGGTCTGCTGTTCTTCAACGAGAAGGGCCAGGACAAGGCCGCGCCCACCAGCGCCATCGCACTGGTGAGTTGACCATCCTACCCCATGTCCCACCTGTAGCCTGCTGACCTGTCATTAAGCACGATGCTGTCGAGCCCACCGCCGAGGGCCCCAACAAGTTCGTCTTGTCCTCCAAGGGACACAAGCACACCTTCAAGGCTGGCAGCGCCGCCGAGCGCGACAACTGGGTCAGCCAGATCAAGCTGAGGATCGCCGAGGCCAAGGAGCTCGCCCAGACCGTCACCGAGTCTGAGCAGTACAAGGCCACCCTCGCTTCTTTCTCCCCCGCCGTCAAGAAGGAGGAGAAGAAGGAGGAGAAGGCCGAGGACAAGAAGGCCGAGACCGAAGCCCCCAAGGCCGCTGAGGAGACTCCCGCTGCTGAGGGCGCCGCCGCCCCTGAGGCTGCCGCCGCCACCACTGAGGCCGCCGAGGGCGAGACCAAGGAGGAGGCCAAGGAGGAGGGCGCTGACACCAAGAAGGACGAGCGCAAGCGCTCTGCCAGCAGGAAGCGCGCCTCTATCTTCGGTGCTCTCCTTGGCGGTAACAAGAAGGGTGACTCTTCCGCTGCCAAGGACGTGAAGGCCGAGGACAAGAAGGAGGAGACTGTCGCTGAGGTCCCTGCTGACGCCGCCGCCACCGAGACCCCCGCTGCCGCCGCCACCGAGACCCCGGAGACTGCGACCGAGGCCACCAAGGAGCCTGAGACCGCCGCCGCCACCGAGACTGCCGCCGCCAGTGAGGAGTCCAAGGGCAAGGCCGCTGAGAAGCCCACGCCTACCAAGCGAACCAGGTATGTGGTGTATTAAAACTGCAACAATCGCTACACGGGTCGCATCACTAACATGTCTCCAGCCTCTTCGGTGGCCTGTCGTTCGGCAAGAAGAAGCCTGAGGAGGCTGCCCCTGCCACCCCGGCCAAGGACACTCCTCCCGTCTCCGAGGTAAATATGCTCTGCACGCTTCACTCATTGCCAGGTCATAGAAGCTGACATTCACGGCGAATAGGACGCCCCTGTCATCCCCAAGCCCGACACTGTCGAGCCCCTGAGCACCGAGGTTTCCAGCCCGGCTAACGTGCCCGCTGAGACCACTGAGGCTGCCCCTGCCGTTAACGGCGAGAAGAAGGACATCAAGACCGACAAGCGCAAGTCGTCTTTCCCCTTCGCCTTCGGCAAGAAGACCGAGTCCAACCCCACCGGCCCCGCCGCTGTTGAGGAGGGTGCCGCTTCTCCTGACGCCGAGAAGGCCAAGAGCCCCAACCCCTTCTCCAAGTTCCGCGCTACCATCAAGGTTAGTGAACAAGATGACAGATACCGCACTTAACACAAAAGAATCTGCTTGCTAACCCGGCAAACAGAACAAGGGCAAGGCTGCTGAGAAGCCCGCCGACAAGGCCGAGGACAAGCCCGCTGAGGGTGCCGCCGAGGAGGCTGCGAAGCCTTCCGAGGAGGTCAAGGCTGCTGAGGAGACCAAGCCCGAGACCGTCCCCGAGGAGACCAACGAGCCTGCCAAGGACGCCCCCGTCTCCAGCACTCCGGTCGTCACAGCTTCCGCCTAAAGAAAGCTGAAGAGTCATCTCAGCAGGCATGGGGCAATCACGACATCTTGCCCCATGCGAATCGACGAAACAACACTATAGAGCGAGGTCGATGACACGAAAGGCGTCGCATGAAGGGAGCATCACACCACTTATGATACCCACTCCCTGGGTGTATGGGATCGGATTTGCATTTCGAGATACCCAAACGAAATTCCCATTTGTCTCGGAGCAACTTATCGACTGGGGGGAGGCCGACTTTCCTTGTTTTGACTCCGTCCGCAATATCGAGTTCCCGCGTTCGCAACTCAATGTCTTTTGTTTTTGATACCCGAAGTATACCCAAAGACAGTCGTTTGGAAGGGGGGATGAAATGATGGAAGGAACCGGTGGATATAAACCAGAAAACCCGCACAAAAAAAGAGATGTCTGGAAAACAACAAAAGATGGGAAAGGTTTGGTTTCGAGATGTGTTGATTGATGGAACGGTGCATGCTTCTTCAGTCTCGCTCCCTTGCGTCGGGTCACGTAGGATCTTGATGCGCTGGGCGGCCTAGAGCATTCATTTCACTAATAGCTAATATAAACTCTCGTGTGTTGAACCTCGTCACCTGACATCTCCCTGATCTCTTACTGCTATAACAGATGTGAAGCCGTCCTGGCTACACCTAGATATGCTCTGCAATGTGCTCATGTGGTGGCTGCTCCCACCACACACAATCTGGTCTGCTTGGTCGTGCATTTAGCGATCGATCGTGCGTGGATCGTCATCGGTACCGGAGCTGGGTAGAGACCTCGGCCCCTGATCCTTGAGTGCAATGCACTGGGTCCCTTGGTCTTCCTGCCTCATCTACCTGACACGGAGTTTGGTAGGTAGTATTGATGCCTGAGCCAGCAGCGTCCCTTCACGGCTTGATGGGCAGATGGGCACGACTCAAGCAAGCTCCTGCTTCCTGACCGTTGCTTCACCGTCTGTTCGTCACCTTTTCCCTGTTCACGACCAAGAAAGCAAAAAGCTTGGACCGAGGCGGTCTAGGGCCAAACGGTAGGCCAGGAGAATTTGGCTGATTGGCATTGGGAGATTGGCGAGTCGTCTGATGTGCTGCTTTCTTCTCCCGCCTCGGTGTATCTAATCTACCTGGTTCGTGCCGACCGCGGTTGGTCTACGCAGACTAAACACTTGCCTTGCTTGAATGGAGTTGCGTGGGTGGGTTTTGGGACCTGGGAGGAGTGGGAGTCTCGGCCGCAGGCATCATCCTGACCTACCCCCGAGCCTTTTATCCTGCGTTGTGTAAGTCGACTCCCCTGACAGACCAAGAACCCCCCGCTAATAATCTGACAGAGTTTTGGGGCGCCCGTGGTACGACTTTCCCACCGAGGGGATCTCTACCACACAGGACGGAGCGCTCCTCTGCGTCTCATTTGCTGCCCTGGTTCCTCGATGACGTGCATGCACGCCTGTCGGCGCACGACTCGCCGCCGGCCGGGCCAGGGCTGGCGATGCCCCGTGTCAGTTCTGGGCTAGTCGAAAGAGCGGTGCCGGGTCTCGTCGGAGCGTGCCGTCGTCGTCTGGCTGGCTGTCCTGACGCCGGCTGGAGTGTATGCAGCCCACTGCACCGTGGCATGGGCACCGCAACGCAACGCACCTGGGCGGGTTGCAACTGTCAATTGACGGGCGGGCGGCCGGTCTGTTGGGTCTGTCGAGCTGCGGACAGCAGATGATCTGCGGCGGGTCGCCTCGCGGTCTGACGTGGTTGTATCGCCGTATACGAGTGCCAATCCGGCGCCCCGTTTACTCGGGCCCGAGGCGCTAGCCCGTCGCCTGGGGAGTATGGCTTTGTGTTTGCCTATCGGGCGGTCGTATGGGAAAAGGGGTTGCTCCCAGCTCGGTATGAGATCCAGTTGTGCTTCGACGTCTTATCTGAAGGCCGGACATGGCTGACGCCTTGCGTGCCGGGGACGAATTCGGATTGGTCAGGCAGGCAGGCAGGCACGAGAAACAACGTATGGCGCTGAGAATCTTGTTTGACCAAAATGCTGGACATGCACGTAGTATTCTAAGTGCCTTGCTCTGTCGTCGGACGCCTTCAACACGCCTGGACAGCGGTCTCCAGGACGACTTGCTGGGGCGAAATCCGTGGCTCATACCCGGCAATCGCCTGGCGAGTCCCTCCGGCATCAATAAAGAGGTATGCTGCTAGCTGGCGGACGACCGACGAGGACCTCCCTTCTCTGCCGAAAACGACGAGGCAGTGTCTAGAAGCACGAGGGCTTCCTGCATGCAAAGCTGTCGTGACACTCCTTCGCAGTTAACGCATGCTTTAAATCTCTGCAGTGGAAGATGCGAACTTTTTTTGCATCACTGTCGCGCCTTCTATCTCGGCCGCGCCTGCGCCTTGTCTCACCTGCCAAGGCATGCATTGTGATCAACATGCCTGGTACCAACTTCCGCGGTCGATTTGTGTAACTGTTTGGGCTGTAGCTAATGTTAGGGGATCTCAAAGGCATGTGATGCGTCTTACAGCTGGCACAGCAAGCATTGGTACTGCTTCGCCGTCTCGTTGGGTTATGATGCGAAATAGATGCAGTATCTCGAGGACGACTCGAGTGCCCTTCTGCACTGCGTCTTCTCATGAACGCGCTGCTGTCTTTAAGGCCAGACTCGGGTGCATCAATACAGAGGGCTTTTTCTTTCTTTTTTATAAAAAAAAAGACCGAAGAAAAAAAGAAACAAGGCTGAGCCGCATTAAGACGAGAACCTATTCCGAATACTGATACGACGTCATTTGATTCGATGCTGAAATCGGATGTTTTGATCATCAGGTTGGGTATAATCATATCAATCCATACTTCACGTAAGAAACGCTGTTGATTTTCTCCTTGACCCATTCCTCAAAAGATATTCATTGAATTCCTCCTGCGGTATGACGCGTAGGATATTTATGTAACCTCCTGTGGGATACTCTCCTGTGGAAACCCTCATATAGGACAGCCTCCTGTTAGATAACCTTCTGTGGGATAACCTTTAGCTGATAAACTCATCGTTTAGGGGACAGCGAGCGTTCTTCCCGATCTTCCAGCCACCGTTTTCAGAGCACACGTCCATCGGCCTGTTGACCCTCGACATCCGGCCGTCTTGTACTTGGTTGTGTCCTGAAGATCTATTTTCGGGGGCTTTTTTAGTATGTCCCTCAGGGCCTCTCCCATCTAGCGAGACACATAAACCTGTGTCTTAAATGGCTCAGGACCCTCAGCAGTTTCAACGTAAAATGCATTGCGGCCTTGCTGGCCGGGCGGGCAGCGAGGAGGTCTTGCACAACCAGGCCGTGGTCCTCGTAGTCGTTGATGTCGTTGGACTTCATCACTTTTAATATCTTTTGTCAGGTACGTATGATAGCTTCTGAGTAACATAAAGTACTGACTTGAATTTCTTGTGATATCACGGGTTCGGGGTTTGTGGAGAGCTGACTTTTGAATGAAAGGTGGCCCGAGAGCTGCTTGAAGTTGGCCCAGCGTATTTTGGCTCGGGTTGGTGGCAGGTCAGCAATTTTGGTAAGATTGAAGCCGATTTTGAGGGTCCATTTCAAACAATTCCAAAGAGTTCGGAATGGAATGCTTATGGGTAAGAGCTGAGAAAGAATGGTTGAGGAGAAGCTCGTCCACCATGAAGTGATTATTAAGAACCTCAATGGCAAGGGCCAACTACTTTGATTGTCATCTGAAGCCTTAGATCCAATCGATTCTCCACGACGACAGGAGGAGCGCAACACGAAAAACGCGGAACCAATAATTCTGGGCCTGTTGCGGGTTTTCATTACCGTCCGGGCTTTCAGTGTCCATCGTCTCGAGAAGAACCTTAGCAGTCGGACAACAACTGTGTGAAGAAACAATCTGAGGTAGACATCACAACATTTCCTCAATTCCCTATATCTTCTCCCAGAAATTAAGGGAAACACCTGAAGCAAGTCTCCCATGCTCGATGCGTGAACCCTTTCGACAGTTGACAGGAATGTATCATTGGGGGTAAGTCAAGCGGCCTAGATCTGGTCCACCCCCCCATATGGGCCACCCCTGCACACCAAATCCACCAAACAAAACCACTATTTATTCAACGAATTAAATAGTTAAATTTATACAGATTTAAATATATATATTATATTTACTTCCCTATATATAAATAATATTTCAAGAATTTTATATATATTATATATATTAAGATATATATAATTATTTATATATTGCTTTTTTTATATAAGTAAAGATTTCTCTAGTGTTTCTTAATATATAAACCTAATATTTTTAATATAGCTTTATAATATATATATGAACTTAAATTTTAAATCTTATTAATTTAAAAAATTTATTGAAATACTTATGAATTTTTAAATATTAAAATTAATATTTTAAAAATATTATTAAGAAATGCATATATAATATTAGTATTTCTTAATAGATTTTATTTTATAAAAAGTAGAAACATCTTTATAAATATAAATATTATAAATATAATGTATTTATTTTTATATAAAAGGAAAATTAAATTAAATTCTATATATATATTTCTTTTTATATATGTTTTCCTTTATAATATATAAAAGATTTAAGTTTTTTTTTAAGAAGAATTTCTCCACTTTTACTTTACTTTTCTAAATATTAAAATATAAAGCTTATTTAATTATATATAATTAAAATATAATTATTTTTATATTATTTAAAATATTTAAAAACTAAATTAATTTATATAAAATTAATAATAAAAGAATTAAAAGAATTATATATATAAATATAAATATTATATAATGTTAGAAAATTCTTTATAAATCTTAATATTTTAAAATTTTAAAGTTTAAATATTAATAATTCTTTAAATAATCCTTTTATAATTTTTAAAATATTATTATATTTAATTATTATATATTATAAATTTATATTTATATTTATATTAATTTTAAAAGCTTATATATTAAATAAATATATAAAATAATAAAAGTATATTTATTTAATTATATATAAAAGTATTATATAAATAATTTTTAAAATATTATTTATATATTACTATTCTTAGTTTCTATATATGTTTAAATCTGCATAAATTAAGCTATTTAACTCGTTAAGTTAGAAGGGGATATATAGTGTGCAGGGGTGGCCCATATGAGGGGGTGGACCAGATGTGGGCCGCTAGACTTAATGGCCTGCGGTAAGTTATATTCAAGTCCAGTTTGAAAAGTGTCCCTTCAGAAGACGGTACACACCTCCCGCCGTAGAAGGAGCTCGTGGCATGATTATCAGTATTTCACTGAATTTTGCTGTAGTACGATTGCGAAAACACACGAGTCTTGCCTCGCCAGACGGTCAGCCTACCAGCCCAGCTCACGTTTCATTGCCCATGATGAAAAGACTTTTATGGCTTATTAACAGCTAGTGAATCATTATACTAAAAGCCGGACATTCCCTTTCTCACCCACTGGAGCAGTGTTATGACCCGTGGCTGCCTCCTGTGGCCGTCCCTGTTCCTTCTCGTTCTGCTCTGCCTCTGCCTCTGCCTCTGCCTCTACCTCTTCCTCTCCCTCATCCTGATCCTCATCATGAACCATCGCACTCAGACCTTTTCCATATCTCCTATAGCCGGCTCGTGTTCTGAAGCTGATGACAAGCGTGCTGAGACAGTGAGCGAAAGTTGATCCTCAGACAATGAAGTAAAAAACTGGCCACACAAATTCTATACCAAGCTGCGTGTCTTTGGGGCTGCCCTTGGATGGATACGGTTTAGTTCCAGAAGAGTCTCCCTTTAATGCCCAAGAGTTTAAAATGACCTGTGAATAATGTTTCTCTTAATGTCTTAATATTAAGGATAAAATGCTTCACAAGAAATTTCACTAGCAAACGACATGGCAAATGGCATCAGGCTAGGATTATAATGAAAAGTATAATTAATAATCCCAACATTAAGTTAATTATAAGAAACTTTTAAGGTAAGTATGAAATTATTTTATTATATAAAAAGAATAAAAAGAATAAAAAGAATAAAAAGAATAAAAAGAATAAAAAGAATAAAAAGAATAAAAAGAATAAAAAGAATAAAAAGAATAAAAAGAATAAAAAGAATAAAAAGAATAAAAAGAATAAAAAAAAAAAAAAAAATAAAAAAAATAAAAAGAATAAAAAGAATAAAAAAAATAAAAAAAATAGCCTGTTCTTACTCCCAGATTTCTGAGGGTGGTCACCAGATTGAGCTGGTTGGGTGGTTAGCTCTTACTACATCTTGATTATTTGCTGATTTTAAGAACAGTATCCACTGAGCGGAGTGAGATGGGCTTGACTGATGAATCATTTCATGAATTTTGTCTATGATTAAGGCACACAACTCTATGAGGCTGTTATCCTAAAGGCAGAAGTTCAAGTATAAAGACCTCATCCCTGCTAACCTACCAACACAGGGCAGGCCTTAGATGATGGCGGAGTCCTAACTACCATCAGTGGCCTATCAACATGGTTTAGTCGTGTGAGTTTTTCAGTGTGTCTCAAGTCCGAACTTGCCATATTATACAAGCAGGTGTCAAATGATGTTATTTATCTTGACAACGTTTCCGAGGGGGGGGGGCTAGCTATCTTCAACCGCCCCACGACGTGGTCATGGTTATAGAGAGCCCTAGGTGGCAGATAAATTGAATTCACAAATGCTAGGAGGTGTGGTCTTGCTGAGCATGCTGCTTTGGCCAGCGAATTTAACATTCCACAAGCTTAGGATAACTAAGTGAGACTCTTTGAAAGTTGGTCATGGTTGAGTCAGGTGCATGCAGTCCTTGCAATTTTTTGAGACATGTACACCGTGTTCTATAGTGGTGTACTGCCTGGCAAGCCTTGGAACAGTAGTCTCCATTAGCAGCTGCAATAGTGGAATTAGTGCATTACATACCAACGCCAGTGCCAGCGCCAGATTAACAACATGTAAAGCATGCTCATTTAGATTTCACAAAGCAAATTAGTTTGTTTTACAGTACACAAAACCTAGGTCCAGCTGTCACCTGAGTGGGAACAGGACAGTTGGAGTTAATAAACCCTAGAGCTAACCTAGTTGCTTTATTCATCTTATTACAATGCTATAATAATTAAAACAGCTTTAATATTATATTGTATCTTAAGAAAAGTTCATTAAACTAGGACTTTCTCATTTTAAACAAAAGCAAAAGGCTGCACAGAAAAAAAACAATAAAGGATTTTAAAAGATTTTTTAAAAACAAAAAACCGCCTCAAAACCCCACGCGGGGCTCGAACCCGCAGCCTCCAGATGTACCTTTCTACTAATAGAAGTCTAGCGCGCTACCATTGCGCCAGTGGGGCTATTTCTCATCGTTATAATATCAAAATCATATTTCAAAGACGCTGATCTCTTTATAAAGTTTATAATTTCCTTTGGTAACTTTTAAGTTCCCACCTAGCTTTGTATTATTAAGGAGCTTAAGTTTAATTATTCATTATATTAATCATTTCTTTAATTAAATAAAGTAAAATAAAAAGATATATAAATATTAATATTTTTTATATTTTAAAAAACGTTATTAAAATAAATTATTATATATAATTTAAAAGATATCTTTTAATATTATTATAAATAATAATTAAATTAAATAAACTTTAAGGTAAATAAATATAAATAATAGCTTAAGGAAGCTTAATTTTTAAAAAGTTAATAAAATTATTTTCTCCCCCTTTTAATTTATATTAAGGAAAGCATTTTATAAGGATAAAAACTCTTTTATATTTATATATAATAATATTCTTATGTAATTTTAATAATTAATATTATGCAGCTATTAAAAAGATTAAAAAAGAGGTGAAATTAATTATAAATTTAATTATAAGTATAAAAAGATAAATAAATATATTATATATTATAGTAATGGCGGAATTCTCTTTATATATAGCATCTCTAACCTATAAACTCATTTTCAACATTTAATTTATCAATTTTATACTTTTTAAGCAGACCATTGTTTGAGATATTATGACTACATCTCCTTATGGAGCACACAAATGGCGTGCTTTCCACACCCTCTCATCACAGGTGGATACAATAGAGCTTATTGTAACGGTACGGCGCTTATATGCTGCTGGGTATATTTCCAAGGTGTTGGAAATTACTAGTCTTTTGGCAGAGCAGTTTATAATGCCAGCAGTTAATAGATTCATCTCACTTATTCTTCTACTAGCTCAAAAGAACAATTACCCTTAAAAACCTAACAATCAATAGCGGTCTATATGCAGTGCAGGGCAGAGAGCAAGTCACCACCTGTTAATTATGGCACAGGTAATGGAGAGCTCTGCCTATAATACAAGCTCACCTGTGCTCCAGTGACTCCATGACAGCACTCAAACAAGCCATTTGTCCTCCATATGATTGTCCTACATGTGATTGTCCCACAGCTAGTCATCCCATAGCTAATTATCCCACTGCTGGTTATCCCAATATGGGTATCCCACGGTTGATTATCCCACAGTTGATTATCCCATGGTTGATTATCCCATGGTTGATTATCCCATGGTTGATTATCCTATAGTTAGTTATCTTATGGTTAATTATTCCGTAGTTGATTATCCTATAGTTAGTTAGCTTATGGTTAATTTTTCCGTAGTTGATTATCCTACGGTTTATTATCCCACGGCTGATTGCATTGGTACCCCACGACGAGCAGGCCTTTCGGTCATCAGTCTCGTTGTAGTGACAAAAAGCTCGACGTTTCAGTACATCAAGTGAGTACATCAAGTGACCTTTAGTCGCTCGTTTCGCCGCACTTTGCCAACAAGTTTTTAGTGCGTGTCTTTGTGCTCGATTCAGTCAATATCTCCTCGTCGGTACCAACGACTGCTTCGCCGAGCCCATCCACGTTCCTTGATCCGAGGGCGGAGAAACCTCCCGGGTACTGGCATTCCTTGATGGACTACCGTGCCTTTAGTGAGTGGTCTACTAAGTCCCACTGTTGACGTGACCAACGTCTTGAGATCTGAACCTTCAGAGTGTGCCCTGAAGCGTGTCCGTAAAGTACCGGGTGCTGTTCTCGCCACGTGGTATTCCTTGACATCGGCAATGGTCCTGCTATGACACCTTGGGTAGCCCGTAACTCATGGCACACAACCAGTGGGAAGATTCCACAGGACGAAGACCGTCGCCTACGGTCTTGCCATCCTCCTCGGCAGACACTGGGAAACATGCGTTGGCGACCACTCAAAATTCAACCTCACCTTGTAGCGTGAAGTACGGCGTCGTGGCCAAACGGAAGAAGCCACAGCTGTAGCACTGAACCTCAATAGTGGCATAGGAATGCAGTTACATACACTGTATTTCTTTTCCCGCATTCTACGGCATTCATTTCCAAGACCGGATATGAGCCGCACGAGAAAGGTTGGCTCCATGGATGTCATATTACTGCAAATATTGATGTGTCCGCTGTCATGTCAGTTTTTGTTCTACCCCTCCAATGGTTTGTTTCTGTTAGCGTTCTCAGAACCTCCTGAAGCGTCTTCCTTTCGACTTGACGCTCGCACGCAGACACATGAGAAGCCCGGAGAAAGTGCATATAATAAGAGTGATGCCTTGACAACAAACTATATTAAGGCTAGACATACTCAAGGTATCAGGCTTGACACAAAGATCTGGCTGGCAAATATGCCGTTCTCCTTTAACCAACACTGGGGGTGACACCGAATTGAATGGGCTCACGGACAGCAAGGATCGAGAGCTGTGACGCCTCCTGCAGACTGCGTACTGAGCAATTCAGGTGCTGAAGCTTCAATTAGAAGGATCAGGGGGTTCATAGGTCATGTGTTAATACGCTACTCGGGTTTAAAGACACAAACGGCTAATGAAACAGAGCCATTTGCCCAGTACTACGGCCAAACACGGCGTGACTCCATTCGATACAGTACCACTGCCCCGCGTAGTGCCGCTCTCACTGCATGCTTACTAGGAGTCTAGGACATAACGTCGGACTTGACGGAGAACACGACGGGCGTTGCCCTGTATGGCCACACTCTTTTATCATCTTCTTCGGAGTTAGGCCCTGATAGAGAACAGCACCCGCGTTGCCTTGTATAACCACTTTCTTCGTTATTGTCTTCTTCGGAGTTAAGCCCTGATGGCGGTCAAATTCCGGATGAGACTCTCGCCGGCACCACATATATGTACGCCCCCAGACTACAACACTTCTCAACGCGGAGCGCTCACGGTTTAGACTATCCACACAACATTCGTCCCATTTCATCATAACACTCACGTCAGCACACATCGCATATTGGCCCTGCACCCCGGTGGCTCTCAATACAAAATCCCGGCTAAAGTCAGCATCATGGCCACGTCAGTCCTACCGCTGGCCCCATCCGCAAAGAGCCCCTTGGCTCGCTACCGCTTGCTGTCACCTACGGCTTCAGTCCGCGTGAGCCCCCTGTGCCTTGGGGGCGCGAACTTTGGGGATGCCTGGGCACACTACGGTAAGTTCCAATCTCAACTCTTGATGGGGAATGCATATTCTTACATGCCACAGTGGGCGCCTGCGACCAGAAGACAACGGAGGGCATCCTGGACTTTTTCTATGAGCAGGGCGGCAACTTCATCGACACGTCTGGCAACTACCAGGCCGAGGAGTCGGAGAAGCGGATCGGCGAGTGGATGAAGAAGCGAGGGGTGCGTGACCAGATGGTAATCGCCACGAAGTACACGACCAACTTCCACGCTGGCTGCGGTGACAAGGAGATCATTGTCAACTTCAACGGCAACGGCTCCAAGAGCCTGCACACCTCGGTCGAGGCCAGCCTCAAGAAGCTGCAGACCGACTACATCGACCTGCTGTACGTGCACTGGTGGGACTTCTCCGCCTCCATCCCAGAGCTAATGCAGTCGCTCAACCACCTTGTCGCCGCCCGCAAGGTCCTGTACCTCGGCATCTCGGATACTCCCGCCTGGGTTGTTGCAAAGGCTAACGAGTACGCTCGCTGCAACGGCCTGCGCCAATTCTGTGTATACCAAGGCGAGTGGTCCGCGGCCGCCCGCGACTTCGAGCGTGAGATCATCCCCATGTGTCGCGCCGAAGGCATGAGTCTGGCGCCGTGGGGCTCCTTGGGCAGCGGAATGTTCAAGACGGAGGAGCAGCGGCAGAAGACACAGAATGAGGGCCGCTCGCGGGTGAAGGAGCCGAGTGAGGCTCAGATCAAGGTCAGCACGGCGCTGGAGGCTGTCGCGAAGCGCAAGGGCTGCATCATCACGAGCATCGCCCAGGCCTATGTCAGAGCCAAGGCGCCCTACGTCTTCCCCATCGTGGGCGGCCGCAACGTCGAGCATCTCAAGGGGAACATCGAGGCGCTGAATGTCAAGCTGTCGGATGATGATATCAAGGAGATCGAGGACGCAGTTCCGTTTGATATTGGCTTCCCCAACAGTTTCCTATATGGCTCGAAGCTCCCCGACAACCCAGGCGCCGTGTGGCTTCTTTCCGTGGGTGGCACTCTCGATCATGTTCCTGAGCCTAAGCCTTTGTCCAAAGAGTAGCCTTAGACATCAGCCGTGCCAACTTGTCATATATGGTGTAACTGAGTTTTCACCAGGCACGAGCTTTGATGATGACTGCCTTTGGTCTACACAGGTTGAGATTTCCCTTGAGGTAGATGTGACTTGGTCCCTGAGTACGTAGTGGCAATTACCTGGGGATACTCTGTGGTATCAACAATATTTCATATTCAATGAACGACTGGAAAAGAAGATGTACCTTTCCATTTCTGTAAGCTTCGCGTGCAGACTAAATGTACAGTGGAAATTTCAACTCGCCGTTGACCAGTCTTTGGAACACCAAGTTCAGGTCATATTTCCTGACAATCTCGTAGAGTCTATCTACATTCCCTCCCCTCAGAAGCAATCGCTTGTTGATACCAATCCGAATATGCCAACGTTCTGATGCGGTCGAGTCAGTGGCAGAGTCCTGGAGGGGTGATGAATTTTTGACTTCCATGTTAGGGAATACGAGAGCGGCCAGGACGTCTACACCGTCTCCGAAAACCTGCCGCGCACCCTGCGCAATCCTAAAACGGACTCCTCGTATGCTGTTGAAGTGAGACACTTCCAGGATGCCGTGGGCACGAAGGCGCCCCGCTGGACCTGGCTCGCGGAGGCACCCGCCGCACGGGACCTGCTGGCTGGGCGAAATGGCCCCGACGGAAAGGGGAGAGGGGAGTGCACACTCCGGAAACTACGGCAATGAGGTGCAGGGCATCACCGAGAAGGTTAACTCGGGTGAGATCAGTGACAACACCAAGGTCCCCAGGCCCGAGAAGTAAGCACCATCCCTGTCCTTTCACGGCTCCCCAGCTGTCATGTTTTGAATGATCCAAGATGTATCAACTCGGGATCCGTAGCAGGTGATTCAGAGGTGACAGTGGTCTCTTTGGACTGGCTATGGTTGGTGGCGAGAGAGTCTTTGGTACCTGAACGTGAAGCTGTTGTCGGCGCCTTTGACGATGCCGATCAGGACCCTGCTGCCAGCCTCGCGACGACCGCTCGTCTCCTGGTTTTCTGGGGTTCTCTTGGTGACTTTCGTTGTCTCCCCACGATTGATCACCCGATGAGTGATCTCTTTCCGGGCGGGCATGTTGTTGGCCCTCAGGCCGCCCTCTCGCGGGACACGGCGCCCATGTCGTTCCCGAGGGTGCCGGTGACGGCGCACACGTTGTCGACCCCAGCGTCGAGGTCCTTCGGGGAGGGGAGGCTGTGGTACCGGCCAGTCTTGCACTGACCGTCCTCGAAGCACGCCTCGACCAACTGCAGGGCGTGCCGCGGCGCCGAGTTGCTGGCGAGGCTTTCCACAGGAAGCCCCTGGGGCATGGGGACATTGTCCTCGTAGTCGTCAATGTCGTCGTCAAAGGCCATTCTGTTCTTCGTCAGACCTGGACTCTGATGGGGTAATGTAAGCTACTTACTTGTCTGTTTTCTGGGGGTGCGTTTGTAAATGTGTTGGGCCTGTGATGTGTGGGCGACGATGTTGTCATGAGGTTGACGGCAGAGTTGGTCCCCTGGAAAAAGAAGAAAGTTTGGGGAGTTTGCAAGTTTTGCAAGAAGCGCGGAGGTCAGGAGGCAAAGGCAATGGAAGGTCAGTTGAAGATCTGCCTACGTGTAGTCTTCAAAGATAATAATAGAAGAATCACACCGGTGCAATCTTCATCTGAATCGAATCAAGTCATCCGATGTCTTCTCATCAATCAGAGAAGGAACTACACGACGACTTTGGAACAAACCAACACATTTTGCAGCAGGATGCTTGGCTGCGCATCATGGACATTGGTGTACCTGCCGTGGTGGCGGACCGCGGTGCGAGTGAAGAAGTGCTCTGCTCATGCGCTTCGCCAGAGACAGACTGAGATAGCTCTGCTTCAATTCTCGAGTCCAGACGTTCTTGATCTGGTCGCGTAACTGGCAGACCTCATCCATCGCGGGCTCGGAGATAAAGTGATCGAAGCACCATCTCTCGAGGTCAATTGCTTCCTCTGCCTTGGTCCGCATGAACGCGTGCAGCGCGTTCAGCTGCGTGATACGGTCGGATAGCGGGTGGGCGAGATGGGACCACGCGATGTCCGAAGCCATGCCTGCCAGCCTTGATCTGGGCCGAACACGGATTTCGCCCTGGATGCTGGAGATGGGTCGCGAGTGACGCTTCGCTGTGATTACTCGCTGCGCTTGCTTAAAGAATGGCTGTGGGTGGTGACGCTCCGCTTCGCTTCGCTATGGTTGATCGCGCTCCGCGCTCAGAGATTGGTGGGTGACCCGGCATGAAGAATGTTGTCGCGGTAAGTTATAAGTTAGAGTCGACGACATATTTTATGCCGGGGATCGTCAGACTCGTCTCCGCGATGTTGGTGGCGACGACGCACTTCCGAGACGTGCTGGGCTCGAGGGTCCTTCTCTGTTGGGCGGCGGAAAGCCCAGAGTACAAAGGAAAGACGTCCATGTAGGGACAGTCTTGAGCCAGGACACTGCAAACTGTGCGGATATCCTCTTCGCCGGGGAGGAAGATGAGGATCCCTCCTTTCTGGGCGGTATCCTTGTCCTCATTCTGATGGATGTTTATGGCCACCATGAGGCAGGAGGAAAGAAAATCTGGAGTTGCCTCCTTGATGTAAGAAAGAGAAACGGGGAAAACTCGTCCCGCCAAAGAAAGAACACCTGCGCCTTGGAAATGGGCAGCGAACTTCGCCACCGTCAAGGTTGCGGGCTTGATGATCACCTTGAAGTCCTTGCGTGACTTCAGGGTCATCTTAAGGATGCCCATGAGAAGGTCGGTGTTGATACCCCTCTCATGGACCTCGTCGACGATGACACATGAATATTTTGACAGGTACCTGTCCTTCTCGGCCTCTTTGAGGTGTTGCTGGTGACCATGAGGACGTCGTGTTTGTCGACAGCCTCCGAGAAAGCGGCCCGCTGGTTGTAGACGGGCAGTTGGCGGCAGCCCTCCAACATTTTGCTGCGATAATCGTCGGAGAACGACCGAGGCTCGACCGGCAGCCAGTTGGTGTTGGCGTTCTCCAGCACCGTCGTCCTCTCAGTCATCCTGTTGTAAACTCCGACATGATGAGTTTGCCTCGAGTGACAACCTTTCGGAGTCCGTCGTTCGGGAACCTGTCTGTGGAGGTATCGATGGGCGCAGAGAGTGCTGCTTTGCGTTGGAAGAGAGAGGGGAGAAACAGATTCGATACGGTACCTAATGCCAATTTTCTCGTTAGTGGTGTGGGGGACGATAGGCGTGGGTGCGATTGACCAACTCTGCAGAAAGTCCTTGCTTCTTTCTCTGGGTATCGCAGTCTCTGCAGGCTGGCCATTTATGGGATGCCTGCTGCCCCCTGTGGGATAACCTCCTGTGGGATAACCTCCTGTGGGATAACCTCCGTATGACACCCTTGTGTTGAATGATCTCCGTTGTGACCTCCCACGTCGTGATGCCTCACCGATGCGATCGACCTCATTCCTCCGTCCAAGGTGTGGATCAGCTTGTAGGGGATAAAGTACTTCTTCAAATCGTCCCCGCTTCCAGGTACCGTGTCTTGCTGTCCGCCGTTGACGTAGAAGGTAAGTCAGTTGCGAGCGATGTACCTCGGGGTTTGAACACTGTAATAATAAAGCAAAGAAAGTTGAAAAGGATGAGAGACCAGATTGTCTTCAGTTCAAGATAGGTGCTGAGGTAATTCCGTACCGTTTCTGGCATAGATGCACACATGTGTTTCATGACATTCCGCCTCTTGGTCTTGCCGTTTGTCAGCATGTGTGAAACCTTCATCTTTAATGTTATAGAAAAATCATCCAGCCAGCCAGCCAGCCAGCCCAGCGGAGAACCAGCCTTGCGACGGCGGTCCTCACGGTTGTTGTTTCCGTCTGACATAGCTTTGCCGTTATCAGACCCTCAGAGAACTTGGTTGATCTGTGAATATGTATCCAACCAAAGCGCTTCTCTATGCGATCAAAGCCCATTAGTTTCTCATGGTTCTTTGACGGCACGCAATGCTGGTGTCTAGTAAGGGCATGTGACGAGGAACGAGATTTTGGGGAGAAGGTCTCATCGAGTACTATATGCAGGGAGTCCGCAAAGACTAGTTGATTGTCAGGAAGTGGTAATAAAGGTGAATACCACTGGTTTCGGTTTGTAAAGTTCGGTTTTACGGATTGGAATGCTGGAGGGATAAGGCGGAAGCAAGAAACGAGGGAAGAACAGAGGAAGAGAACCTGTCGCCTTTATAGACATAGGTGATGATTTTTTGGCTTTAATGTTATAAAAGGTCGCATAGTAAATGAACCAGAAACCCTTCCGCCAGGCTCAACGACGGATCTTGAAAAGTCTTTCAGCATGCTATTCTGTGCATTGATGGTGTCATGGAACCGCGCGATCAGAGGACTCAGTATCACGACGAACTGCACAATATCTTTGCGTTGGCTGCTGTTTCCCAAAAACATTCATTAAAACTCTGTAGAAGACTAGAAACGTCAAAACAAAGCCATAAGCCCACGTCTGAGCCCCAGCTAGTTGAGTCGTGCTCAATAGAGCATGGTAAGCCTAAGCCTAACGAATGAAGATAACCATTTTTCCCGACTGTAAACTTCTTTGGACTTCCAGGCTTGCCATCAGAAACCCAACAGTCCCGTTAATACTTTTTGCAGCTCACCGACCCTTTCGAACTGAGCGAGCTAAAGTTGCATAGTCCAACAGAAATATGGGTTTCGACAATCAAAGGGGCGAGCAAGCAAAGGCAGACTTAGAAGCTCAGCGATAAGTTTCCTGGGAGATGAAGTGGTGAAAGGCTCTCCTCGGAATCTGTCCTTAAGGCCAATTCGGCATGATTGTTGGGCGTGCAAAATCCAAAATCAGCACCCATTTTCTACGTATGCGAGTGTTGCTCAGGCGGGAATGGTTACTAAGCTATCGACGCAAGCCTCCAAAAGGCCATCCAGGCAGAATGTGGTGACGCTACACAGAAATCGCACATTTGCCAGACTCAGTGATCGATTTCACACCTTGGTTCAGTATAAATTGGCCATTGTGTGAAAGATAGGTCAACCAAGCATGTTCCTACCGTCCCAATTATATTTGACGCAAGAGCCTTCTGAATGTGGTCCAGTTTCGTTGATAGCTGAAACGTGTATTTGGACATAGTAATTCCGATATGACATATACTCACTGAGTTTACCGGTGAACTACTTGTATTTGATGAACAAGGTCTCTTGGAAACAGAGGGCTCATCACGGACTCGGAAATCACATTCTAGTCGTAGATCTCAGCAGTATTCATAGCCATGTAGTTTACAGTCAGGTCTGTAGATCCTTTAGATACATACCAGTTATATACCGGAGTCTTATGTTCCTGGTAAAACAAATGAGCCTTACTAGGATCCCGGAAAAATTAGCAACTTTTTAGTTACGAGATTCTGCATTCCGCTGGGCGATTGGATTCAGTCTCCTGGCCCAAAGTCAAAGCTCCAACATCCAACGCGATTCCGGCTTGGATATCATTCTAAGTGAACTGAAGTCTAATCTCTAGGGCCTACATGACTCCAGTGTGGTTGATTTCTGAATAATCTAGGAGTAAAGCATGCAGACCACAGCAGATTTTAAGCTTCACTCAAGGCCTTGACCATCTTGGCAAGCCATGTCTCTCCAGTCAGCGCCGCTCGCTATCGAGCTCGTGAAACTTGGAAGACGCATCCTTGACGACGGTCTTCCTACTGGTTGGAAATCCAGGGAATTGCTATAATTGACGAAGTATATGCGCACAAATATGCAGGCTCCGTAGCTAGTGCTTACCGTTGTGGTGCCTGCTTGCATCTCATTCGCGCGCTGTCCGCTGAGCCTCCTTCCCCCCAACGAAGGACAGGTTTGCACAACAATACAGCTAGAGCAGGGCTCCACTTGAGTAAGCTGCGAGGAATGACCGAAACCCTGTGGCCATCGCAAGATCTTCCAGATGCTTCACACTCCCTCTTCTCTTAACTTCCCTCTGGCTTTTGTGTCTTACACAACGAAACACTCACTATCAGCCTTCCGAATCTAACCAAAGACCTTGGTCCTGGGCTGCGTGAGTGCCTATCGATCATGGAGCCGAGCCAAGTTTACCAATGAGTTACCTGCCAGCCCTCGGCCCGAATCTCTGCTCCAGCGCCATCCTCCGGCCGGGGTCTCAACGGGACCCCCAGAGGCGGAGGATGTCACCCATCATTCAGGGCAGAGCTCTTTCTCCAAGATGAGGACTTTCATCAGCAAGATGACGAAACGTCTGAGCTCATGACGTCGCAACCTCAAGTGCCTACACAACAAGTACTGATCGATGAGAAGCGAAGACCAATTCCAGCAGAAAAGACCGCTTCATGGTATATTACCGGCTGGAGCATTGAGATTGCATCATCATTCTAAGCGCGGCGGTGCTCGTCGGCATTGCCATCTTCCTGCTGGAGATACACGGATGGCTTCTTACTTCCTGGAAAATCATAGTAAAGCCCAATACTGTCCTCTCGATCCTGTCGACTGCATTCAAGGCCACCGTTCTGGTCTCAGTTTCTTCAAGTATCGGTCAGTTGAAATGGATATATCTCAGAAAAAAGTCATTCGGGCTTGAACAACTACAGATCTTTGACGACGCCACTCGGGGCCCGTGGGGCGCTCTTGTCTTCTTCTGGGAGGCCAGGAGATATGGCACAATGATTGCATATGTTGGATGTATCATCACCATCGCAGCTATCGCATTGGATCCATTCTCGCAAGAATTGTTGTCGTTTGATCCGGCGCTGACACGCGTGGATGGAGTCTCATCTTCGGTACCCAGAAGTCAGATGTATGACATTTTCCAGGAGCGCGATCCTGATCTTGGAGCTTCTGGTAAGTGCGATTCGCTTTGCTTGGTCTGGTACTGCCCTTCAGGCTGGACCGGCCAATAGGCATGACACATATGGTTCTTCAAACAGAGATCTGAGTCGAGCCAGATACTTTACAACTACGAGACCCCTTGCTACAACAAGCAGCTACGAACGGTTTATACAATTCGACAATCTCTACGGCGCCGTTCACCTGCCCTGGTTCAAACTGCACATATCCCTCTTTCACATCTCTTGGTATCCTTGGAACATGTGCGAACGTGACAGCTCAGACCACCCATCGATGCGTTGATACTTTCGGCTTCCAATCATGCAACTACACACTTCCGAACGGTTTGCATGTCATTGCAGAATATTCGAAAGGGAGCGCGGGAGGAGATACCCATACTCTGATCAACGCCTCCATAACTGACACCTTCAGTGTTGATAATGGTATGGGCGACATGCCATTGCTTGGCGTAGGTATTGGAGGTATGCGGTCAAGTGACCTTAATCCCTGTACCTCACTTGACATCTAGATATTATATTTAAATATAACGTGCTATTTAGTCAAGTAACCTTAAATTATATTTAAATATATCCCAAATAAACCCTACCCCTAGCCATTAACCCTAACCCTAACCATTAACCCTAACACTAATTACTAACCCTAACTAACCCTAATTAATTCTAGCCAATTAAATATAGAAGCGAAACCGAGCTCAGTTGACATCTAAATATGATTTAAGGTTACTTGACATCCAGATATTATATTTAAATATAATATCTGGATGTCAAGTGAGGTACAGGGATTAAGGTCACTTGACCACGTCCCTCTAGGTATTGTCACTTTCGCCTCGACGAATTACGGAGGCAATCCAACCTCCTGGAACAATACAATGAAAGTTTTTCAGTGCGACTTCGATCTGGTAGCCTACGCATATTCAAATTGGACTTTTATCAACGGCACAATCAACGCAGAGGCTTTGGCATGGTCACCCCTGAATTTTACTACAACCGAGGCACTTCCGCTTGTAGTCTTCAACGCAACCAGTCATGAGTTCCCAGAGAGCGAGAACAGGACCTTTTCAGTGAGCATCTACGATCTCAAAAGTATGTATAGCGTGCTCGCAAGCATCTTCCAGCGCCGAAGCGACAACCAGGTGTTCTCGCAGTCCATGTACCAGAACGCGCTCTACAACAGTGCAAACCTCACCGAGACAGCGGAGAATATCGCCATGGCAATGTCGTTTCGCATGTTACAGGGGCCAAACGCAACGCTTGTGCATGGTAGCGTTTACGAAATGCAGACATATATCCACGTCCACTGGTGGTGGTTGGCTCTGAATGTCGCTCTGCTGCTTCTTGCCTCTGCACTCCTTGGGACTACGATCGCCTTGTCTCGCGAGGCAAATCTGGGGGCGTGGAAGTCGTCGCTGGATCCGCTACTGTATGGCGTTGATTTAGTCGGCAGTGTTCCACTGTCTGCGGAGAATCCAGGTGTCAGCTTGGATGAAGACTCGCAAAGTCCGAAGAAGAAGACGATCATCCAGCAGTCCAGTCAGGCTTGACTTCTATAACTAGAACACGATTAGTATCACTTGAGCACCATCCGCCAGCAAATATTCACACTGAGGCAGACGATTCATTCAATGTTCAGGCTAGTGTTCCATATTACAACCTCAAAGTCCAGGGTGGTCTGACTCCGCGAAGCTTGCGTTGATTATCGAGATTCTGGAAAATCTGCATATTTTCCAAGTCGCCCGAAGCAGCAGCTTTCAGAGATTCCACCTGCCCTACGCCGCAGCATCACTAGCTGCCCGTGAAAATTTGAGCGAGTCAGCGTCCGAACTCACGATCCGTTTAAATGGTTCGGTCGTCTCCCAATCAAATAATTCAAAAAGAAATCTTCTCCCGAAATTCCAGCCCGCCTTGTGCAACAGCGGCGATGGAGCTATCGGCACATACTGGCAAACGGCGCCGTCGACTGCCCCTTTTGGGACAGCTGAGTACTATGGGAATCTCAACATTCTCGTGCACAAGGCGATATGCAGCGCACAGCTGTTCTACCCATCGGAGAGTGGAAGCCAGCTACCACTTGGGCGGGAGGGCAACAGCCAGCCTAGAATGGATAAGAGGATATATGACACAAAGAAGATGAGGCGGCCGCGGCCAAGAGTGATTGGGATAGGGAAGCGCCGTCTACCTTCCACGGCCTCATTCCCCGGTACCAGCGACTTGATGGCAACGGACTCGGACATCAAAGTACGACGAAGTCCAGATCCAGCAGCGTGACGGGATACCTTTTAACAGAGTGGATGTGCCCTCTGAGCGGGAGGTTAGCGACAGAAATGCCCCCAATGGTGTTCACTTCAGAAGACGGGGAAGTTATTTATACCGTTCCACCTCTCTTAGCTAACAATCTGCCTTCGCCAGGGAGCCTGTCGATGACAGCCTGTGCCTCCACAGAATCATGAAGAAGCGCGAGGCCGAACGCAAGGCGCGGGCCGACGAGGAAGGAGCAGCTGCCGGCGTGGGCATTGACAAAGCTACACCCGGTTCCCCTGACGCACTCGCCGAGGGATAGGGACGCCTGCTCGAAGAGCCTCATTGGTGATAGCCTCGAGTGTGATTGCCAGGCAAGTAATAGATCCGGTGATGGTCCGTGGGCAGGAGCAGTGAGAGAGGGAGAGATGCCAAAGGACGAGAATTTTGGGAGAAAGGGGATGCCAGTCTGAGCGCCAGGGTGGTTAGAAGGAGAGGAAGGTCCGTGGGCTAGATTGGTGAAAGGGAGAAGGTGTATGGCCGCAGAGCTGAGAGACATTACTACAAAGTCTGAGCTCCGAGGTATTCTAGAGAATTGTCAGACCAACATCGTTTTCTCTGGGGCTCTTTGTGTTGAAAGAGTCTCACATGGAATAGAGGCACTCCTAGATTGCAAGAAGTGCTTGAATGTGTACGTCAGAGCGTCTTTAGAAGCCATTGCTGGGACGAGCCTGTGTTTTTCTCTAGAGCATAAGTGCCCAGCAGATCTTTTTGACCTACTAGTACTAGGTACCGTCTGCCTGATATATTATAGCGATGTTGAGTAGCTAAAACAGAAAGTAGCCCAGAGCTGATCCTCTGTGGAAACCGACTTCGCACACACCGCGAGATAGGAGTTCTCTTGCAAGGTGACACATATATATAGGTGCAAACTTTCAAAGAGCAGCCACATATCATGCATGGTCACTGTCTTCGCGTTCTGGATTTTGTAAGTGTTTCCAGTGAGTGCCAGATGACGAAAAGAGCTTACTAGTTATGCTGAAGGGGTTCGATGTCTTTATGCCCTTCTGTCACCTGGGGACTGTGATACTCTACAATCTGCCCGTGGGACCACCGGGTCTCTCACTAAGGTGATACAAGGAGACATAGTGAGTGTAGATTGCCTGACGAAGCTGGTCAGGGAGGTAGGTCAAGCTAATTGTGATACATATGCGGCGATGACTTCCATTCGAGTTCAACGTCTTCGAGCTCTCTGTCCTGGCCGGTCGATGGTTAATCACATTTCATGCAATGACCACAGTCAACAGCCAGTCACATACAGATGACTGGCACCCTGCGTGAGTTGCGAAAACATGAACATTCACTGCCGACCAGACAGAGTATAAAAGCCTTCGTTTCGACAAGGCTGTAGAGAAATTAGACTCCCAAGACCAACACACCGTTCGGAAAAGAACGATTTCGCAGAAACACTTACAGAAACATACCACACCACCCGCAACAATTCATCTCATCGACAGCCATCATGTCAGACTTTCCAGCAGGCACAGGGGTCACTGCGCGTAAGGAGGGTATGATTATACGACACTCAGGCAGTTTGGGTCTGGTTCTAAACCGCTGCTAACCAAAGGTTAGGAACCGAATACGCCGGTACCACTGTCGGGGATGTGATCAATTACGGTGGTCGATCGTACTACATCGTGAAAGTCAACCACCAGAAAGTGCTTAACTCTGATGTTCGTTCAAGACAGACAGACGTGCTTTCGAGGTCGAAACTGACAGCTATCATGCAGGGTTACCATGTCTGGCAAGCCATACCGGCCAGAGAGGAGAACTTTCATGCAGGGGATGTAGAGCAGACTCAGCAAGGCCGACGCGCTAAATGGGCCGTCTAGCAGCATTAGAAATCTCCTCTCCTGAATCTATGTTGGCGTACTTGGCGATAGAGAGGGTGCAGCGATCACAATGCTGAGTGAGGAGAGGCAGGAAAGATTTTGGATCGGAGGACATTAGAAGCGCACTACCTAGGTAGATCACAAATCTAATTGGCTTTTCCGGTGACTGATGTTCTGGATACTTGGGAGCAGCGTGAAAAAGTTTTGTAATGCGTTGTGCCCTTAAACAGCTTGATGATATTTGTCCCATGTCTCGAGAGTTGACAGATTGCGTCTATTCTTCATGGCGTAAAGATTTAGCTAGCCCAGCATGCACTATAGACTTGTAAAATTCAGGCGGAGCTACCTTTGAAAAGGTCATACTGCCAGTATATCGCAGCAACAAAGCAGCGGCAATAATTGATAGTAGGAAGTAGCGCCGTACGCCGCTGCGCTAGAATGTAGAAGTACTAAAAGTTCAGAATTCTCTAAAACCTTCTCGGGATCAGTGCAGTCTGAAATAGCTATGTTGTTACATTTGTACTGGAAGTAAGCGAGCTCACCCATTAATTAATCGTAAACTGGACCCTTGTCTATTTCCACATACCTCTCTATATTCTGTGTCTCCGTCTCCGCGCAAACAGACGACCTATGCAGGCATCCCAAACCACATGGACCGCGTTATTGGGGGATCTTTCTGCTTCATGCTTGCTCAGTGCAGACCCTTCAAGGCCGGTTGTTGATGGCAATCTGGCTCAATGTCTCGCCTGTACACGCCTAATTCCATCGCCTCAGGACTCGTTCGAGCCGCACCATGCGCTCCAAGCGAATTCCTTTTCTGAGCTTCTAGGAGGTCGCGGCCCATGCCAGTGAGCTCGTCCGTACCGCGCCATGCAATCCGCCGACGACTCACTAGGACCTGTGCTGCCCACCGAGCCGTCCTTCGGCACTGGGCCGCCCGCCGCAAGTCTACCTTTGTCATCCTCGTCCTGACCGCCGCTCCGACCACTACGTCCGCTGCCGCGACTTGGGACAACTAGAAAGGTGTTAACTGACCAGCAGCAAGGAGGTGTCGACTGGGCTATTCCTAGTATCAGTTTTCCGAGCTCCTCTGTTGAAAACCCTGAAGAGTCGCGCAATTCCTCAGCAAGGTAGTGCGAACTTCCCAAGGCCAAGTCACGTCGATTGCTGCCTCAAGAGAAGCGGAAGAATTTCCCCATGGGACCCCAGAGAAATTATTCTGGAGAGTCATTTCAGAGAATTAATCCTAAAGAAGTCATCCTAGAGACGTTGTCCGAGAGAAGCTGTCCTGGAGGGATCTTCGAGGAGCCATGACAGAGAAGTGGTCCCGCTCAGGTTGTACAAGGGTTCCCTGGCATAACCTACCTGGGTAGGGTGTGGCCTTACCTGGGTGATCCAGGACCTGTGCAACATCGTGTTGGGTTTCTTAAGGTCGCGTTGCCGCTTAGCCGTGAGAACCTGCTACTGCAACCTGCCACGAATTGTGGCGAATAGTCTAGATAGCAAGGTTCTTATGGAATCGGAATTGATTGTTCATGACAGAGAGACTGCAGCATTTCCGGGGACTATTAGAAATGATCAAGGCCGGATGTCGCCGCCGTCGCTGGGGCCGAGTTGGAGGGTGACGTATGCTTTGTTTGGATGATCCGACGAAACCAATGCCCGGCCCTAGAAATTTGTGGGTTCACGCCTTAATTAGCATGGCTGACAGGAAGACTTACGACGTCGTCTAAGCCTTAATTGCGTCTGAATCGAACCCTTATATCCCGGTTCGCTGCCCCCTTACTTCTCAAATAGATTTCTTCAACTCGCTTTCTGCAAAGTGTTTTCCGCTCTGTGCACATTTAAAGTTTACGATCGGCGCCGTCATTGCGGGAATATCGTTCATTCATCGGGGCCCGCCAAGAGATACAACCAGAGAGGACGAATCTCACTTGTCCGAAACGATGGCAGTTTGACGATCTGGGGAACCAATTGAGCACGGACTGGCAATCATCAATCGGTCTTGTTCAGATTCCAGCAGACAAACCAAATTCCTCAACTTCCTCACTCATCGACCATCCTGATCGGCAACCATGTTCCCGAGAATACTGTTCCTGTCGCTCATCCTGGCCTCATTCTTCACAGCGGCGCTGTCAGCGGCGCTCGCATACGCAACATGGTCGATAGCCGTCTTCCAGTTCCGGTGCAAGGCGCCAAACATAGTCGAATCCTACAGCGAGGACTGGAAAGAATGGAGGGTCTCAAGCATATGCGTACCTGGAACATGTTGCGCGAGCAGCGCGGCGACCGGGCCGCTATGCACGCCTGAGGCGTGCGAGAAGGCCGAGCAGGAACGCCAGCGGAAGCTCAAGTCGTACAACGCCATTCAGGCTTCGAAGAAGAAGGCGGACGAGGCGAGGAAGTCGAGGGAGAGCAAGAGCAAGCAATCAGAGGCAGAGGCGAAGTGGAAGATGTCCGACGCCCAGGCCGAAGCAGACAGGCAGAAAGCACTGGCTAAGATCAATGTACCAGCTTGAGGAGGTCTTCCAGAATGGGAAACTGCAGCATTTTCCATCATTATTAGCTGCATTGTCCAAATACTTGGAACAATACGACATCCCGGCGGGAGCCTCCGCCTGATCCTCTGCCTTCTAGCATCGGGAACAAGCACACGGCTGCGTCCTCGAAGCTCAGTCGTCGCCATTCCACAAACGATATCGAAGGCCAGCCCTGCTAAAGGACCCGAAATCCCCAGTTGCGTTTACGGCGGCTCATATGATCTGGCCCAACAACGGATTTCTCAGCCAGAATACCGCTGCCCGCACATGGTGCTCGTGGGAATCCAAGCAGCGATCCAATGGAGCCTCACTCATTCTGGAACACACGGAGTTAAGACACGAAGTTTGGAAATCCCCATGGGCTGAAGCAACAGGTTCCCCAGTACATAATTCGAGAAGCGATCGATATATCCGAGAAACATGTCTGCAAGGAGGGAAGATCCAACGTCAGAAAGCCGCGTCGCGTGGACAGCCGCCACGACATATTTCTAAGCATCGGCCATTTGATAGGTCAGGACTCAGAGTATGTGGAATATCTTAAGGGAAAGTTTGAGGTACAGTTCTACAGGTACCAAGGAGAATCCTTCTGCCGGACTTTTCATGGGGGACAGTGCGCCCTTGAGGAAGTGAGCAGCTCAGGGACCTGCACAACAGGCAGCAGTGGCGGTGGAACCTCTCAATGCATGTTGGAAACCCTTTTGGGGATCATGCATCGTCGTGTCATGAGTCGTATCCCCATAAAATACTGAGAGAGCTGTTTGCTAGTGTTTTAACAGGCATGATAAAGCAAGACGGTGACATACTAGTATCAACTTCTCTTGCGGCCGCGAATACACAGTTTGAAGTGACTTTTTTTTGCATGCAACCCTCCTCAACACTGTGAGCAAAATCTATTCAAGGATCTCGAGCATTGGCAATTCAAGCACAGATTATAAATCCAGGCTGGTTGTGCTCGCTGGCACACGGTGGAGACAAACCTCTCCGTGTAAGCCGCAGACGCCTCGGCACTACCCACAGCAGCTGAGGGGTCGAACGGAGGAAGACCAAACTATGGCCCCGGGGATCCGGTCCCCACCACCAACCAAGGCCTAACCCACATGTAGTCTGACACGTTTATATAAACCCCTTTGAGTGCTCTGCTCTGAGGTGAGATTTTGACTGCTGATGACTTACACCTTTCAACATGGCAGTCGAGACACTCAGAGAAAACACCTTCAGCCACAGCGGCGACCAGAAGACCTTCTACTGGGTAAGCCTCTCGAGACCACCAGGTCGTTCTTTCCTCATGGAGCAGTCTCTTTCCAAGGCCCGGCTCCGCCTCGCTATCTCTCACTCGTTCCCAGGTCCTTTTCTTGTGTGATGTCATCCGTGGTGTTGCAATGGCTAACCCTCAAACGCGCAGTCCGCCGGCCCATCCGATGGCCCTTTGGTCATCTTCATCCACGGCTGGCCCACCAACGGCGAGCACTGGAAGCGCCAGGCCCTCGCCCTGGGCTCCCTGGGCTTCCACGCCGTCGCCCCGGACACGCGGGGCTATGGCCGCTCCAGCGTGCCCAAGGGCGACACCACCGAGTACCGCCTAGAGAAGCACGTCTCGGACATGCTCGCCCTGCTCGCGCACCTGCAGCGCGACAAGGCCGTGTGGGTCGGCCACGACTGGGGTGCGGGCCTCGTCTGGTCGTTTGCGGCGCAGCACCCGGAGAAGTGTGATGGTGTCAGCTGCATCTCTGTGCCTTACCGTGTGTTGGATCGCGGTATTGACTTCTTGGCTTCGCTGTCGAATCGGGACATCTACCCGGAGGACCAGTACCCACTCGCTCAATGTACGTGTTGGGCCTACGTGCAAGTCGCCAGAACCGGCTCTGACTGGCTGCTTTTGTTTCAATGCTCTGGATTGTGGGAATGAAGTGCTGATCCAACGTAAACAGGGGACTACCAAGCCTTCCACGTCGAGCAGCCCGAGCTCAGCCACAAGCAGCTAGAGGGCAACGTCACCAACACCATCAAGGCCCTCTACAGGGGCACTGGCCCCGAGAAGTTCGGCCAGCCCTCGTTCATGGCGTCGCTGCGCAAGACGGGCGGCTGGTTCGGCCCCCTGCCCGAGGCCCCGGACACGCCCTTCGAGACGTGCCTCCTCGCGGACGACAAGCCCGCCTTCGACCGGATGGTGGCCGAGTTCGAGCGCAACGGCTTCGAGGGCCCCAACGCCTACTACCTCAACCACGGCATCAACGGCGAGTACATGAAGACCGCCCCCAACGGCGGGGTCCTCGAGTACCCCGTCCTCTTCGTCGAGACCAAGTACGACCCCGTCTGCGACACGGCGCTGTCGCGGCTGGCCGAGCCCATGAGGGACTACTGCAAGGACCTGACCGAGGTCAGCCTCGAGTGCGGCCACTGGGCCGCGCTCGAGAAGCCCCGGGAGCTGAGCGCGGCCCTGGTCAAGTGGATCGCTACGAAGCTGCCGGAATATTACCCGGGTGGGAAGAGTGCGCGCCTGTGATGACGAGTCGGTGGCATCTTCTGCATCAGACCTTGTCCCCAGGCATGACGCGTGGTTGTGGTCTTCAGTAGGCAGACTAGTTGCAATACATGCTCCGCTCCTCATGTTTGTGCTCAGATATCATCGTCGGGGCCCAGTATGTATTATCTGGAGGAGTCCCTGTGTGAACGGTAGCAGTGAAATCGCCCGCATAGCCTAGACTACGGCGGCCCGGGTCTTTCTTAAGCTCACTTGTGCGAATTTCTGAAGTGACCCGGTGCTGTGGCCTTGTTTCCACGTCAGCAGTGCTACCAACGTCTTAGGCAGTCAGGTGGAAATTCTTGGCGTGTACGAGGAAGGGCGTGGGCCATCATGAAGCTGTGACTCGACTAATCCATCCTCCACTTAGGGCTGTTTGCACCACCAAGCTGCAGAGTGGGTGGCGTTGTGTATCTGTCTGGAATTTGTTTTATGTGCGAACGATTTCATCTTCTAAGCTGCCCTGAAACCCAAAAACACAGGAACTAGATCGCCCTCAGCGGTCTACTTGCTTTCCTTCCCAATAACGCCAGAGATCTATCCCAGACCCAACGTGAAATAAGAATATTGACATGGAGCCCATGTCGCACCGATGAGCCTGCATCAGCCGGGCTCTCCACTCCAACATGAGACACGGTACATTGGTGCCACGCCCAAGTCTTCCAACCAGCATGGAAGGACACGCTGCCTCGAGGTCAACCCCCAGCGGGGCAGCCGCGCCTCATCACAGGGCCTTCCACCAGATCTCGTCCGTCTGCAGGTCCCCGCCGACGTCAAAGACGTGCTCCCCGATGCGCTCGTACCCCATCTTGCGGTAGAACGCCTGCGCCTTGTGGTTCTCCTCCCACACGCCGAGCCACATGGTCCTGAACCCCTGCTCGCGCGCCAGCGCGTCCGCGGACAGCGACAGCGCCTTGCCCAGGCCCTTGCCGTGCGCGCCCAGCGAGATGTACAGCCGCTGCAGCTCGACGGGCCGCTCGAGGTGCCCCACGCAGGGCTCGGAGCTGCCGCGCGTCAGGTAGATGAAGCCGAGGAGCCTGCCGCCGCCCGGTGGTGAGCCGCCGGTGTCGCCGCCGCCCTCCTCTGTGGCGACGAGCACGTCCTTGGAGCTGTCCGCGATGTCCCTCGCGATCGCCTCCGGCGTGTACGCCTCGTCCAGGAACGCCTGCAGCTGCTCCTTGGTGCACGAGTGCGCGAACGTCGCCGTGAAGACCTCGGCGCCCAGGGCCGCGAGGGCCTCGCTGTCCGACGCGGCGGCCTTGCGGATCTGAAACCCGGCGGGGTCTTTTGGGGGCGCGGCCACGCTTCCCATGGTGCTGCTGCTGCTGCGGTGGCGATGTGCGGGGATGATGAGTGGGGAAGTGGGTGCTTTCCTCCCGGCGTGTGTGTTGAGAAGATATCTGGGCTTGTCCGTGTGGAATTCGTTGCAGGGGGGGAGCGTTCGGAGGGTGAGGGCGGGAAGGGGGGTTTTTAGCGGCCGCGCCGCCGTTGAAACTTGCGACTGGCGCCGGAACGGGGCCGGGGTGCGCATCTGCGCAAACGAGCGACTCATGGCGGCTGCGAGAAGGTCTGTGTCTGGACGGCAAGATGGTGACTCTTTGCGCAATGGAAAAATTTCTTGAGGAACAAGGAGGAGCCAGAAGAGGATTGCAAGTTTGTTTTGATCAAAATCCGGTGTTGCAGGCCTCATGCAGACCAGGTGTGTGAAGGAGGCCCACTCAGTCAAACCCAGCTTGTGTAGACAGAGGCTAATGGACGCAGCTGAAGCGAGTCACTCTTCGGGCTCGAATCTCCACCAACAACCTGACACAAGGTCATTGTATGCCTATTGAGAAATTCGAGGCATGGTAGAGCTGCTCTTGCCTGCGCTTCCCCGGAAGCTTAAGTGAGTTTGCACGTCTGTAAGCTTTCGATTATGGGCCCGTCCGAGTCACGATGCCCGTACGGCGAGGCGAGCAAGTCAGGCCCATTTCCCAACCCCATGTGGAAAGCCCTCTGGGATCCCGATCATCTCTAGGCTACTCCTCGCAGACCTCTAGGGTGAAGGAACATGTTAGCACCTGTGTCCAGAAATGCATTTCTCCTTGCCATTTCCAAGAATCGTCGAGACTGTGGCCATGTACATGCGTGGACAAGGCCCAGGGCCCAGGAGAATTAGGTCGTAGATGCGCATCCCAGGGGAATCATCGTGAGCGATGGGCACAATTTTCGTTCATACGGGCTTTCGAAACGATTACCATTGACTTCCCTAGGACACAAGCGGGTCAATCGACCGCCATCATCCGCCTTCGCGGCCGCACCACGACTTCCACAATATACCTACGTAGACCCAGGCACTGTGCCGTTGCCTGTGAGACTCAGCAGCGCCGCACTCGAGTCGGGCACACTGACCTCGACCGTCCCGTTCTCATCCACCACCACATACTCGCCAACCGTCACGTTGCTCAGCCTAACCGGCTTCCCGTTATCCAGCTCGTAATTGTAGCTCCACCCGTCCCACGTGATGCCCGTGATGGCGTCACTGCCGTTCGCGTACAGCCTCTGGACGGCGACCTTGTCTCCAGCACTCAAATTCCCGCCCGAGACATCGAAGGTGTAGGCCCGTGACACGCGGTCAGTGGTGTTGGGGCTGATACCAAGGCCAGTGCCGTTGATCGTGGTGTTGTAGGCGTTCATATTGATGACGATCGCTCGCAACAGCTCGCCTCCGTCAGAGGAGTACGCGGCGTAGCTGGCTTCAGTGTCCGTCGAGAGCGGCACATTAGCGATGCTCACAGGGGTTTCAGTAGTGTTTCCCAGGAAAGCGGCCACAGCAATGCTGCCATAGTACGGCGCTTTAGTGCCGATGGTTGCATTGGCAGTCTGTATGGGCTGCCAGAAGCCGTACCGATAATTGGTCCCCTGGTGCATGTGAATTCGCTTGAAGCCAACCGAGGCACTGTAAAGATTGAAGTCGATACCCCACAGTGCAGCACCGAAAGTGTTCGACAGGCCTGGCTTGCCCTGTCGGAAGAGGGAATTCGTCTCACCAAAGATGAGAGGCGGTGAACCAGTGTTATTCGTGGCTCTGTTGTACTCGTCGATGTGTGGGTCAACAGAAGCAACTGTCCTCGAGTGGTTCATGAGTGTTCCTTGGAGGGTGACGCCGGGTGAATCGGCACCACTGATGTAACTATGATCACACAATCTTTAGCCTCACTCTCATATGTACAGCCCAGAGACTTACTTGTGGGTGGAAAACAGCGTGATGGTTCCGTCTTGGTTGATGCCGCTGTCCCATACAATCGGGACTTTCAGCGTATTGTTAAACCCGGCGATCGAGGCAGCCATGTACCCGTACAGGTTGTTCTCCAGCAGCTCCGGGCAGACTTCCTGAAGACGAGCACGGATTTCACGGGTTCCGTTGAGCCACTGGCTCACATACGTAGTCTCATTCCAATCCGGTGGGCGAATCAGATTCTGCTTTCCGGTGGAAAATAGATCTGGCTCGTTACCATACTCCCAGACGTCAAGCTTTTCAGGACCCAGCGCCTTGCACACCAGAGGGACAGTATCGACGAGGGTCTGCCAACCGGCTGAATTGTTGGCGCCCTGGCCCAGGTTGAAGCCGTGCGTGAACTTGACGCCGGGCCATTGGTTGTACGACTCAAAATACGATGGTCCGATATATATGATAGTGGGGTAGTCGGCTGACCGGGAGTAGTCAAAGGTGCCATTGAGACCATAAGCCAGGGATGCATTGTAAAGGTAGATATCCTGAGTGTTTCCTCCAACTCGGACATGTGGTTTTGTGCCTTGAAGCTGGCCAAGGTTGTTCAAGAGGTTGTCAGAGAACATGTTTGGGTTTGAGTCGTTTCCTGTGTGCAGTCAGTCCCCCAAGTTTCTGTGGATGGCTCTGGTAATTATGCCGTGTCAAGCAGATCATCCTCACCAGCGAAATCCGGGAAAGACGAGAACTCGATAGAATAGCTCACAAAAGCCTCGCTGAAAGGCTGGCTGGCATCAATGGAAGCACCCTGAAGGCTATATTGCACAGCTCCCACAGCTGTTGCCGTCATGGCTAAGGGGAGGAAGTTTTCAGGGCCCATGTCGTTCGGTGTTTTCGCAAGAGGCCTTGCGAAGATTCCGGTCCAGAGAGACTTGAACATCGATAGGCAGGGGCAAACGACAAAATATATAACGGCGTCTGGGGCATCTGAATGAGGCACTGCCCGCCCGCCCGCAAGGTGGGATTAGAATGTCAAGCCGCATCCTCGGACTAATGAACCCCAAAAATACCCGATTATGGTGTAATTGGACCCGGGACTTGCCAGAAGACACTGACGAGTCACAAAATAACGTCACCGCGGTGGGCTGGCTGGTTGGGGTAAACCCAAGGTGGTGAGGGCATCACCGGTCAGGGATGGAGCTTGGAAGTCGCCCGTGATCACTCGGCTGTTCTCTCGGGTGCTGCCACCGGGCAACAAGCCTCTCCGGGAGACAGCATCAGGCACAGGAACCATTGACAAGCCATGGTGAGTTTTCCCCGCAGCCATACCCGGCATGACGTGAGGGGAGTGCTGTAGGTGTTCGTCTCAACCTTGAATCGGTTCCCTGTGCAGGTGTTGGAGTAGGGTGCAGGGAGAGGAGATGCGCCTCGCCAGTACTTGCGTAACAGAGGCTACCACGACGGTAACACGTGAGCCAATATCTGGCCTTGGCGAGGATCCATATGGTATTCTCCGTTTATGTCTCGCATGCTGGCTGGTATTCGCTTCCCGTGGGTGTCATTGTCGTCCCGAAGGGTGCAAGAATCCAGACTGGAGGTATGAGGTTTGTCAGGCAGGCATGGCCGGGGAAGTGATTTCAAGGACTTGACCGGCTGCCCCAACTTCACGTGAATAGAGACCTGCTTAAGTGCTCTGACTGAAAGTGGAAATCATTAGCCCAGGTCTGGGCCAACAATGAGGACGAGATGTAGTGAGCCTAGGTTTTGCTTCATTACCTATTGGTGGAACCCGGACAGATGCTTCCAATCGAGGCGCCACGCTGAATCGTGCTGCCTCGTGGAGGCACCCGAGCTGTCACACGTGGCGTTGATCAGTCACGAACACGTTTACAAGGCACTGAAGATGTCTCTCCATGGTGACAACGGTATTCTGCCGTCAGAAGATGGGCGATGCCAACGGTGAAGGAAAGAAGTTGGTGAGCCGAGAAGATAGGTAGATAACTGAAGACTGAATACAAACCGCACACTGTCTCCTCTAGGAAGGTACACGCGAACTCGCCCCGCAAAGCTTGAGAAGTGGGGGCACAAGCTCCGATTGATGGCCAAAGCTCCAGCTTCAGGTCCTGGTCCAGTCCGGGGCCAAGTCCAGTTCCAGCATATCTCAAGCAGACGAAAAGAAGACAAGACAGGAGACGATAGAGGCAAGAACAAGACCTGTGTTGACGGCGGGATGCAGACAATAGATCATGACCCTCGTTCCGCAAGTTCCAGGAATCCAAAGTTGAGTCGCATAGCGCAATACCCCGCGGCGGCAGACTCATGGAGACGTCATTGTAAGGATCGCCAGTTCCCCATACGTACACTTAGTCTGTGATCCAGAGAGCTAGAACCGTCGCCGTCTTCCCTGTCCACTACCTCAACAACCAATCTAATCTTTTCCATTATCTGAATCCCAGAGAGTCTGTCAAGATTGTAGACTAATTGAGCCCCTATCACACCATCCAGGACTCCACTGCAGCCGTGTTTCGGAGCGTACCCAGGGACTCTCTCCCCGGGAGTCATTTTCCGATTAATACATGACAGCACCGGCCCGGTCGTGAATCGGTTTCCTGTAGCAAATCGCCCCCTCCCCATATAACAAGTCTACTCCCGAACCTTGCCCCCCAGGCGCGTGGTATTCAAATTCCCATCACCAGCCATGTCCCTCCTGTCCAAGACCTGGACTTCCTCCTCCTCACGCCTCGCCCCTAGGATCGCCCGTTTCCAAAGGAGCACCCTACCCACGTTATCGCTGTCCTCGTTCCGCCCAGCCTCGACAATGGCACCCAAGGTGAGCCCTGCCTCAGGATGCAATGGAAGTTCCGGCCCCATACACGGAAGCTAATCAACACATTACTCCAACCAGCTCAAAGATCCCTCCCTCTTCAAGACCGACGTCTGCTATGTCAACGGCGAGTGGGTCAAGGCCGCCTCCGGCAAGACCTTCGAGGTCCACGACCCAGCCACCGGCGAACTGATCGGTACCTGCCCCGAATTCGACGCCAAAGACACAGCCAAGGCCGTCGAAGCCGCCCAGGCCGCCTTCGCCTCCTTCCGCACACAAACCGGCCGCCAGCGCTCCAAGCTGCTCCGGAGGTGGTACGAGCTGGTTAACGAGAATGCCGAGGACCTGGCAGCCCTGATAACATGGGAGAACGGCAAACCGATAGCCGATGCCAAGGGCGAGGTCGCGTACGCGGCCAACTTCTTCGAGTGGTTCAGCGAGGAGGCGCCCCGGATCTACGGCGAGACGATACCGGCTACCGTGCCGGGCAACAGGGTCATTACAATTAAGGAGCCGGTCGGCGTGTGCGGCCTGATCACGCCGTGGAACTTCCCCGCCGCCATGATCACGAGGAAGGCCGGTCCCGCCCTGGCGGTCGGCTGCACTACCGTTGCTAAGGCACCAGGCGAGACGCCCTTCACATCCCTAGCCCTGGCGGAGCTGGCGCACCGCGCGGGCATCCCCAAGGGCGTGTTCAACGTCGTGACGACGCTGCAGAACACTCCCGCGGTGGGCGAGGAGCTGACGACCAACCCGACGGTGCGCAAGGTGTCGTTCACGGGGTCGACGGGCGTGGGCAAGCTGCTGATGAAGCAGGCCTCGGGCACGCTCAAGAAGCTGTCGTTCGAGCTGGGCGGCAACGCGCCCTTCATCGTCTTCGACGACGCCGACCTGGACGTCGCGGTCGCGGGCGCCGTGGCGTCCAAGTTCCGGTCCTCGGGCCAGACGTGCGTGTGCGCCAACCGCATCTTCGTGCAGGCGGGCATCCACGACGCCTTCGCGGCCGCGTTCGCCGCGAAGGTGCGCGAGTTCTCGGTCGGCAACGGCTTCGACGGGTCCAACACGCACGGCCCGCTCATCCACGGCCGCGCCGTCGACAAGGTCGACTCGCACGTGCGCGACGCGGCCGCCAAGGGCGGCAAGGTCCTCGTCGGCGGCGCGAAGCTGCCCGACCTCGGCGGCAACTTCTTCCAGCCCACCGTCATCACCGGCCTGACGCAGGACATGGCCATCGCGTCCGAGGAGACGTTCGGACCCGTCGCGGGCCTGTTCCGCTTCGAGACCGAGGAGGAGGTCGTCAAGCTCGCCAACTCGACGCCCGTGGGCCTGGCCGGGTACTTCTTCTCGAGCGACCTGCAGCGCGTCTACAGGGTCGCCGAGGCCCTCGAGGTCGGCATGGTCGGTGTCAACACCGGGCTGATCTCGGACCCGGCGGCGCCGTTTGGTGGTGTGAAGGAGTCCGGCTTCGGCAGGGAGGGCTCCAAGTACGGCGTTGATGAGTACCTCGTGAGTTTTGGTTCATTGTTCTGTTGTGCGTTGAAAGTGTCGCTAACATCTCTTCCCTCTGCAGGTCACAAAGATGGTCACTTTCGGCGGTATGGGCAAGCCACTGCAGGCATGAGGGAGGCGGAGATCTAAAAATGGACAGACGACCTAGTTGAGCCTGCCAATCCTCAGAGATGTGTGCATCATGAGGAGACGCCTGTACTGTACGTATGATATACCACCGGCGTACGATAATGCTACAATTTGTAAAACGACTGATTTGACAGACGCCTTGGTGATTCGTCCCAGCAGCCAAAGACCGTGAAACCGCGACTCTCAGTCTTCGCCCCATTCGATATAACATTGGTAGGACTCCTTGCACACAGCCCCTTTTACTTGAGAGAGTTTTCTTCACGGGGCTCTCAGGAACCAGAGGGGACAATTTCGACTGTCCGCGCGAATGATCAAGACCAGTCGTCAATGGGCAACGAAACATCCCTCAGTGACAAATTGCGTGTTGACACGGGCACAATATGTAGTGGTATAGGCAATATTTGTATTCGGTGGATGATCACCTGTAACTGAAAAGTCGGCTGCAAATATTGCGCCCCAAAACGCCTCCTGGTATCCCGTTGAATATCCCACACAAAATAGAAATTAAATTCACTTCATCATAGTACACATTCAGTCGATCGGCCAATTCCCATCATCCACTCCTCATGGGCGATAGTAGAGTACTGCCCCCAGTCTGGCCCTTGCCATACAGTTGAGATGCGTTAGATGCGATAGTAACGACCGGCTCCCTCCTGAATTGACTGCCGTTGGACGGGCTCACTGCTGGTAGCCCCTCAGAGGAAGTTGCCGGTCCAGCGCGTTGAAGGCCTGGGTCCTCGGCGTGAAGGGCCCTTGGCTTTGCTGGTAGCTCTGGTAGGTCGGATAGGTCGGGTAGTTATTGTAGTCTTGCGTCTTGGGCGGCGGCTGCATCTCGAAGACGACTTTGTCGACGGGGGTACTGTTCTCGGAATCGTCGTCGGAGCCCTTCATCTTCTGCAGTTGCATCTCTTCCTTCTCCTCCTTGGTGGGGATCATGTTATAGATCGCCAGGCCGAGACAGAAGAGATAGATGGTTCTGTTGTGAGGGAACAAAGGATCAGCATCACCCAGAGAAAACAAAACAGGTCTGGCATGGAGATGAACCTACAGCTGAATGACGGTGGTCGCAAAGGTGCCTTTGGCTAGCCTGCAGCTCCGCACCGCGTCGTTCTGGAAGCCCTCTGCGGGCCAACACCCGTAGCGGATGTACCACGCGATTGGGCTTGGGCGCAACGGGTCGTAGTAGTCGGGCCCCATCTGGCCGTAGACGCTGACGGTGTACAAGATGGACATGGCGAGGCTGAAGAAGACGCCGACGATGGGTGTCCAGACGCGCATGATGAAGCCGATCAGCTTGGCGACGAGGACGAAGAGTGACAGTACGGAGATAGCAACATTGAAGTTTGTGAGACTAATTGGGACAAAGTGAACCGTGTCAGCCATCGACTGCTCTCTGTGTCTTCATAAGATGCTCGGTCTGCTAGGGCATCGTGCTTACGTTTCCGCCCACACGAGGGGCAGTTTTGGAGCGGGCTCATGGTTCGCCTTGGCGTAGAGGATGATGGCCGGGTTCGAGTTGAAGCCCCAGACGTAACCGATGCGCCAGAGCTGCGTGCGGAACAGGTCCGGCTGTGCGATGCCGAAGAGGACCAGCAGTGCGACGGTGCCGGCCAGCTCGAGGGGCATTATCCAGAACATGGGGGCTCGCTTCCGCCATGCCCGCTTGAAGGGCTTATAACTCCAGTTCCGCTCCGGATTCCATCGCGCCATTCGTCCTGCCATTATGTGTCTTCGAAATGTATCTCCCGGGGCTCACGGAGAACTCGGGTATGTCGTCTGTCCAGATCCTTCTCTTTGAAATCGCTGCAACGATAGCCTTGTTCGGCTCTGGCGCTCTGCTGTGTTTCTATGCTGGCTGGCAGCGATCGCAGCAAAGACGCTTCACATCGGATTCGTAGAAATGGAGCCCAAACCCTCCTTTTCCGGATAGTTTCGTCGACAACAGGAGATGGGGTTGGACACAACAGAGACTCCTCCACTGGAAATCGATCACTTACTCGGACTCACATCTGGGACGGGAGGGAGAGGGGAAGCGACGCCCCTATAAAAAGCGCTCACCCATCCACCAGCAGATTAACCCTTGCAATTCGCAATGCTACGACAGGCCATTTCAGAGGCGCTCGCCCTCTCACCAACCAAGTCAGCCAGCCAATGCCGCCGTGGTGAGCGATGCACCTGCAGCTGCGAGTGTGACCCAGAGCCAAAAATCGCAGGTACCGGGTGGGATTGGCGCAGGTGACCCAATGAGAGAAGCGGACCCAGCTGTGTAGCCGCCGGGCGGATGGGCGCTGTCGCACAGGATTGGCTGATCACCAGCCAATCCCGGGCGCTTCGAGAGAAGTGGGTGAGTGAGGGGCCCCCATTTTGGGGACTGATGAGACCCTGAGGGAACCAACCAGCCATTGGGATGAGAGATCATCTCTCGCACATTCAGCCATGCTGCGCGCTGCTCGAACGCCGCCCCCCTGCCCTGCCAGCTGTGGGGGCTTGAGAGGCGGAAAGTTGGGACACTGAACGTGAGAGTTGGCGAGCGGAAGGCCGCCCGTGCAGATCGCTATGCAAGCACTTGAGCGTTGAGGATAGCGGTGCAACGCAGACTGCTGTCGTACATGTGGGAGCACCTGCATTCATTATTAGCAACACTTGTTCAACTCTCGGCCTATTGACACGCAAAGTCTGGTAGGAGGAACAAGACCCAGCAGCGTGGAACTTTGGAGTCGGTGCTAAACAGAACGGGCGGTGGCATGGGCCCGACGGCTTGATTAGAGGGCATCAAGGAATGGTTTCAAGATGATGGATGATACATCTTGTCGACGCCATCCATTCCAGTCAGTAGAGTCTACTTTGCGAGGTCATGGCCACTCATGGCTGCTTGGAAGTGGTCATGTTGGGCCCTGCCAGCTTGCCCACTCGGATCGATCAGCGGCCCGGCCGGTGAATAAGACGAGGGCCGGGTCGCGGGCCAGCAGATCTGCATCGGCATGAAGTCGTCGGTGGAGCACCTCGTCCTTGAAGATGAATGCTGCTCTGCCAGCAATGCATCGCTAATAAGTTGATTCGGTGGCGGCTCCGATGGGAACAGCTCGTAGCACAATCTCGTCTCGCAGTTGTGTCTCAGGCTTTGCCGCCCGTGTGAAGACAAAAAGACCCAGCCTGCGTTGCCCTTCCGGCCCCTGCACCGCTCTTCGCCAGTGAGGAGAACAAAGGACATGTCCGTTCCCCGGCGCACTCGGCATGCCTGCGGAGACTTCCGCCATCTTCCACAATGGCTGGCTCCCTTGGAACTGCTGATGATCGATCACTAGCGAATGCGCGAGACACATAGAGTCGTCATGGGAATTCTGAGCCAACAATCGAAGTCTGTACAAATCGCACAGTCCACCTTTTGACGATCTAGGTAGTCCTAGGGGCAATGAGACCTCGGGGTCCCAAGTCCAAATCCGCCCTGCCGCCCTGGACGCCCAACGGCAGGAATGCAGACGGCCCGGCCGGTCGTGCGTCAGACTCGATTGGTCGGCAGAAAAGTTGACAGGTAGAGTGCTTGTATGTCCGTCCGTACTGTGCTTCAAGTGGGCTAATAAGAAGAAAACATGGAAGTGACATGTAGTCCCATCTTGGTTGGCCGCGGCCAACATCATCAAATCACTGGCACTGTCAGACTGCTGCCATGCTTATTAACAGTGACTGGATGACCACCTGAGCCACCTGAGCAGGGGGGGGAGGGCTATCACTTCGATCACGGATAGACAGACAGTCCGCAGCTCCAAGGCCGGGAAGGAAGGAAGGAGCTGGGAGGTAAGGGTCCCACTCGTTGACACTATCATATTCTGGTGCGCCAGTTGCGACAGCCCAGCCGGGCAAGCCTGGCAAGACCGGAATGGAATAGACCGGTCTAGACCTGAGATCTGCACCTGGGTGTCACCTGCTGCCCGTGGGCCGTTGCTCAACAGCTTATCTGATCAGTACATGTACTGTACACCATGCAGACTGATAAGTCTACCTACCTGTCTGTACCCAGGCAGCCCGGGTTTGTGGGCGGGCCTGTGTGCGACTTCTCAGGGGCCGTTCGACAGCATGTTCGACAGCATGTTCGACAGCATGGCGGGGATGAATACACAGACACTAATATAATAAGTCTCCAGGTTCCCATGGACCCAAGCACTTGGGAAGGGACGATCGGACAACGGGCAGGCACTGTCCACTACGACGTTGAAAGTCATTCGGTACGAGGCAGGTACGGAGAACGGGGAAGGGGGCAGATCACTGTGGGTTTGGAGATCCACCCTTTCTCACTCTCTCACTCCTGTCAGTCTCACTCACTCACACTCGAAGCTCATAGTACCGCTCATGCTCACAACTCATCGCTGTGCAAATGATGCTACGGAGCCCACCAGGAAGGCAGCGTGGCTCTGGTGGGCTTGGCTCTAGGTCTGAGGACCGCCAGGTCGATCACGATCGCCCAGGTCGAACACACCAGCGCCATCCCACCCGGCCTCCCGGCCTCCTCAGATCGTACCTCGACTTGGCTCTGGCTCGAGTATCCACTACAACGCCCTGCTACACGCCCTGCCTACCAACCAGCATCCTTGGCTCCGAGACATGCTTTTATTCTCCTTTCTCCTTTCGGTCCTCCAACAGAATCATAAATGACAATAGTCTTCACCGCACACTGTCGTCTTTCCTGGGGCGCTGCGCTGCGTTCACCACGCACACAATAATAATAAATCCTTCGAGAATCGACCAGTCCAGTCCAGCCTGCTCCACTCCGCTCACCCACCCATCCACACCACCAGTGCAGGCCGACGACGACCATACCCAGGCTTAAGCAACCACCCGGGGATCTAGATTGCGGGAGACCATCTCAGACCCCTGCTGGATCGTATTCATACCATACCGTTACCGAACCTCGTCTCATCCAGAGCCAGGCCGGCCACGCCAGCCCTCGGCTCATCAATGCGCGTCTGTTTCTCGACTGCCCAGCTCCCCAGTAGCCCGTCCAGTCTGCCAGTCTGTTCTGCCAGTCCGCCCTGCCCAGCGTGCGTTCACCTGAGCACCTCCTCGGCAGTCTCGTCTCGTCTCGTGCCGTGTCATCGCCCTCGACTACTCTGCAATCTAACCCCAATCTGGCCCTGTCAGTCTATCTTCACGGCTCTTCCTACTCCCGATTCGGTTGCTTGCTTGCTCGCGCACTCTCTAGCCACGCGGCAGTCGCATACCGTCCACTCCCCCACCCCCACCAGCCCAAGCCATTCTCTCCGTGGTTTGCAAAATACATCCGATTGCCTCGGTCTTCTGGCAGTAGGTCCACGGATCCATCTCCTCGTCCGAGTCATCCCCATCGACCTGACCGTACAGGTTGTTTCCGCCAGCTTGGGTGGACCGGTGGGCGCGCGGGACGACGGGGGCGACGTTCGGACCCAAACGCCTTCTTCCCACCGGCGCGTCGCTACGGACTATAGCTAACCAGGATTAGGTGACGATCCCTTGTCGCCGCCCATCCGAGGCCACCCATATTCGCAAGCCCGTTCACTCGTGGTGCCTCATAACCGCCTTTGCGTTCGTCGCAGGGCGACTCGAGCGCCCGTGGGGCTGCACAGCATTTGCGCTGGCTCCCGCGAAAGTTGCCAAGTCCATCATCCATCATCCAAGACGACTCGACCTTCCCGAGCACCTCTAGACTACATCCCGCCTTCGCCCTCGCTCCTCTGGGGATGGCCTGGATACCAGCTATCCCGAGTCCTGTATGAGACCTGCACTAGACACCCCCCCCCCGAAATACTACCCCTGGCTCTTCTTCACAGGCCCTGGCCGCATCTCGATCTTCCCCAGCATCTCTTCTCCTTCTCCACTGGCCGACCCACGCCTTGTCCAACATTCCCTGCTTGCTTTTTCCGCTGCATTGCGGCTACGCTCCTCCAATGCCATACTTATGCTAGCTGTTTTCCTCCTACCCTTGCCAATTTATCCGGTGTACGAAGACGGGGGCCGTTGACTGACAAACGTCGGTTCGACAGCCTTCGGTTTCTTCTTCCTTCATGACTCTGGATCCAAAAGCCTCGCTGCGTAAACCTGCTTTCACTATCGACAATCAGGCGGATCGGCCTCCTATTGCCTCTGCCTCTTCCTCGACACCCGCCTCTGCACCACATAACCACCTGTCCGGCTCCTTCTTGTCGACCTCCAGCGTATCCACGATACCCCCTGGGCCTTTGACTGGCATTCTAGCCACGCCTCCGCACCCATATCCACACCAACCACCGACGGGTGCAACCAGAAGTTGTCACCAACCCTCGGACGAGGCTATTAGACTTGCTGCCCAGCTGGTCACAGGGCGTGGTTTCGACATCAGCCGACATGGTCTGACTGCTGCTGCCGCCGTTCGTGATCAATCGGGCGTTGATGGTGTTGCCTCCTCTGTCAAAGGCCTTACTTCAGCATCTTTTGCCTTGGCCGGTCCTCCTTTTCGTAAACCGGCGCAAACTTGGAAACCGCCCGATAGCCAAGGCTTCGCGATCCCGCGTTTGAAGCCGCGTCCGACAAAACGACCAGTTGACCAGGGCGATCTCGACAACGCTTTTGTTACCCCAGCAGCGAAGAAGCCGCGGCGACTTCCACCAGGCAGTCTTGACCTCCCCAAGCTTGCTCCTCCTCGAACTCCCGAGGACTTGCCCCTATCCAACGGTGTCTCGCCATTATTCTTCTCTAACTCGTCCACGAAGCACATGACGGGCCGTCCACCAAGCTTCTCCACTTCGGAGCCCTCCGCTGCCATGCTACATCGCCTGCGCGATGATCAAGGCACCGTCAGAACCGTCAGGCTTCCCAGGGGGCACGTCAGCTCTGCGAGTCCTGCCAGAGGTCAAAGCATGAGCACTCCTGGCAGCGGTGGGTCCGCGGAGAGTCATTCGTCTTCCAGGGGCCTGGACAGCCGCTTAATGTCTCCAGAAGTACAGGATCTTCAAGGCGTAGGCGTGATTGAGTTATTGGATAATGATGAACGACCAACCTTCATTATCGACTTGATGGACTCGTCAAATTTTGGCCCTGGCCCGTTGAAAGTAGTCTGGCGGAATGCATCACTGAGAGCGGCCACTGGGGTAAACGAGCTAATCTCCAAAAGCCCAGAGGACAGCGTCGATTTCTCCCGGTTCAAAGCATGGGCCGTCAGCTTTGTAAAGGACAAGAGGTCCATGGATGTGTGCTTACCGTCTCTGTCATACGGAGGGATCAGTTGGACATGCTCGACCGTGAGAAACCGTTTCCGCTTCGTCAGCGGGAACAGTGCCGCGGTCTCAATCACGCCCACCTCGCCGGCTCCTATCGCACGCGCGTCATCGATTCTCGAACAGCGGTCTCAAGGACAGACCCCTGGCCGGGATTCCCAGACCCCTGGCCGAGAAAGAGCCCTCAGCGACCTTGATTATTTTGGTGATGCTGAGCCGGATCAGGGCTTGGTTGCTTCACGCCGTGCACACTCAGAGCCCAGGGACTTGAGGGACATGAGGCCGGACACGCCCGTTGTTTTGACAGATAATGTCTACGGCTTGGATGATCCACTGGCTGCACTCGAGCTGGCATCGTTCGACTGGACCAGGATCGTCGATACAAGCGGCATGCAACCACACTTACAGTTCGCCAGGTCGAGGAACTGGGAGGCCACTCCTCTCGGACCCATTGAAGGATGGTCAGCAGATTTGCGAACCATGTCAAATATGATTATGGGCAGTCCACACCCTGCTGCCATGTACTGGGGAGCGGAATACACGGCGATCTACAACGAGGCGTATCTAGATTTGGCAGGTAACAAGCACCCGAAGCTTATGGGCCAAGGTTATATGGAGGCTTGGGCGGAAATCTGGGACGAGATCAAGCCAGTATTCGACGCTGCATGGAACCATGGCCAGGTAGGGATCATTCCCTTGTTTTACCCCTGATACACACTGTGCATGCTTCAGGACTTGTACCTCATAAGAGAAGGAGACGCAGAGCCAGGATTTTCATGACCCTGTGATGTTGCCAGACGTTCAGGAACCCGAAACCAAGGGTGCTGGAGACTATTCTTTTGCCAAAAGTCCCGTTATATGACAGGCACTGTTTTGGTACTCTTCGACTAACCTTCTTACCTGCAGGCCACCATGAAAAATGATGATCGGCTCTTCTTAAACCGAAACGGCTTCCTGGAGGAGACTTTCTTCAATTGGTCTATCGTCCCACTGCTTGGCGGCGATGGATCCGTGGTGGCTCTATACAATCCTGCGTTCGAAAATACTCGCCGCAAGGTCAATGAGCGGAGGATGCTGACGCTCCGCGAGATTGGTGAGAAGACATCGCATGCTCGCAACGTGCGACAGTTCTGGAGGCAGGTTCACGAAAGTATGAAATATAACGAGTGGGACATCCCCTTCGCCCTGATCTACTCCGTCACCGAAGACTCGGAAAGCGAGGTCTCGTCGATGCATTCCGGCAGCGTGGTCAATCCTCCGCAAATATTTCTTGAGGGCTCAATAGGAATATCCGCCGATCACCCAGCTGCGACGCCATCGATCGATCTGAGGACCAGCGATGAAGGGTTTGCGCCGTACATGAGGAGGTCAATGGCACAACCAACGGTCCCTATTGTCCTGTCCAAGGACGATGGAACACTACCCCAGAGCCTCATTGAGGGCATACAATGGCGAGGGTTCGGCGATCCTTCCAGAAACATCGTCGTTTTTCCTGTGCATCCAACAACCGGCGAGAGCGTTGTTGGTTTCGTCGTGATGGGTATCAACCCCCGGAGGCCGTACAACGATGACTATCGGTTGTTCATCAATCTGCTGTCCCGACAACTGGCGACTTCAATGGCGTCTGTCGTTTTGTTCGAAGAGGAAATCAAGCGTGGCCAACAGGCTGCGCGCCTCGCGGCGCTGGATCGCCAGCAACTGTCAATCCAGCTACGTCTGCGGACACAGGAGGCCGTCGAGAGCGAGTACAAATTTACTCGGATGGCGGAATTTGCTCCTGTCGGTATCTTCATTGCCAATGCAGAAGGAGACATCAACTTCTGCAACGACTCATGGTGGGAGATCTCGAGGCATCCCCGGACAATCAACTCGATCAATACATGGATGGAGAGCGTACTGCCTGGCGACAGGCCGGCTGTCAAGGCTGCATGGCGGAAGTTGATCGATGAGAAGGTCTCGATTGTTCAGGAGCTCCGCTTCAAGGCAAGCCGCGAATTCAATGGCCACCCCATCGAGACATGGGCCTTGATGAGCGCATATCCCGAGAAAGACAGTGATGGTATGGTCAAAGCCATTTTTGGCGTGATAACGGACATCTCTCAACAGAAGTGGGCAGAGGCATTCCAGAACCAGCGCCGAGAAGAGGCAGTGGAGCTCAAGCGGCAGCAAGAAAATTTCATCGACATGACGAGCCACGAGATGCGCAACCCACTGAGCGCCTTGTGTCAGTGCGCGGACGAAATCATCGGCAGCATCGCAGCATACCGCAAGAGCGAGCCCGAGATCGCCGAGCGCTTGAGCAAGATGCTTGATATCTGTCTCGAAGCCGCCAACACCATATCGCTGTGCTCGAATCACCAGAAGAGAATCGTCGACGATGTCTTGACCCTGTCGAGGCTCGATTCCAGGATGGTAGAGGTGACGCCGACTGTTGTTAGTCCCGTAGAAGTCATACAAACGAGCCTCAAGATGTTCGACACGGAGTTGGCATCGAACAATATCAAGGCCGAGTTCCGCATCGACCAGTCGTACCGAGACATGGGCATTGAGCTTGCAAGACTTGATCCGGCCCGCCTACAACAGATCATCATCAATCTTCTCACCAATGCGATCAAGTTCATTCAGAAGCAAGAGGAACGGTCCATCATCATCACCCTCGCAGCATCCAAGGAGGCGTACCAGTCACAAATTTGTGGTATCGAATTCTTCGACGAGGGGCCGGAGACTGAGCAAGACATCACGGACAAGCCCGATTGGGGCACTGGCGAGAAGTTCAACCTGCATGTTTGTGTGGCGGACACTGGGCCTGGTCTGACAGATGAGGAGCGGTCGATGCTGTTCCAGCGATTCCGGCAGACTTCGCCTAGAACACACGTCGAGTATGGAGGATCTGGGCTTGGTCTTTTCATCTCGCGGATGCTCACAGAACTACAAGGCGGTCAGATTGGCGTCATCAGTGAGAAAGGCGTCGGTAGTACATTCGCCTTCTACATCAAGAGCCGCAAATCTGCTGAGCCGCAGCTGCCCAGCCCATCTCTCCATAAGGAGGGGGCTGAATTTCTCACGATACAACCCACAATCGATCATGGGACTATAGATGTTCTGGTTGTCGAGGATAACCAGGTCAACCAGAAGGTGCTGGGCCGCCTGCTGAGGAACTCCGGCTTCAGGGCACACCTGGCGAATCATGGTGGCGAAGCGATCCAGAAGCTCCAGCGTTCAAGGCATTGGAACTACGAGGCTGGAATTGCCGAGGGCTACGGACCTTTGGGTCTGAGAGAAGATGAGGAGACCATCAATGTCTCAATCATACTCATGGACCTCGAGATGCCTGTCATGGACGGTACGACATGCGCGCGCACGATCCGGGAACTGGAGAAGCAGGGCGTGCTCACGGCACGCATCCCGATCATAGCAGTCACGGCGTACGTCAGGCCTGAGCAGATTGGGGAAGCGAGGGCCTCTGGGATGGTATGTATAAGCTTTTATGGGCTTCGGGAGGTCTTGTTCTCAATTACCTAAGCTGACCTGCAATGCCCCCTCTTACAGGACGACGTCGTGTCGAAGCCTTTCCGCGCCCGTGAACTGACGCCCAAGATCACGGAACTTCTACTTAATCCGCCGAATGGACAAACCCCGTACTCGCCTATGTCTATGGCCTCAACGGATGCCGATTCCGGTTTCTGAATCGACACTTCCAGCGTTCCCACATGAAGGGTTTTCTCTCGTTTGGCACCTCGGTCCCACGTCGACGGATTGGGGGCTTTCACGAAAAGGTGCCTGATTGCAAGTACAAATACTAATACAGAGGGACAAATGGCATGCCAGGGCGGGTGAAGATGAGACAGGAGCCACGAAAAGACGGTTTCAGGCGCAAAATTTTCCACGGAGCTCATCGCTCGGCGTTGGTGGACTACAACATCGCATGGTTACATCTTGGCGTTTACCAGAGCAGAGCTGAATATGCGGTTTCAAAACGGGAGTGTTGACAGGACTTTGATTGTTGGGGCCGGGCATTGATTGTACTTAGTTTCCTTCCATGTCATTGGCCCCGGTGTTACATCTCTATGACGCGAATCTCTTGGGAATGCGGGCATCGCGTCATGGGATTGCCCCGGAATCCGGGCAGGCGCCGCGGCGGATTTGCGACATGTGCCTTATCATCCAAACCTGCTATCAGGGCAACAGACTTGTTGGTTAGGCTGGTATTCTCGTCTTCTTTTGGTCAGCATGTTTGTGGAATTTCATTTCTCTTTTATGGGGCAGAGGATAGTGTACATATCGATACCCAGAGACGTTTACGAAGATGACGCGAATATTTTTATTTACTTACACATTTACATTTGGCGGGGGCACCTGATCGCAGGTTGGTTGTGATATAGAAACCTTCAAGTTGTGCTGCAATACAGCTGTGAAGCACACAATACCAGCTGTCAATCAATGTCCTCTGTGCTGCTTATGCAAGGCTGTTTATAGTTTCGGGTGATGTGACTATCTCGCCTGGTTGGGCGAGGACCTAGTTCATGGTGTATTAGTCTGCCTGTTTGTCTTGTTCTTCTATTGTTGTTGTCTTTCAGAAGCGAGCGTGTCTCTTCAACACCCGCCCTTCTAGGCTGTTCTACTTCCCCTCCACTTCCTCCTCTTCCCTTTCTTTACTTTTTCTTTTACTAGGAGCCAACCGATTTTCTCTCCCAGCTCCCCCATCCCTTTGGTTGAAACATAAGATAGCTATTTTGGGTCGTGTGTGCCTCACCGTGGAGGCTTTGTGGTCTCAGCCCTCGCAGGATTCTGACCCAGGGTGCTTGATGCCGAAGGAGGCGTGGCCCGCCTTTGGGGGGCCGCCTTAACCCCCCCCCCCCTCCGCGTGCTTCGGTCTCCGACCGTCGTCGATGGCGGGCTCCCATAGTTTACGGTGAGAACGAAAAAAGCGGAGACAGTGGTGTTGCTTTTGAGCCCGGCATTGGCTCCCCTGGTGATCGGGGCACCCTGAAATTCCTCCCCTCCAGCTGCACGAGGTCATGGGAGGCAGTGAGCGCGGTGCATTCCTGCACGTCTCTTGTGCATTTCAGGAGTGACCGCTTCGCCTCCCCGTGGGCTAGAGGGGGTTGGGGCACATCATAGAGATTCAGCCTGCTGTAACTGGGCGTTTCTGGGGGCCTCGTCGCATTCGAGCGGCGTGCCGGGCAACGCGCCGTGTTGTGGTTAAGAGACCCCCACCCGCTGGGGGCAGCGATGGCCGGCTTGATGGGCCGGGTCTGGATAATTGTCCCGTGGCGAGTGCTCTCACGGAGAGGCAAAGTCGACGGTGGAGGAGCAGGATGGGCCCGGGAGTGGCTCTGGCAATCCATTTGTGGTGCATCGTTCCGGGTAACGTTGTCGCTGGTGAGGCTCAAATGTATTCTAAACCAGTGTCCTCCCCTTGGGCGCATTGGCTATTACATCACGTTACATTGCCTCCCGCAGTGGGATTGGGCCTTCCGGCTGGCAGGACTCCAGGTTTGTAACACTCGTATTGGAAATGGCGTAAACAAGACCGTTGGGTAGATGGATGTCGTCAAAGCAGTGGTCCTATATCGTTTCGGAGTCGGCTTCGGCGCGATGTCAAGCTTCGGGACGTACAGTTCGAACTGCTGACATCGCGCATTTCACGTGGGTTTATATACACATGACAAAAACCGTGAACAATATGTTTTGATATTCAGAATCTCATCGAATCGCTACCACCCACTATCAGAACAGCGCCGGTGTTGAACAAAACCGCACCTTCCGTGTCTCCAGGGTATCAGCGCCGTGGTGGAAGATTGAACGCCTGGCGCCACATAATCTTTTCTCGTCAGAAGCTACAAACAAAACCCCAAAAATAGATAGACAGTCCCGCTCTGTCCCAGAAGAGAGTTGTCAAGGTACAACGCGGGAATATTATGGTGAGCAAAGCCGCAACCGGAAACACAGTGTCGGACTAAGCAAAGAACGCCATGGCCGCGGCCGTGGCGACCAGGGGCCACCAGCCGGCGGCCTGGGCCAGGTGCCTCAGCCCGGCGGCCGCGTTGGGCGAGTCGGTGCCGCCGCTGGCGGTGGTGCCGTTGGGCAGGGTGCCGTTGATGAGGATGGTCTCGGTGCCGTTGACGTCCCCGATGGCGACGAGGCTGCGGTTGAGGGAGTTGTAGGAGCCGTTGCCGACGACGCTGTCGATGTAGGTCTGGTTCGCGTTGTCGTCGCAGCCGCAGACCTGGTAGGGGTCGCAGGCGCAGGTCACGGGCTTGGTCTCGTTCTGGTTCGAGGACTGGTTGTGGTAGTTCCAGGGGTGCGCGTAGGGGTACATGTAGGGCGGGTGGTACCAGACGCCCGGCCAGAATGCGTAGGCCGCGAGCCCGCCCACCAGCACGAAGGGGACGATGCCGCCCGTCGAGCGCGAGCCGGCGCGGTAGGGGACCGTCGTGCCGCCGCCGTAGAACCGTCCGCCGCCGTACGCGGGTGCCGCGCCCGAGCCGGTCGTTGTTCTGCCGCCGGTGGAGGAGGACGAGGAGGCAGCGCCGCGGCCACTGCGGAGATGGATGCGTTAGTAAGGTGGTCTTTCTCTGGGGCTGCCGGAAATGGATCTTGCTTGCTAGCTTACCCTGAGGAGCCTGACGAGGAGCCTGAAGACGAGGACGAACTTCCCGAGGAACCTGTTTTGCCGGACGACGATGAGCTTCCGGAACTAGAGCCAGAGGAGGAGCTGCCGCTGCCAGATCCTGAAGACGAACTGCTGCCTGATGAACCCGATCCCGAACTTCCACCTCCCCTTCCACCTGAACCACCGCCTCTACGCTTCCATAGGTCGGTGTAGAGCGAGTCGTCGAAGTCGCGCTGTTGGTGTTGTGGCGTGGCGTCGAGCGATGATGTGAGGTCGGAGGTTTCGGGTATCGCAACGGCCGAGACGGCTGTCTGTAGGGCTGCGCCTACTGCGATGAGGGAGTCGATCCTCATGACTCTTTCGCGTGGGTGGTTAGGTTAAGCAAATCCAAAAGTAGGAGTGCGATGAATGGTAAACGAAGATTGCGAAGCGATTGCAGATGTCAGTGCGACGTCTGGGGGGGGGGGGTTAGAATCGGCTGTTTGGTTGGTTGGGTGATTGATCACAAGAAAAGGTTGTAGGATTAGAGTCTTGGGGCAGTCAAGACAAGTCAAAGAGTTATGGGCTGGGCAACAACACCAAGAGTAAGGGTGTTTCAAGAGTGCCGATTATGGAGGTCAAGTGGTCAGTCAGCCGTGAGATCAAACAAAATCATCCGAAGGGACCGCCGAGTCGCAAGTGGCGTTATCCCGGCATCATATACTCGTCGCCTCGGCGCATAGACCAAGTGTGCCATCTCCTCGATGTCATTCATTGCCAGAGGCCACCACCGGTCTCCCCAGTCTGCCCGGTTGGGGCTAGCAGCCAGCGCCATGGCGACAACTGCGCCATGCACACAGGCACGTACCTACCGCAGGTAGCCTAACCATGATCCTGATGGCAGGGCCTTGCTGGTCTGACTTGCATGCCTACCTAGGTAGGTACCGTGCATGCCTACAGCCTAAATGGTCTAGCACGCATCTCTCACCGCGCTGTCACCAACGAGCAGGTCCGCAGAGGGTCGGGCAGGATCGTGTGGTGCCTTCGCCAAGGCTGCTTATTGCATCATCGCGCTGGCTGATCGGCCATCGCAGAGGCCGCTTTGGGACTCAATTTGCGGCGACTCGCTTCTCTCGTCATTGTGCTGCGTTGGGAAGCAAGAAAACCCGGCCGTTAGAGGGCGTCCTGGATCAATCATCGTCCGCATCGAGATGGGTGACCTGTGTGTCCCTGAGAGGCGTTGAATGACGACGGAATTGGGTCAACGGGGACTCGTTGGCTGCAAGCATACAAAGAAGCATAAAACCCTACTGTACTTCTGAAGTCCGCCCGCTGCTCACTGCTCAGGGAACAAGCATACGCCCGCGTGTCCGACCGTCTGGCCACACTGGGCGAGCCTGTCCCGACTCCAGTTCGCCTGCAGTTCGCCTTCCGCCCGCCGATCTGGGGAAAGGCTGCACCGTGCTGTATGTACGCTACCTAGACTATCTAAAAGATCTGAGGGTGGAGTGAGATTTGTTTGGTCGGTTGCAAGGCAGCAAGGATGAGACGGTGAGGCTGTGCAAGATTCTCGAAACATTCTGGAATGCTTCGTAGGCTGTGCCTCGGTGCTCGAGTGCCTGTCGGTGCCTGTCAGACTGCAGGAGATACACACACTGACACAGGAGATCCTCGCGTGGCTGGGTCGCACAACTGGTCCGCCTAACCAACGACCATCTTCCCACTCCTCCAGCATCCCTCGAGGGCACCGCACTCACTGCCAGGCCCGCGTGCATCAACCTCAACTTCATCCTCAACACGTCCACCTCCTCCTTCCCACCCTCAATGTCACCCCGCGAGTGATCAACATCTAACCCACCACAGAGTTGGAGCATCTCAAATCCTTCGCGCCTCCCAAATCGTACGTGACAGGGCCGGCTTACTCGAGCACAGTCGCTCAGCCCCTTTCCTCCTCGGAGCTTGACCAATGGCGCATTCCAGCGACCGGAGTCTCCTTGACAGACTGAACGCACTAAAGCCGACGAGTGTCAACCTTGATCGCTCTACCAAGTAAACAAACAGTCCATGTTTTCTCCCCCTCCTAGCCATCACCACACCGTTCTCCGCACGGGCGGCCTCAGGCTGACTCTGACTTGCTGCTGCCTGGAACGAAAAGCGCCCTGAGCATTCCCGCAGCCGGAATCCAGCCCGCCGAGCCCCTGTCCAGGGAGGATGCCCTGACGGAACGGCTCCGGTCCCTGAGGAACAAGCGGGACCGCCTAGCATCAGAGTCCGGCGATCCCCCTCCGCCGTACACCGCATCATCGCCTGCCGCACTCGCACAGCCACCGCCTTCGACATCTGCCGGGGTCACCGGATCGGCTTCTCACGGGGATGAGGCCGGTAGACATCGATCTGGTGGCGACGACGAGGCCGCTGAGGGAGGTAGCCAGTCCTCAGGCGAGTATGATCACTACTTCGATGACGTCCTGCAGCCCCTCGACCTGGAGGACGATGAGGACGAAGACTCAGGTCCGGACGGCGGGGGAGGCGGGAGCGGCTCGTCGAAACGGGTAGAGGACCTGCTGGCCAAGCTCAAGGCGGACCCAGGGGCACAGCCTCCGATTCCTGCCGAGAGTAAGCCCGACGCAGCCAAGGCCAAGGACGAGGGCAGCGACGACGATGACTCCGAGGGCGAGGGCATGTCGCGCGAAGTGGAAAATGTCATCTCACGGGCCATGGACGAGCTAGAGCTCGATGGCTCCGCTTCTGATCCCGCGGAGGCTGATGCTACGGCGGGCGCGGGCGGGCGCGCTGCGGCATCGAAGGGTGATGATCATGGGCTTACACTCCCGACAGTCCCGTGGGATGCGGCTGGGAACAAGGAGCACGATGCCTCGCCAAAGCCCTCTCAATCAGGAGGCGATGACGGCGAGAACGACGGTGGGGCAGGCCTTTCCCTCCCAACAGTCCCCACAGAACTCGTCGACCCAGCTCCGACCTCAGGACCAGTCCCCAGCGGCGGGGACCCCTTCGAGTCCTCGATAGCAGCGCGCCTGGCGGCCCTCAAGGGCGCCGGCGCTCCCATAATCCACACCGACGCCCTGGGCCTGCCCTCGGCGCCGACCTTCCGCCCCGAGGACAACACGCCGGCGCCTAAGCGGTTGGTGGCAAGGTCGGGTTACACGGACGCGGACCAGAAGACGTGGTGCATCGTCTGCCTCGAGGACGGGACCATCCGGTGCCTGGGCTGTGACGACGACGGCGGCGGTGGGGACGTCTACTGCGCGCGGTGCTGGAAGGAGATGCATGTTGGCCCGTCGGCTGGGTATGATGAGCGCGGGCACGCCTGGGAAAAGTTTGACCCGAGGCGGGTGTGAGCCTGAGTACTCACTCGTATGCCTTGTCATGGGTTGCGTGACTACGTAGCCGCATATCCTGTTTGCTCCCTTTCTGGGCCTCTCGAGACTGGCTCCTGGCGGTCGTCGCATTTCCGTAGAACGGCACTTGAGGCTCATCTTACATGGAATCAAACTCTGGCTTCGGGTTTGTGCCAGCTTCATCTGATCCTCGCTCTGCCCAGCCTTCTATGACAGTCCCTGAGCTCAAGTGAAATTATTTTATGTGTGTCAACAGAACTCAATGTATCATCCACCATGTCGATGGCTCCAAATTTAATTGATCCTGGTTCGACCCCAAAGCTATCAGGTATCCCATCGACCAAATTCACTCCCCTATTTCGCCTTCTTCGAATCCACCAACGGACTTGTCTCGTCCCAGCCACCTCCACTGCTACCGGGAGAGTTGATGTGTAGTCTGGACCTCAGGCCCTGTCCCAGTCCTGCACTTCCGAGGCCGCCCAGAAGCGTATGGACCAGGTCCCTGGCAGTGGTCTTTGACTGCTGGCCGGCTTTCGTTGTTGGTTCAGAAGTCTCACGAGTCGTTATTACAACAGTCTTCTCGTCGAGTGACGTGGGGTCCAATTTCTCATCGGCGGATGATTGAGCAGGCGACAACCCCGTGGCATACTTGCTGATTGTGTACTTGGCCGGGTCCGAGAGGTCTTCAAAGTGTTTGTCCCTGACCTTGTCAATACCTCGCAAGACCTTCTTGCGCGTGTTGGCGTTGTAGTATTCCGGGTCGATAGGCTCTTCGTCAAAGAGCCCGATGGCAAGCTCCCGATCCTTCACCAAGGCTCTCGCCAAGCTCGGCCAGTCGCAGCATGCGATCAAACACTGGATGTCTTTGGCCCGGTCCGCACTTTGTGGCTCTGCCGCCGCTGTGACGAGTGTCTCCTGAACATGGTCCTGGTCAAGCATCATTTCCTCCAGCGGCCATGTAAAGAAATCATGGTACATCTGCCCTAGATCATCGCGCTGGCGGAAAATCCGTAGCTCAGTTGAGTGCCACTGGTCGACCTGATAAGGCTTCCCCGTGTAGACTTCGAGGAGTCTGTCGGTCAGGAATCGTTGGAAGAAAGAGATTTGCTGTGTGAGAAGGGCACGTGAGATGGGCTCCTGAAAGACCTTTGCCCAGTGTTCTGTGAGTCGATGGTGCACATTATCGAGTGCCTTAAGAAGGTCTGTATCGACACATGGTTGCTGAAACGCTTCGGAGTGCACCTTGGTTGCATGATTTATCTCTTTTCGAAGAAGAGGAGTTACATTTTCAAAGAGGAAGTAAGCGTAATAGCACGTACGATCTCTAGGATTCGCACTGACAACGTCCGCGGTGGTTTCTTTCATTGCGTTTGAAGTCAGGGGCAGTTGCCTGGACCAGCTTCTGTTTCGAAGTGCGGGGATAAGAGCTGGCACGCGTTAGGTACCAGTCACTGCTCGCTACATTACTGTGCCGCGGGCGGTTGGGTCATGATCAAAGCTTGCGGCTTATTATTCTCAGAAAACACTACTCTTCGGACCATAGGACACAGAGTGACAGTCTGTTAACGGATGAGGCTTGAGAGTACAAATATGAAAATGTTTATCTTACTTGAATGATCCTAGACACACTACCCATCAGGTGAGCCTATGAAAGTAGTCCCTGAAGAATCATTCGATTTTGCAGTCTCGTAAGTGGATATACCCATTCATAAGCAACTGAAAGGAAAACCCTTCCATGAGATTACAAAAATGCCAGACGTCAATGCAGGAAGTAGGAACGAGCATCAATGTTTCTATTGCATTTAAGAAGGTGATGGAATGCGTCGTTTGAAATGCAGGTGGACGACTATTCACAGCACTCTCTTTTCTGACCTCTATTAGTGGCAACAAATAGCGGCTAGTCTTGTCCTCGAGCCACCTGGAGACCTCTAATGACCACCTCATTGCTTGTGGTTTTCTTCCTCCCCTTCGATTCCATTCGACCCAAATTTGAGGACTGCAGAAATGCTCTTGAGCCTGAGAGTCGACCCCAAAAGAAGTGTCTCAAAGGTAATAGTCCGCAGTTTTATTGCCAACACCGCCACAGGCGACGATGGTAGTGCGCTTCATGATTCACCTTGGTAAATAAACAGACGCTGTCGGGAATGGTGGAGATGGGGGCCCCGATGAGCAGATGACAGTTTTGTGTTGGTGATGTATAGCGAGATGTTACTCAGGACTGGAATACTGAAAGCAAATGTATGGGTGCAACGATCACTTGTAGACCGGGTACCACGGCACGTTCTGGATCATGTGTGAAAAGCCGTGCAAAAGGACCTGAGCATTCCAACATCTCACGTAATTATTTCCAACCACCAGAACGTGCCCAGTATGCCTTTGGTTTACTGCTGGTGAAGCGGCTTGACAGCCTTGAGTATACTGGCATCGATGGGTTGCACAGACTGAAACCCAGTTCTTCCCGATGACAGTGTCTCTGACTGTCTCGGCTGTCGGCTGCCAAAGCACTGATTGTGCTCGGATACTAAGTAAGAGGTTTGACTCCCAATGGTCTTCGATACCGAAAGGGGCCAGACGCAGGATTCCAGCAGCCGAGGTGGTGCCATGGTGGACTCGACGGCTTCAGCCGGTGCATACGAGGCCATGTTCTTGCTAAGAGAAGAGAAGATAGATGCACCATTTCTGTGACATTAGACTCAGTACAGTATGCGTAGTCTTGCGGTAAGTTCAGAGCATGCAGAGCAAGAGTTGTAGCTGAGGCTCAGAGACGGCGAAGCATTTTCGAGACACCACTGCTCTCGGACCACGGCACGGGGAGCAGTGTCACGGCAGTTAAAGCAGGGGGTAAGCGACTGAGAGAATCTCGATGGGAGGCAATGTTGAGTGTGTCCTGCAGACGGGATGTTGTAGGCAGGATCGTGGTTGAGGAAGGAATTCATGTAATTACCACGTGCCCCGACGTGCTCACCCTAACGACAAACTGAGGTATACCAATATGCAAACGTGTTCCTCGTGTCTTCACCCCAACGCGCTTAATACAATAAAACAATACAATAAAATGCAAGCGACTCCTCCAAAACCAAGCAATCGATGTCAATGCCATCCTTCATGTTACCCATTCCTTCGTATCATTTTCTTCCGTTTTTGCGCCGGCTCGCCAATACCGTGTGTAGTTTTCCATTTTATCATGCAATTTAGCCTTCCTGCTCCAAGGATGAACGAGCCTGACGCGAATACTACTACGACCGCAGATACCAACCCGGCCTGCTGAGGAAAAAGTCGCTAGTTGGTTCCGTAGCCAGCGCCCGCCCCATTCCTATTGTCACCGGAGTCCTGACCCCTGGAACGGCCTGTGATATCTTGCCAGGTGGCGCCAAAGCGGCGGCCTGTGCTTGCCAGCAGACCTTCCTCCTCATCAGCCTCGGCCTCGTCGTCAATCTCCGCCAGATCCAGCTTGGGCGCTCGGAAGAGAGACGTGATGAAGACAATGAGGAAGATACCCAGGAACGCAAATTGGGCCCAGTAGTCCACGGCGCCAAAGACAGGCCAGTTGAGCGTCACACGGTTGAGGAATGTCGACATAACCGAGGGCGTGCACACTGCTTTAGAGGCCTGACTGTCGTCGAGCTCTGAGCAAGGCTTGATGAGCTCCTTGTGGTCACTGCAATCGGGCTGCTCACCAGGGTGGCGAGGTGGGTTGTCGCAGTACAACTGGGTGCCAAATGTGGAATACTCGGGTGCGACCATGGCGAATATGGAGTAATTAATGGCGAGGATGATGAGCGCCAACATAACGGTAGCGATCAGCAGGGCTTGGGGCGTGGTTCGACCCCTCTTGATTTGGAAGATGCGGATCCAGAGGAAGCGGATGCCAATTGCCGCGATGCCACTGATTGAGCTGCTGAAGAAGAACAAGATGAGGAGGGCCATCAGGATGTAATCGACAGGGAATGCGTTGGCCGTCTTAACAAAGAGCCAGTTGATGGGTTGGAAGACGTTTATGTGGCCCAGAATGTAGCCACATCGCGCTTTGCAAATAGAGTTTGCAGCCTTGTCAATACCAGTGATGAGCATGGAGACCCAGACCAATACAGCGAGAAGCAAGAGCAGAATGCCACCGACGAGCTTGAGGGGACGGAAGACAGCCTCTGTCTTGAGCCAAGCCCGGTAGATCCAGCTCTGCCCTTCGCCACGCGCCTCAGAAGCAAGTCTTTGACGGCGCACCAAAGTTTGCTCTTCCCGGATCAAGATATCCATCTCGCGCTGGTCCTTCGGGGGCAGACCATCTGGACGGCCAGTGTTGCGCAACTCCAGCTGTCTCTGTCGCTCCCTGTTGCTCTCCAGCTGTGATTCTGTTGTCTCCGACAGCTGTGGAGCCGAGATCGAGGGGGCAGATTTGATGAGAGACACTGGAAGAAGCGCCAGGCCGGCACCAGTGTACAAGACGTATATCAGTGTACCGAGTGTTATCAACAATCCAAGGCCAAATGTCAATGCCTTCTCACCATTGTTCTCTGACAATAGGTTCTTGAAGTAGTCGAGGTCCAGATGACGGCCTTCCTTCCTGCCGGCGGCCGGGACAAAGAAGCCGATGAGGAAAAGGATAACCACGAGCACGATGAATCCCAGCGTGTACTTAAAGGCGCCCCAGAGCTTAGCTCCAACGCCTCTTGTTCCCTCCTCCTCCTCGACCTCGTCGTATTCCTCGTACCAAAAGTATGAGAAAGGGATAACCAGAAGACATAGTAGGGCATCAAAGCTGTACAGCGAGTAGTAGACGACCCTGAGAGTGAATAGGATGTTCTCGACCCGCGCAGGGGTGGCCCAGTCCTTCTTCGCACCGAGTGAGGACGAGGTCGTTGCGGAGACCAGGGCAATATCGACTGGCAGCAGCAGGACGGTCGCAAGTAGGGAGGTGATGCTGATGATGGCGACGATGGTGACAATAACGGATCGTTCGCGAGGGGCCTGCCAGGTAAGAGTCGTAATTACGGCTGCGATGAGAGCGAGGACGACTGCGATCGCGTAGGCGACCCAGATCAGGCTGATCTGCAGGTAGCCTGCAGAAGCCATGTTGTGATGGTTTTCTTAGTTCCTTGAGAAATCAGATGAGTGGTTCTTTGGATCAGACATGGAGTGTTTGGAGGGGAATAGGAAAGTAAACAGAGGTTGACAAAAGGAGTGGTGTTGATGATGCGAGTTATAGCATTCCAGCGCCAGTTGCTCGGAAGCTCCCCCCTTCTATTACGTTGCCCACCCTGGTCATGGAGACGTCACTGCACCACCAGAAACAGGGAGCTTGGGCCACCAAGACCCTTTCTCGTCTAGCTCGTCTGGCACCAGCACAGGGGTGGTGCTCAGCTGCAGAGATTCACAAGTGCGATCCCGGCAGGCAACTCAGCTGTTTCCAATCGCATCACCAAGAGAGCATATTCGAGTCGCATCTTACTTTTGTTTCGAAAGAGCCCAGACTTGATGCCAAACATCATCAATCACCAACTTCTAGATATTAGAAGCCTGGGACCAATCCGGACCCCCATGCCGTCGCCAGCTGATTCTCATATAATATGAGAAGTTGCGAGCCGCAATGCAGTGCTACTCAGAACTGACGCCGCCGACGGCCGTCTCCCACTCCATCGCCCTCCCTTTACTCTCGGCGCAAAGCAACAATCTCGTCGTCGCAAAAGCTTCAGTACTCCAGATATTCGAGACCAAGATCGTCACATCCGAAGTCGACGTCCCTCAGGCCTCGAATCTTCACTCGACTAAGCCCAATACCCACTACGATAGTCGAATCAACGATGACGAGGGACTCGAGTCCTCCTTCCTCGGCGGCGATGCTGCCTTCCAGAAAGCCGATCGCGCCCACAATACCAAGCTCGTTCTCGTTGCAGAGGTCTCTGTGTCTGGAACTGTCACTGGGCTGGCGAGGATCAAGACCAAGAACACCGTGTCAGGGGGCGAAGCGCTGCTGGTCCAGTTCAAAGACGCCAAGCTGAGTCTGCTGGAATGGGACCCGGAGCGGCACGACCTGACCACCATTTCGATCCATTACTATGAGCAGGAGGACCTCCAAGGAAGCCCATGGGCACCTCCGCTGAATGACTGCGTCAACTTCCTGGCTGCTGATCCTGGGAGCAGGTGCGCCGCCCTGAAGTTTGGCTCCAGGAACCTCGCCATCTTGCCTTTCAAACAGGCTGATGAGGAAGACATTGCAATGGATGACTGGGATGAGGAACTTGATGGCCCAAGACCGGTGAAACAAGACCTGCCCTCGGCGGTTGTAAATGGCATTAGCAACATAGAAGACACCCCGTATTCACCGTCATTTGTCCTTCGAACATCCCGTCTCGATCCCAACCTGATCCATCCTATTGATCTCGCCTTCCTGCACGAGTATAGAGAGCCAACCTTTGGCATTTTATCCTCGAAGCTGGCTCCTTCAGCATCAGTGGGCCGGAAGGATCATCTTTCCTTCATGGTGTTCAATCTAGACATTCAACAAGCGTCCCACACCCCTATCTTGTCCGTCGGTGGGCTGCCTCAAGATCTGTTCAGGGTCATTGCTGTGCCCGCTCCCGTTGGTGGTGCCCTCCTTGTCGGGGCCAACGAGCTGATCCACATAGATCAGTCAGGCGCAACGAATGGGGTGGGGGTGAACCCCTTCACGAAGCAGTGCACAGATTTTACTCTGAACGACCAGTCCAGTCTTGGTTTGCGCCTCGAAGGATGCTCCCTTGATTTCATTTCACCTGAGACGGGGCAAATGCTTCTTGTTCTGTCTGATGGCCGCCTGGCGACTCTGGACTTCCAGGTGGACGGACGTAGAGTGTCTGGCCTCCTGCTCAAGCTCGTCGCTCCTGAATCAGGGGGCAACATCATTCCATATCGGGTATCTTGCCTCAGTCGCCTGGGCAGAAACACAATCTTTGCGGGCAGCGAAGAAGGAGACTCGGTTGTTTTTGGTTGGACCCGCAAACAGGGCCAGACTTCAAGGAGAAAACCACGACCTCAGGACGCGTCAGTGGACCTTGAAGACCTGGAAGAGGAAGATTTCGAGGATGAAGACGATCTTTACGCGGACACTCCGGCAGTTACCCAGGCCGCAAACGGCATTGCTGCAGCGAAAGGCGGCGAGGTGGTTTTCAGGATTCATGACAAGTTCACGAGTATTGCACCAATCCGAGACATCACATACGGAAAAGCATCATTCCCGAGCGACGATGAAGAGGAGCAGAACATGTCCGGGGTGCGGAGCGACCTGCAACTCGTTGCAGCTGTGGGCACTGGCCGCGCTGGGTCATTGGCAATAATGAACCGCGAAATACAGCCTAAGGTCGTCGGTCGATTTGAGTTCCCTGAAGCTCGGGGAGTATGGACTATGAATGCACAAAAGCCTGTGCCAAAGTCCTTACAAGCAGAGAAGGGCGGCGCAGCCGTAGGAAACGACTACGATCCCTCTGCACAGTACGACAGATTCATGATTGTGGCAAAAGTCGATCTAGACAACTACGAGACATCAGATGTCTACGCTCTGACTGCCGCTGGTTTTGAGTCGTTAACTGGTACCGAATTCGAGCCGGCTGCAGGTTTTACTGTCGAAGCTGGGATGATGGCAAATCATAGACGGATCATACAGGTCTTGAAATCAGAAGTCCGCATTTATGATGGAGGTAAGATACTGACTCCTGGCGGACAAACTCGACAAATTGGAACAATTATGTTAACCTCTTTCAGATCTTGGGTTGGCTATGATTCTCCCCATGGAGGACGAAGAAACTGGAGCCGAACCTAGAGTCCTGAGTGCGAGCATCTGTGACCCATATCTTCTTCTCATCAGGGACGACTCGAGCGCACTCGTTGCAGAAATGAGTTCTGACGATGAGCTGGAGGAGCTGGAGAAGCCAGAGGGAAAGCTTCGATCGACGAAATGGGTTTCTGGTTGCCTGTACGCCGACAACACCGGAATTTTCGGTGATCCACTACAGCAAAATGGACAGAGACGAATCTTCATTCTTGCTTAGTTCGACCGGCTCCTTCCAGGTAATTTGCCAAATTCTGCTATTGGCTGTGAAGGCTTACGACTAACATCACCTAGATATATGCTCTTCCGGATTTGTCTGCGCCGGTGTACAGCACTGAGGGGCTTTGCTATATACCTCCAATACTGACTCCTGAGTGGGTTGTTCGGAGAGGCGCTGCGAAGGAGACCGTGACCGAAATCCTAATGGCAGATTTAGGAGACACGACTTCCAAGACACCCCACCTCATAGTGAGTTCAGGCTGGTCATCCCTCGTGTGTAGCTTGCTCTGACTTATATTTACAGCTCCGCCATGCCAATGACGACCTCACGATCTACGAGCCACACCGAAATTCCAAATCCAATGCCAACGACCTCACGAGTTCACTGTTCATCCGAAAAGTTACCAATCAGTCCTTTGCGAAGAGCATTGAAGAGCCGACAGATGATGATGATACCACCGACGAGCCTCGGAAGATGCCGCTGCGGGCGATAGATAACGTTGGTGGCTATAGCACTGTCTTTCTTCCCGGCTCCTCACCGAGCTTCATCATTAAGTCTTCGAAATCGACGCCGAAAGTGATCGGCATTCAGGGCACAGGCGTCAGGACTCTGAGCTCCTTTCACACCGAAGGTTGCGAAAGGGGGTTCATATACGCGGACTCCGAGGGCATGTCCCGTGTCACACAGCTCCCTACCGACTGCACATTCTCAGAGGTAGGTATGTCACTTCAGAAGGTTCCTCTGGGGGCCGATACAGACTCAGTAGCATTCAACTCCCGCGCTGAGGTGTACGCCATCGGATGCAATACTGAAGAGGAATTCGAGCTCCCGAAAGACGAGGACAGCAATCCGCAACAAGCCCCGACTTGGATGAAGGAGAAGATCACGTTCAAGCCAGTAGCTGAGCGTGGCACTTTGAAGCTCATCACACCGCATACTTGGACTGTCATTGACGAGGTCGAGATGGAGCCGTGCGAGATAGTCACCTGCGTCAAAGCTCTGAACTTGGAGATCTCCGAAACAACACACGAACGGAGTGAGCTAATCGTCGTCGGCACCGCCATCTCTCGGGGTGAGGACCTCCCCATTCGCGGCCGAATCTATGTCTACGATGTTGCCACCGTTATCCCTGAGCCCGGCCGTCCAGAGACAGACAAGAAATTCAAGCTGGTTGCCAAAGAAGACATACCTAGGGGCGGTGTCACGGCTATCTCTGGCGTGGGAACTCAGGGGTTTGTCCTAGTCGTGCATGGCCAGAAGTGTACAGTGCGCGGCCTTAAGGAAGACGGATCACTACTTCCAGTTGCCTTCATGGACATGAGCAACTACGTCACGAGCGTCAAGGAGATACCGAGCACAGGCCTCCTGGCTATGTCAGATGCCTTCAAGGGAGTGTGGTTCACAGGCTACACCGAAGAGCCATACAAGATGATGCTCTTTGGCAAGAGCAATACGAAGTTGGAGGTCTTGAACTGTGAATTTGTGCCAGACGGCAAGGATCTTTTCATCCTGGCTGTCGACGTGGATGCGAATATCCACATCTTCCAGTTCGATCCTGAACGTAAGTCTTTGTTTCGTCCTCGTGTGCTGATTATTTGCTGACCAAATGACAGACCCAAAATCCCTTCAAGGCCATCTTCTTTTGCACCGAACATCATTCAACGTGGGAGCGCACCTGCCTGTCAAGTCATTGCTGCTACCACGGGTGCCTCTTGCCAACTCGCAGCCGCAAGAGAATGGACATCTCACCAACGGCAACACAGCGAACACCGTCCCTCCTCACACTATCCTCTTCGCGTCGCCCACCGGTTCCCTGGCCACACTTACATCTGTATCCGAAACATCATATCGGCGCCTTTCATCACTTATGTCACAGCTCATCAACACCCTGCCCCACCCGGCGGGCCTCAACCCCAAGGCTTACCGCATGCCGCCGTCGGCGACGCAGACGAAGGCCAGCATGGGGCCAGGTGTTGACGCAGGAGGCGGCCGCAACATTGTCGACGGCGCGGTGCTGGCGAGGTGGATGGAGCTTGCGAGCGGCAGGAGGGCGGAGATTGCGGGACGTGTTGGATACTCGGGATCCGAGGAGGTGAGGGCCGACCTGGAAGGTGTGTTGGGTTGGAGCGGGCTGGGCTACTTCTAGAAGATGCCACATGCTTGCCAAATCTCTTGGACACGTGATATCGGCCGGTGGTCGTGGGTGTTTCAGGCATTTGAGGAACGGGTCCCGTTCAGAACCGATAGAGCCTGAGAAGGAAGGTCTCGGGGTGCACTCGACATTGGTGCCAGATGGCATGCAGCGCCTTGGGATATTTCCCTGCTGCAACTTCATATCAGAAAGGGTTACTTCAGCATTTCAGGCCATTGCGAAGGTCTTACGTCCTCGCTTATTGAAAATATTCCTGTACTTCCACACAGGCTTCTCACGGTTTTCATTCTCCTTTGACTTGTGGCCTCGCATGGACAATGCCGAAAACAAGCATATCAGCACGGATCAGATGTATGCCTCGAAATCATTCGTTGGGTATCTGCCCCCAACCCCCGCACTTCTGATTCAGTTCAGCCGTGTGAGACTATACAAGTGCTCGATGCTCATCGTTCACGTGTGTCACGATGCAACTCTCGCGAATTGGACGGCGAGGTTCTTAAGCTGTGACTACCTCAGACACGATGACCCTCTAGTCCTTATTTTCAACCTGCTTCAACGCCTCTTTATCCGCCTTGGACTGCACCGGCGTGTCCACCATGAGCGTAAGCAGTGACAAGCCGACCTCAGCAGCAGCCAGCACGGTCGTCTCCCCGGGATTATCGTAGGCCGGGGCAACCTCCACAACATCAGCGCCGATAACCTTCAACCCAGACAGACCATCGAGAATGGTCAAAAGCTCACGGCTCGTCCAGCCGCCCGGCTCAGCCGTCCCTGTGGCGGGCGCATATGCCGGGTCCAAGACGTCAATGTCGACGCTGATGTAGACGTTCGAGTCCCCGACGCGCTCCCTGATCTGCGCGACGACCCCATCCGCGCCGAGCTTGTCGATCGCGCGCGCGGTGATGATGTCGAACCCGCAGCGGGCGTCGTTGCGGATGTCGCCCTTGGGCCGCACCACAGGGGCGCGGATCCCCGCGTGCACCGACGTGTTGCGGATGAGCCCCTCCTCGTGCGCGATGTGCAGGAAGGTGCCGTGGTTGACGCCCGCGTAGTCGGACAGCCCGCCGCCCAGCACGGCCGGGTCCCACGTGTCGATGTGGGAGTCGAAGTGGATGACCGACACGTCGCCCCAGCGCCCGTGGGTCGACCGCAGCGCGCTCAGCGTCGTCGTGTGGTCGCCGCCCAGGGTGAGGATGCGCGGCGTCGAGGACACGCTCGCGTTGGCCGCCCGCCGCCCGGAGATGACCCTGTGCGCCTTGTCCAGCTGCCGCAGGGCGACGGTGTTGTCGAGAAAGGTCATCTGCGCGTCGCCCGTGTCCACGACCTTGGCCCATGACTGCAGCGGGGTCTCCCCGGTGTAGACGCTCGTCTCTCCTGGCCATTTGCGCTGGCTGCCGGTCCTGATACCCTGGGGTCCGAATCGAGCCCCCGGCCGGCCGGTCGTGCCTGTGTCAAACGGGGCGCCGAGGATGGCGATGTCATACTTGGCATCCTGGCGCTGTGCCTCCTCGTCTGAGAAGCAGTTCACGTATGGCAGGTTGGCGAAGGTCTTGAGGCCGTGGAACTGCGAGCCCGTCACGATGTCGATGTCATCGTCGCGGACGGGTGCCCAGGCCAGCGGGTGCTGCTGCCCATTCCCGTGAGAGTAGCCCAGTGCCTCTGGCGGGGGGTTGTTGCGGGGCAGCTGCCAAGCCGTGGTTGATGCTGTTGCTCCGAGCAGGGCGGTCAGCCGTGTCAGTGTCGCTGCAGGACTCATGGTGAGATTGGCTTCTTTGTGTGACCTGGAGGATCTCGGAGCCGCCAATCTTCTCAGCAGATCTTCTGATTCAGGCTTCACAAAAGAGCCAGAGGCCCCACGTATGACGATTGCATCTGCCCGATAAGCCGGAGACTATCGAGTTCCGGCAGATGACGTGGGTCAGGATTAACGGCGTGGCATGAGCAAACTATCTACACTGCAGCGGTAACAACAGATCTTGTGCTGGCCCAAGACATCAAGCAGATTGCCCTGGTCTTGGAACTTCTGCTGTGAGCACTGTTCTACATAAGATCTGGAAACCTTATCGGGCCGAGTAACTCAATTCATGACGTTGACACATCGTGACAGCCCAGCTAAAATAGACTTGATGTTCCCGTGAAGACGGCGCTATTTTATGAATCCGTCCAGCCCCAATGGGGTGCGGCCAGGCTGCAGTGGTAGCCGAGCTTATTTTACCGGCCGGGTCAAGCAGCAACAGTTAATCCCAGGACCATCCGGCTGTTTTTATATTGTCGAAACATTGGCCCAAGTGGCCATATTCCATGCAGATTTGGTGTAATGAAAAATGCCTGAACTACTTCCAGGTTAAAAGCATGGAGGTCCACTGCTTCTCGGTCCCAGGCGTCGATGCCCAAAATTCATGAAGGGCGCACCTCTAAACACACGTGTGGTCTCGTGGAGGCTTCCCGGGTCCCTGATCCTGGTCTACCCCAGAATCTGGGTGGGCAAACGCTTAGCTTAGCCCCTGAGAGTGCCCCACAGCTCCACATCCCTCTTCCTGTGTCCTAACATAGCTCGAGCCTGATTCGGCCTCTACACGACCACGGTAGGGCCTCGAGACCCGGAAGCTGGCTGCCCTTCGTCAGCCGCTGCTGGTATCATGGACAACTCCCTCAGAGGGCCCAGCAAGATCAGGAAACGAGCAGCAAAGGCATGCCTCGCCTGTCGAGCACGCAAGGTCGGTTCTCGGGCCTCCAGTTCAACTCACAACCACTGACCAATCCCACAAGGTTCGCTGCGATGTCTCGCAAAGGGGCAGGCCGTGTATGAACTGCTACCTGGACAACGAGACATGCGTTGTCACCAGCCGGGCAACCCGACGGTATGTATATCTTCTTTCACCGGCGGGAACACAGCTGATGAAGGTATACGTGCAGCCGAAAGCAGAAAGATGACGGGAGCAATGTCGGCGCGTCAGTGACAAGTATCGAGCCCTCCAATGACTCGCAGCGGCGCGGCTCGGGGGAGTCGACGGCAGCCGTGGAGCAGGTTCGAGACGCGAACATGAGCCCTGGCACCGCGTCAGACGCCGGGAGTGAGAACCTCCACGGTGGCCCAACTGCCTTCCATGAGCCTCCCAAGGGGACCGTGACGGGGAGCAACGGCGGGAGGCCGGCTGTTCACTACGCCGAAACCAGCACACAACGGATGATCCCAATGCAATATGCTCCAATGCCGGCACCACCTGTGCAGCACTATCCGCCCGCCCGAGCAGGGCTCCAGTGGAGCGGGGAGCAGAGCACGAGGTTCGGCGCCGACATCACGTACACGTACTACCCGTTCATCGAGGTGAACAACCTCTCGGCCATCCCGCCTCAGGACGTCAACTACCTGGACCTGCAGGGCTGCCTGCGAGTGCCAACCAAGACGATTCTGGACGAGTTTGTCAAGCAGTTCTTCCTCCACGTGCATCCCATCATGCCATTGCTGAATGAGGGGGACTTCTGGGAGATGTACGCTTCCCAGTCCCAGGGAACGCACGTGTCGACGAGGATATCACTTCTCATGATCCACGCCATGTTGTTCTCTGTTTGTGGTGTAAGTTTGAGACTAACGTCCGCGCCGAGGCCGTTGCTGACTTCGCTTGTTTAGTATGTATCTCGGAATAGCATCAAGGCTCTGGGGTTCCCAGATGTCAAAGTGGCCAGGTCTGCGTTCTACCGCAGAGCAAAGGTGAGTGAGATGGGGAATTTCTTCCCACAGGTCGAAGCGCTGACTTGTGCCGCAGCTTCTCTTCGATTTCGGAAGCGAGTACAGCCCTATAGCAGTCGCCCAAGCCACACTCTTGCTGTCATCATGGTCGCCAAATCCGAGTGGCAACAACACCCGTGCCAGTAGCAGCTGGCTTAGCATTTCGATCCAGCAAGCGAAAATCGCCGGCGCTCACCGGTACTCCTCACTACACCAGACCCAGTGGCCCGAGTCCCAGCGATCACGGGTGCTCAAGCACCAGAATGACCTCAAGAGGCTTTGGTGGTGTATCGTCCTCCGTGACCGGATCCTATCTCTGAGTTATCGTACATGTATACAAGTCACCAGAGCACATTTCGATTTTGATGCCGAGGCGCATGCACCTCTCAGCTTCGCGGACCTGGCGAGTGAGATCGAGCGGAGCCGAGTGTACAATTCGGGGACGAAGAAGTCTCTGATCGAGATGCTGGCTCATCACATCCAGCTTATGGTGGCGCTCACAGACCTGCTGGTGCTCGTTTGGCCCCTAGACGAAGCACCGCAGTGGGCCAGGAGATATGGGGAAGAAGAAGCAGCCAAGATCGAGCGGTGTAAAGGCCAGTTGAGGAGCTGGTATCAACGATCTACGGCGAGGTTCCCCATGCCAGGGGACGGAATAAGAGCAAGGTCGGGTGCCGCTGACGGCAGTGGCCGAGGGGCCGAGTTCCACCACGATTCAGTCGTGTTATACACCAATCTGATGTACATCGCCTACCAGTAAGTGTACCGAGCACTGGAGTCGACTTCATGCAGCTGACAGACCGGTGGTAGTTCTGCTATGACACGGTTGTGTCACCTTGAGTGTCTCCAATTGACACTGGCGGCAATATCAACGAGATCGGGCGGCACGTTGCCAGATCCATCTGCATTGGCCAAGAACGGATTGGAGATACGGGAAGCAGCTTCTGGAGCTGTACGGTGTCTCAGGGAGCTCATACAGCTCCGCTTGTCGAGGTGGCTACCGCTCAGTTCGTACGTACACAAGCCGTCCTTGACGCCCCCTCGTGAATCCGGAGCTAACATGTGTTTAGAACTTCTTGCACATCACTTCCCCTGATACTACACGTCGTCGATGCGAAGCTGCCGTCTCAGGTCGGCCCCAAGCTGCCCAGTCTTCACGACCTCGTCGAAGCCGTGAGGAGCTACCAGTCAGCCCCGGACAGCTTGGACTGGATGTACGACGCAGTCCGGGGCATCGTCAGCCTATCCCAACTCCAAGACCCGGGCCAGATATCAAGCCCGTCCCTGACCGCCGAGAACCTGGGCGCAGTCAACAGCACCTCGGCGGCTACATCGGAGTTCGCATGCCACCCCAGCGTGCACCTGCGCCTCGCCCTGGTGATGGACTCGGACCTGAAGAGGAGCAAGTCCCTGAACACGCGGGACCTGTCCGCGGGGATCGCGAGGCTGTTCTCGAGCGACAGCGTCAACCGCATCAAGGCGCTCCTCAGCCAGGTGCCCCAGCAGAAACACACGCCCTCGGCCGGCGGGTCCTCGCGGATGCAGTCCGGCTCCAGCAACCCGGACAACACCTTGAGGAAGCAGGCGCTGGCCGACTGGGGCCAGTTCGACCAGTCCATGATCTTCGCCATCGAGCTGGGCCTCGTGCCCGCGCAGCCGGCCGCGGGCGGCAGCGACAGCGAGGACTCGGCGAGCGCCATGTCGGTCGGTTCCGAGGATTACGACAACGCGGCCCCGGCGGGGTCTTCCGGGGGGCTGCCTCACCGCGTGGTCCACAGCAAGGACTGGAAGGAGGTCGCGGGCCAGGCGTTTGCCGAGACCGGGGACAATGCCGAGAGGGACGTGCTGGGTGCTTTTATCTTCAGGGACCAGCCGCCTGGGGCCGAAGCAGGGCATTATGTGATCGATGAAGATGACGGGGAGAGTGGCGACGGCGGTAATGGAGGATCGACGGTTCGCGAGGCGCGTGTACAGTCGACACACGGCGATGGCGATAAGGAGACCACCGATGCTTCACACCCTGGGACCGGTCTACTTATTTAATTAGGTGTTTTTCCTGTTAAGACCAGTCCAACGGCCGAACAACGGCTGTTCGCGTGTCTGGAAACCGCCAAACCTAACTACCTGGCAATCAACTTTCTCTAATTATTATTTTATAAAAAAGCTTAAATTAATTCTTAATAATCTTTAAATCTTTATAAGAAGCTTTTTAATAATTATAAGAATAATTAAACTTAATTTTTAAGCTAAATTATATATTTATAAAGCATTAAGCTTAATATTTATTAATAAATTTAATATTATATAATGTTAATAAAAAATTAGCTATATTTTTAATATTAAAAAATTATAATAAAAATCCTTAAATATTTTGCTTAATTATATATTAAATAAATATTTATTTTTTAATTTAATTAAGTTTATATTAATTAATATATATTTTTTTATAATATTATTATTTATTTATTTAATAATATAACAAAATTTGAAAAATATAAAAAATCTTAATAATTTAAGTTATAAATATAAGTTTTATACAATTTTTTTAAATGTCTTGGGCGCTGCGGGCAGGGTGGCTGGCAGTTGGGCTGCGGCAGGCAACATACGCGCAGACCACCTGCAGCCAGGAGGCCCTTAGCTTTTAAACCTTAGCTGCCATCGGAGGAACCCTTTCCTCCCTTTCTCTTTTCTTAGCCAGACGAGGTCTTATTTAGAATTCTATAATATTGAGCAAGACTTGAGAGCTTTGTCTCTTGTATGTCCCTCCCGTGACATTAAAGTTTTTAATTACTTAATTAATTAAAATAATTTTATCTTTTTTTTAAATAAAAAAGTATAATAAATTATTATTTTTAATATATTAAATGTTTAAATAAGTAAATTAAAGCAAGATTAATTTAAAAAAAGAAAATATAATTATTATTTAAAAATATCTTTTTTATTAAAAGTTATTTAATTTAAAGTTATATTATATATATTTTAATTACTTTAAATTAATTAAATTAATTAAAAATAAGAAATTAAGAGCGGATAATATTAATTAATATTAAATTAAATTAATTCCTTTATATTAAATAAATATTAAAATTAATTAAAGTTAATAAATATAATAAAAATTTATTATAAGGTAATATTTATTATTTAATGATAAATTATATTATATAATTTTAATTATTTTAATTATTAAGTTTTAATAAAAATATTATAAAATTATTTATATTTAAATAATTAATTATAATTTTATAATAATTAAAATAATTAAACTTTTAATTATTAAATTTTTTATTATTTATATAATAAAATTTTTATAATTTATAATTAATATTAATAATTAATATAATAATTATTCAATTTAATATAAAAGTTAGTTTTAATTTATAAATTTTAATATTTAAAGGTATTTATTATAATATTTATTATAAATTTATTATAAAACCGTTTAACTGCGGTATATTTACCGTTAGTTGGATCTGATAATCTCCATAATGGCTGATCGTTGAGCTAGTATTTAACCCAATATCGCCTAACCGCTCCCAAGGATATTTCGACACATCCCCAAGGCTTAAATGTTTTTACCCAGTCAATATATTCACGGTTTTGTTGTCAAGGCGTTTGCTTTTCAGCCGTCGGGGACACTTGGGCATTCATGGACTGGCGCAGGCCAGAACAACGGCGGCAGCCACTAACTCAACGTCAGTCTGTGAAGTTGGCAGAAACGGCGAGAAAGGAGAGAAAGTGAGGTGACGTTGCTACTTGCGTCCGAGACACACGCCATTGGAGCCGGGACTTCGGTGCTAGATAGCAACCCAGTTCAGTCCTGCCGGAAAGCGCTTGGAAAGACATCGGGTGTGTGACACGGAGAATTAGGGGTGTGTGACTTCACCTGACATAACACGTCACACACAGGAGTCCGTGAGCGCCACTCGGGGTCTCCCGTCGCGGTATAGCAACGAACGAGTGGTGTCTGGATTATAAGCAGATGACGCGGCGTTGCACCATCCCGACCGGGTCCAGGAAATAGAGTATGGAAGAGATGACGGCTTGTTTAGACTGGGATAAGGCGGACAAGCGCGTTCAGGTTATCGTCGACGACTGCGGAGACGGAAACCGTGGGCACAGGGGTATGGACTACATCAGGAAGGTGGTGGACAGAGAGATGGGGTTGGACTCGGTGGAGAATAGGGGCGTTTGAAGAAGCAGAATGAACCACTCAAATATCTACTGCCAGTTGAGTTCCTCGATGCGGTCAAGGAAGTGCGCACCATTCCGGTAGAAAAAACCCCTCACGCTCCGAGGCCCCTCTTCCGCCACGCCACTGGAGGCTGCGTATCTCCTTAATCCGTCGTGATGTCCGAGAGACAGCCTCTGCCGTTGTCATGAGGTCTTCGACATCTCACGCCTTGAGAATCTTGACCAGCTCAGCAACGATGGCATCTCCTGCTTCTGCGGTGCCCGTGCTGCCGCCCATGTCCTTGGTTCTCAGCCCGGCGTCGATGGCGGCGCGGACCGCGTCCTCGACGATTTTAGCCTCGTGGGCGAGATTCAGAGAGTACCGGAACATCATGGCCACGGAAAGGATGGTGCCAATGGGATTCTGGAAATGATGTCAGCTCTGTACTTGCAGCGAATGGATAGGAATGGCCCAAAACGGGGTCTTGACGCACGACAATCCCTTTCCCTGATATGTCCGGCGCGCTACCTGTCATCTGCGTTAGCGACTGATGTCCACATGAGGGCTCGAACAGGATAGGAGTCTCACCATGAATCGGTTCACATATAGAAGGCACTGCAGAGCTCGGAATCCCGCAGAGACTCGCGCTCGGGAGGAGCCCTATGCTTCCAGCTATGGCACTCGCCTCGTCGCTGAGAATATCCCCTGAAACTTCATTAGCTAAACCGCCTTCGAGGTGGACCAAGGGCCTCGCTCACCTGCCAAGTTTGGCGCTATTATTACGCCATTCAGCTGCGTCGGGTTCTTGACCATAATCATGGCCGCGCTGTCAATAAGCTGATGCTCAACCTTCAGATCAGGGAACTCGTTTTTGAAGACCTCCTCAACGACACTACGCCAGAGTCTGCTTGTCGCCAGCACGTTTGCCTTGTCTAGCGAGATAACCCGCGAGTCTCCCCTAGTCCTGGCCAGGTAGCCGCTCAACCGCGCGATACGCTCGATTTCTGGTTTCGTGTAAACAGTAGTGTCGAACGCATTAAGCCCATCGTACTCTTTTCGCTCTCCGAAATACAGGCCTGAGGTTAACTCTCGGACTAACATCATGTCGGTGCCGCGGCAGACGGACGCCTTCAGGGGGGAGGACTCGACGAGGGCGTCGGACGCGAAGAAGCAGGGACGGAGGTTTCCATAGGCGCACATCTCACTGCGTAGCTTTAGGAGGCCCTGCTCCGGGCGGACGGCGCCGGTGCCCCATTCAGGGCCGCCGATGGCGCCAAGGAGCACGGCGTCGGCGGCTTTGGCGGCGGCGAGGGCCTTGTCTGTGAGGGGGGTGCCGGTCTGGTCGATGGAGCACTGGGGAGAAACGCCGAGGTTAGCAAGAGACTTCTCTCGTGGATGTCTTTAGGCCCGTGTGATCCGTCGTCGGGAGACGACTTACCCCTCCGAGCAGGTGGTCCTGCAGATTGAACTTGCCAGCAGTCGGGCTCAGCTCCTCGACCGTCTTGATAACCTGAATCCTGCGTCAGACGTGCTTGACTGCAGGTCGCAAATACTAGACTCGTACCTTGATTGCCTCAGCAACAACCTGTCAAATAACCAAAGTCAGCCTCTCTCCAGCCAGAGTTGGGGGTGGGAAAGCTCGGGGGTAGTTAGTCACCTCTGGGCCACAGTGGTCGCCCGCAAAAACAACAATGTTGTGTTCCGCCATGGTTGCAATACTTGTCCGACGGACACTGTCCACAAAAGGGTCCGTCTTGTGTGACGAAGCACGAGAATGAGTCGAAGACGAGGTGGGAGGCGGGAGGGCCGACGGAGAAAGTCAGAGTTATGACGAAGGAGGCTCGCGTATTTTCAAAGACGGACGTGTTCGTGTCCTGTATGAACAACCGTAGAATTACGGAAAGGCTCGGAAAACCTCGGCAAAAACAGGCACGTGATAGTGACCGTTCTGAGCGGGAGTTTGCGCGTTTAGAGGTTCCCACGCGCGTTTACAGTAAGATCATTGATTGCATGTGTGTTTAGGTGAAAATTTGGCCGCTGCCGCTGGCAGATGACGCGCTGCTATCGCTGCGCTCCCCTGTGCGGGGCCGGGAGAGCTTTCGGGGGGAAACCGGTCACGTGTCTGACAAAGCATCACCCTGCCGATTCTACCGGCCACCCACTGGAATTGCTGTTCAAGAGAACAGCGACACAATGGTCCCTGGCAGAGATGGGATGTGGTTTCCTGTGAACAGACTCACATGTGTAAGTCCGTTTCGCTACTTGACCTTTCCAAGGTTTTCGATTTGCAAGATACTTACTGATGTATTCCTGCTTTTTAGATGCTTTCCTGATTGCATCGGACTTCCCGACATCCAAGTTCGTCATCCAAGGCAAGAGGTGGACCTCTCATTCATCGCGAAGATGGCAAAGAAACGTGCCAGAGTGAGTTCCCGATATGCACTGTTTCCCTCATCGACTGTTCTAACTGAATCAAGGCTGGAGCTCCACGTTCCGAAGGAAAAAGAAGACGCCTGGCTCCTATGTCTAACGACTCTTCAATAACACCGAGACCAGAAGTAGCTGAGACTACGAGTAACCCCTCGCCAGGCGCCACCTATCCAACGCGTAGATGTCCGGTTCCAGGTTGCGATGTCTAGGACAACACGCCCTCGGCCAAATCTTCCATGCGAGACCATATCAAGAAGAAGCACCCAGGGATTCCTTCACTCAAATGCGACTTTCTAGGTTGTCGTCTTCTCTTTCATACAGGCAAAGAAAAGAAAGAACACTACAGAAACGATCACAGTACAGACTCAGACGCTACGTGGCTCTGCCCTGTGACCGGTTGCCAGCTGGCATACAACACGATATACCAAATGCACACGCACGTTAGGAGGTCGCACCCTGAACATGGCCGTATAGCATGCTCCAGCCCTCTGTTTCCTGAACTGTTTAGATCCGACCAGGACAGGGACTCGCACGCGTTGGATGCGCATGCGGAGAGTGTCGTATATTGCCGCCTCAAGGATAAAGGCTGCAAGACTTTCTTCCTCCGTCGTGCGGCGGAGCTCCAACACTTCAAGATCGTCCATACCGACGAAGCGTGGACCTGCCCAATTGAAGAATGCGACGAGGTCTTCACGTCGCCTCGCCATCGGAACCGTCATATGGGGTCCTGTCACCCAGATATCGAATACAACAAATGTCCAGCACGGAGATGTGATGAGATGTTCCTCAACAATTTGGACATGCAATCTCATTTCGAACAGAAGCATCCTCACATGCAGACTTTCCCTTGCCCATACGAGGATTGTGAGGTCGTGTGCAAATCCCAGCATGCTCTCCACCTGCATCAGAGATCTGAACATCTCAAGATGGAGTTTCGGTGCCCAGTGGAAGGCTGCTCAAAAACGTTAACGTCGAAACTCGGGATCAAGAAACATGTCGAGGTTGTACATGAAGGCGCCTGGTTCCCCTGCCACGAGGAGGGTTGCGCAAAGATTTTCAGTTCCTCGTCAAGCTTAGCAAGGCATATCAAAAACGGACACGGCCCCGTCACAATCCCGTGCCTTCATCCGGGCTGCGAATCGGTCTTCCGTTCTGAGGGAAGCTTGAAAAGCCATATGAAGAAGGTGCATGATCACACACCGCCACTGATCCACCCGTGCCCCATGGCAAATCGAGAAGCATGCTGGGAACGATTCTCAGACCCGAAAGCGGCAGCCATGCATGCCAACGTGGCGCACCATGGAAAATTTCCTTGTGTTTTGCATGAAGAGAGCGGCTGCATAGAATTGTTTGCAGACAAAGCGACGGCAACCTTTCATGCATACAGACACCGTCGGTGGGTTTGCTCCATTCCACAATGTGTGGATAATGTCATGGGCCGAGGGAAATGTCGAGATGCATATCTCGAGCATGAAAAGAAGCATGGAGAATTGGGTCATTTCACCACTCTGACGGACGTTCCGAAACCTAAGGAGTTCATCATACGCACAGACTTTGCGGATGCGGATGCGACTACGACTGCGGCCGAGGGCGACGAATCTCTCACTGAAGATGACACCATCAGTGGTTTTGAAGCTGATGACAGTCCAGGGAAAGGGGAATTCCACTGGGTGTCGGGAATTTTGACCCCCTTCCCTCTGTCACGGGCCGTTTTCGCCATTGACACAATCGGGGAACAGCAGCGCTCCTTGTCGGAAAGAAATAATAAGCTACTTGGTGGTGAGTCCAGGCCATGTACCGTCCATAACGACTATCGGTGACTGACTTACAACTAGAATATCCAGGTTTCTCGATTCGTTCCCTTGCTCATCTGGGCCTCAACTGCATCGGGCCTTGCCGAGTTGTCGACAACATAATCAGCAGACTTTGCCCATCGTCCGCGACCTTGAGCTTTGAGACCACTGCTCTTCGCCGCGGTGAAGGCGGACCGTACATGCGGACCAGATGCATCTCGTGTCAAACTGAATTTGACCTGAGTAACGCGCTTGAGAAGTATGACCTCAAATCAAGTAGCCATGATCAGATATGTGAGAACAAACGGTGCACCAAGCCTGGCTTCGGCGGCTCAAGATTTTGCAAAGATCACCTCTCTGCACTGCATGGCGCGACCCAAACCCTCGTGAAACAGACCTCCCGCAACTTCAAAAACTACGAGAGCATGTCTCTCCGTTTTTGCAAGTCAAGTGGTCCGACGAACCTGCCATGGGGAAAGTCCTTGCACTCATGGACTCCATTGGGGCCGGGGAAGTCGCCTGTCTCAGCGCTCAGGTTCGTCGATCTCGAGTATAATATTTTCACAGGGAGAGTATTCGAAATTGGCATGTACGATGCTTATGGAACTAAGACGATGGATTGCCGGACCTTGTATGGATCCAAAGCCCTCCGAGCAATCATTCAAAAAAGCTCCACTGCTGATTGCAACATGGATCGCATGATGATGAAGTCGGTTCAAGCACATCATTCTACTCAGGGCTCAAAGACTGCAAAGCAGATTGCAGACGAACTAAGGCGGCAGGGCATCTCGCAAGAGACTTATTTCATAGTCTGGCACTTCCACACAGATGACCTGTCATGATTGCGCGAGTGGTTAGAGTCAGAGGGGGAGTGTGGGATACTCCCCCCTGACTCCCAGTGCATCCCATTGATCCCTTACTTTCAGAGAAACCCTCGAGGAGCCAAACTACCAAACAAGCGGTTCCCGTTAACCTTGCCAATCATCTTTCCCATCATGATGGGCACAGATCACGTACTGGTCGGGAAGAACCACCACGCCCTCGTGGATGCGCAGCAGCTGCAGTGTATGATGGCCATATTTCGGGTACTATGTCTGTCTCCTCAGAATCGTTCGGACGGTTGGTTGGAGCAGTTCCGTCAGGACCCTTCCTCACACCGAGCCGGCCTTCGCCAGGCCATGTTGGAGTCGTTCTGGAAGGGTTCTTGAGTCGGGGGCCTGCTACCGCGGTTTGGGAATGCGAATGTTGTGTTTAGTTGCTTTCGGATGGCAAGATCTCTTAGGAATTGATTACTTCGCACCTCTGTAAGCTCTCTTGCTCGCGACAATTCGAGAACGTCTTCGTCCATGGCGTTGAAAACACGGATGAAGAATGCATTAAGCCGCCATAAGGACACTGTTTGGGGCCAACTGCTACGTAGCGCGATCAGCGGCCAGGCAATGCAGTCGACAAGAGATTGTGGCCATACTGAATACTGATCCTCTGGGCAGATTGTTACCTTTGACTCCTCTTTTAAAGAAGAAGTCACAGGGAGAATGTGAAAAGGCGACTAGGTGACACACCCGACCCGCGGGGATAGCAAGTCTGCCGGCTGTGGTTTCACGAAGCTTCACCAGCTGCCTAAAAGGATGTTTGTTCTATTGGGTCGCCCCGACCAAGATATCGTCCGAGTTGATGATGAGTGACTTTCCATAGCGGATAACCCTGATCATTCGGAAATCTTCCAATGTAGTTGCACATAATAGACTCCGCCTGTCACTCATTGTAGAAGGAGAGCCACAGACAGAGCAGAGCAGGAAGACGGCGCCCAAGCTCGGGATCTTCCTATCAGAAACCACCACGGCGTCGCTCTTCTTGTGGGTAACATATTAGCACTAAACAAACGGATTCGGTCGCCGACTGGCTTGTCGCTGAGCTTTCTTGTAGGGTACGGCGATGTTGGAGATGCCCCTCTGGCGGGCAGTAGAAGCTTGTTGCTCCCTCGAGATCGTCGCTAGCTTCGCTGTCCATCCTGAGCCAAAGGGAGGAAAATGAGACTGGTAGGGGAAGGGCCGATGGGGGCTGCCCTGATTTATGTCCAACCCCGCCTCTGTAAGCACTGATGTACTCATTACCTAAGGTATTGTACTTAGCGAGTGGATCTGAGCTTTTCGTGGCGGAGAAGGAAGAGTTGGTAGCGGATAATGATACGTCTAAGGCAGACAAGGATAGGAACGAGACTAGGATGATTCATAGCAAAGCACCGTTTTCGGTGAAGTCAGCATCACCAGACTGAGGCGCCTGGTATGGTCGTGTTTATCACGCTCCATAATATCTCCCGTACCATGCCCTGAAGCAACTGCACTTCAGATAGTCCGTTGTGGGCCAAGGCTTCCATTATACGATGTTCTTCCCGTGCCTAGAGAACGGCAGTCTTCAACAGCGCGCTCGCCACGTTACCAATGAGGTACTTGAAGATGGGACCCAGAAAATACAGGTACCTTTACCCAGGCTACCCGCACGAGCCACCCCTAGGTAGAACCTTTCGCAGCATCTGCACAGAGCAATAACAGATCCCAGAAACGATACACGATCACAGTCCCCAGAAACGGCGCCAATGGTTTAGCAATAAAATCCATCGTTGCCTCATATTATAATCATAATTGCGCTCTTCTTGTGTATCGTGGTTATTTTTCCCGTTTTCATTTGGTGTTAAAACGGTTTCTGGGAAACCGGTTGTAGAGAAGAGTTGCTGGAAACGTGCTGATAGTAAAGTTCAATTCGGAGAAATGTGCGGGATCCAGTATGAATAGTAGCTGTCAAATCTGATAAACGGTGAATATACCATAAAAGACGGCTGCCTAGTAAATTCACAAGTAATTCACAATACCAACCATAAAGATTGCTTAAGGTACTAAATTTAGTAATTAAAAGCTAGCCCCTACAATACGCTAAACTAAGCAAAACATAATATAAAAAATATCATTATATTAACCATTAAAATTAACCATAAATATAAAAATCTACTATATAATATATATAAAATTTAATAATTAAAAGTTTTATTATCTTAAATTAAATTAATATAATTAATTATCTTAGGAAAAAAACCCTTAACGCTACCCTAATAAAAGCAAGCAATTAAAATAATTAAAACTATAAATTTTAAATTTAAATTATATATTAAAAAGAAATATCCTTTCCTTTTTAAATTAAAAAATATTAAATATTTAATAAAATAAATATATTAAAAAATCATATGCTTAGCAAAATGCAAAATCCTAAATCATTAATAATAAAAAAGAAAATAAATTAATAAAAAAAACTTATTAAATAGCTACTTTAAATTATAGCACCTAAATATAAAATAATATGCTGCTTAATTAAAAAATTACTTTAAAAGTAATATAAAAACCTTTTAAAATAATGTAAATAAAGCATATATAATAAAATACTTTAATTTTATTATAAATATAAGAAAACTATTTAACTACTTTAAATTATTAAAAAAATATATATATAATGTAATTTATTAATAAGTAGTGGATATTAATAAGTAGCGGATTTTCGCAACTTTACTTAACTTTAGCTAATATTAGCATTAATTAATGCTAACTACTTTTAATTCCATATTTTTAATTAATTTAATTAATTTAAAGTAATTAAAAATAATTGCATTAAAATTTAAAGTAATTAACTTTTAATAAAGGGGTTTTATTTTAATGCTAATTATATCTTAATATTTTATATTAATTTTACTTTAATTTACTTACTTAAATATTTAATATATTAAAAATTAATAATTATTAATATATTCTTTATTTAAAAAAAATAAAATCTTTTTAATTATTTAAGTAATTTAAAAGTTTAAAAAAAATAATGCAAAACCCTTACTTATAACCTAAGCTATTAAAATCTTTTATATTTTTAAAATTATACTTTATTATAAGATAAATTAATAACGCTTTTATAAAGAATTATATATTAATATATATAAACTTAATTAAATTAAAGAGTAAATACTTATTTAATATATTATTAAGTAAAATACTTAAAAATTCCCCTTATAACTTTTTAATATAAAAAATATAGCTAACTTTTTGCTAGCATTATATAATATTAAATTTATTAATAAGCATTAAGTTTAATGCTTTATAAACTTATAATTTACTTTTAAAATTAAATTTAATTATCCTTATAATTATTAAAGAGCTCTTTATAAAAATTTAAAGATTATTAAGAATTAATTTAAGCTGCTTTATAATATAATAACTAAATATAAAATTATAAATAATAATTTTTATAACTTTAATAAAATTAACTTTATAATAAGAATAATTATTATATTAATAACAATTATATATATTAATAAGCATAAAAATATTAAATTAATTTAGCTTAATAACTAAAAATAAGCTATAATTATTAAATATATTAATATAAAAAGCTAATATATTTTATTATTTATAATTATTTAAGGTACTTATTACTTTATAAGCTAAATTATAAAGTTAAGTTTCTTAAATAATTAAGTTATTAAACTTACTTTAAATAAATAAATAAATAATAAAATTAATTTAAAATAAATTTAGCATTTTAATAAGTATATTAAGTAATAAATAAAAAGCATATATTAAATATTAATATTAAATAATTATAAAAGCTATATATTAATTAAGTTTAATTAATATTGTAAGAATAATAATATTATCTTTATTAATATATTAATATATTCTTTTTATTTATTTTAGCCATTAAATATTACATTATACTTACCTTTAAAGCATATATATAATAACTAAATTAACCTTTTTATTTAAGCATTTATTAACTATATTATTAAGTTTAAGTTCTTTTTTATATTTATAATAGCTTATAATAAAACTTTTAAAAAGAATAACATTAAGGCAATATTTAAAGGAATTAAAATTTTACCTTAAAACTTAAATTTTATTATTTTTAAGCTTAATATATACTTATAAACTTTTATGCAAACCCTTTTTATTTCTCCTTAATATTAAGAATCTTAAATATTATTTAATGCTTAGCAAATTATTAAGCAATTCAGCTTTATTAAAAGTAAGATTTTTACTTATTAAAAAAGCTTCCCTATATTAATTATAACTATTAATTAAATAGCAAAAAGTATATAAATAATAATATATAAACTTATTATTTTAAAAACTTAAGTTTATACTTTTAAGGATATTAATATAATACTTATTAAATATTAAAAAGCTAAAAAAACTTAAGTATAACTTAAAAAAGCACTTATTATTAAAAAATCTTAAGCTTTTATTTAAAAAAAATAAAAGAAAAAGTAATTAGCTAATAAAATAAATAATAATGCTAAGGAAGCAATTTATAATAAATTAATTAAATAATAATATAATAATTATAGCAAAACTAAGCATAATATAAAAACTTATAAAAAAGATAAAAAAGAATTAAATTAATTAAATTTTAATTATATTATAGCAAATCCAGCTTAATTAATATTAAATAATATAAATATATTTATTTTAATGATTTATAATAAATTATATTTTTAATAATATAATTAACATTATTTAATATAAAATATAAGTTTTTTATTAAAAGTTACTTATCTTAAACTTATATTATACTTATATTAATTACTTTAAATTAATTATAGTAATTAAAAATAAGGAATTAAAAATAGTTAGCATTAATTAATGCTAACTTTTTATTTATTTATTAGCCTTAAGGTAATATTAATATTAATTAAAATTAAGTAAAGTTGCGAAATTCCGCTACTTATTAATATCCGCCACTTACTAATAAACTACGTTAAATTAATATATAAAAAAAACTTATATTTAAAGGAATTTAAAAGAAATAC